AACCATAGACTTAACTAGAGGTGGAGATGTAAAGACTCTAATGTTCTTTACCAGTAGGAAATTTGTGGCTTGTTAATCTTTGCCTTTACATCCTCTTAAGACACGTAGGAATGACTGTGAAGGAATAGTTATGCATAAACTTGGTTGTTTAATATTCTGTTCAACTGAAAAATATAGATATGACAAGGGCAACAGTACCACATAGAGGTTGGTAGTGTGGATTACTTCAGACTGTAGGGTGACATATTACACACACACACAATTGGGCTTTATCTTTATAGGGTTATTGTAAGGATTAGGAAAATTTTTGCATATGTCTGACACATAAGGGCTGCATAAATATTAGCTATCCTATCAAATTGATAGAAACTTAGTCTGGAAATAAGTTTTATGGAATTCTGGTGTAGATTGCTTTGCATTTTTTGCCAGATTTTGCTTTCATAATCAAAAACACCAAGCTCTGCCAAGCAGTTCAGCCATTTTGTAAGTTGTTAGGAAAATAAACACTACTCAACTGAAATGGCGGCTCTTGAGCTGAGAACCCACACAGGCTTGCTCCTTTTAAGGGGAATGTTGCTGTGCTGCCCTCTTGTGGCTATTTGGGAAATGGCTATGAAAAATTAAAACTAGAACAATAACTATTAATGTTGCTAGCTTTCAAAGTGCAGTTGTGAGAAATATTTAATCACTCCATTTTTACCTACATCAGAAAAGATTTTGAAGAGACAGCATGTCCTTTTTATCCACAAGTGAAAGGAAGTGTTAAACTTTTTTCTCAATAAGCATTTCTTTTCTATTGGAATCTAAAATCCTGGTTTTGACTTGAATTTGTTTTATTTTTATATTGTATTTCCGTTGTAATTATTTATTAAATCAAAATTATAAAACTTGTTTTTTCAGTGTAGATTTTGAGTAATTTTGAGAGAAACTTGTTTTTCATGAGGATTCTGTATATATAATGGGTAATTTCCTGAAAATTCCATAATTGCCTTATAACTGTCAGCCCCTTGGAAGTCAGGTAATTTTATTCCTTTAGTATTTAGGGTAAAGTTTAAAGGACTCCTCATTCCATTTGACCCTTTTTATTTTAGTTTTAGTCTTAAGGGTTTTCTACCTCCTCTATTGTTAATACTTAAACCAGCATGAAAGCTACAGTTTAGTACTGATAGTATTTAGTATTATAATTATTTACTTATTTATTTTTTTGAGACACAGTCTCACTGTGTTGCCTGGGCTAGAGTGCCATGGCGTCAACCTAGCTCACAGCAACCTTAAACTCTTGGGCTCAAGCAATCCTTCTGCCTCAGTCTCCCGAGTAGCTGGGACTACAGGCATGCACCACCATGCCTGGCTACTTTTTCTATATATTTTTAGTTGGCCAATTAATTTTTTTCTATTTTTAGTAGAGACTGTCCTCGGTCTTGCTCCGGCTGGTCTCCAACTCCTGACCTTGAGTGATTCCCCCTCTCCCCTCCCAGAGTGCTAGGATTACAGGTGTGAGCCACCACTCGCCAGCCCTATAATTAGTTATTAATAGCAAATCTGCATAATCTTTTAGGAAATGCCCTATCCTTTGAGGGAAAGACAGTCAGAGACTTAAATGTGGAAGTATTTTCCGTGTTTTTTTAAAAAAGAATTTCATTTCAACATTTAGCAAGTTGTTCTCCTATGAGAAGTATGAGAATTAATGCCTTTATTAAAACTTTTTTTAAGCGTCTCCCCCCTGAATCTGACTTGCTGGTTCTAAAAACAATTTTAAAACACCTTTTTTATGCCCATTCACATCTTTAGCTAGTTTTGTGTAGGATTGTGTGTATTTTCATCCTTTGCCTTGGGTTTGACTCTTGGTTGGATTTATTTTAGCTGATTAGCTAGTTTAGACATTAAAAATATTTAAGACGTATAATGAACAACCATGAATTCAGCCCTTAAGCTTCAGTCATAAAATGTCACCAATATTATTCTCTGATCACATTTGCCTCCCTCCCCCCCTAGAGGTAAATACAAGTGTCAGTTTGGTGTTTATTTTCTCTTGGATTTGGTTTTCATAGTTACTTTTTTTTTTTTTTAAATTACACAATCCATGGAATCCACAAGTATACTTCAAATAACTCATCCAACACAATAAACCAATGTTAGCAATTTGGTGGCTAAAGTGCATTTATATGTATGTGTACTGGTAGAAACATGGCTGTGTTTTTCACTTAAAAGGTATTGTATACATTGTTAGATTTCTGGGGATCACTCTCCCACACAAACAGAGAAACACAGCCACCCAGGAAGGTATGTACAAGTCAGGCATGGTTGTTCACACCTCTAATCCCAGACTTTGGAAGGCAGAGGTGGGAGGATAGCTTGAGGCCAGGGGTTTGAGACTAGCCTGGGCACCATAGTGAGACCCCGTCCTTACAAAGAAACAAAAATAAAAATCAGTTGAGAGTGGTGGCACACACCTGTAGTCCCAGCTACTCAGGAGGCTGAGGTGAGAAGGTCGCTTGAGCCCAGGAATTCCAGATTTACAGTGAGCTATAATCACATCACTGCACTCCAGCCTGGGCAACAGAGTGAGTATTAGCTGGGGAGAACTTTGTGTTATAGAAAGTAAATCTGAGTTTGGATGTGATATTCCCAGATTTTTAGTGTTTGGGTAGGGCTTTGGCATTTACAGAGTGTTGCTTTCATAGCTGTCATTTGATGTTCTCATAACCTTTACAGGTAGATGTCAGGCCAGGCCTGAGGTGGTCTAGGACTGAAACCCAAGCCAGAGTCTGTGCCTTTTTAATTGTTATTATTCCACCTTTCCACTTTCTTTTCTGTTGCCTGGTGACCACCTTCTGTTTGGTGACTTAGTTACCTTATTCAGCTGGAGTAGTCAGCTTGGACTGTGGAAAGGTGTGAGTCAGTAATTATAATGAGGCCTTGAAAGTGTTGAGTCACTTGTTACAGGGATGCCTGTTTGGGGATATTGTATAACAGGGTTAAGATTTATTTTCTGAGTCTCTTAAGGTTTTTTTTTTTTTTTTTTTTTGAGACAGAGTCTCGCTTTGTTGCCCGGGCTAGAGTGAGTGCTGTGGCGTCAGCCTAGCTCACAGCAACCTCAAACTCCTGGGCTCAAGCAATCCTCCTGCCTCAGCCTCCCGAGTAGCTGGGACTACAGGCATGCGCCACCATGCCCGGCTAATTTTTTCTATATATATTAGTTGGCCAATTAATTTCTTTCTATTTATAGTAGAGACGGGGTCTCGCACTTGCTCAGGCTGGTTTTGAACTCCTGACCTCGAGCAATCCGCCCGCCTCAGCCTCCCAGAGAGCTAGGATTACAGGCGTGAGCCACCGCGCCCGGCTTCTCTTAAGGTTTTGACCCCCTATAGTAAAACAAAGTATGGGTTTTAGAGCCAGACCCTGCTCTCTCCCCTTTCTAGTTTGTCACACTTTCTAGTTTTGTCATTGGTGAAGTTACTTAAAACTTCTCAGTTTTTTACCCTTCATATGGGGATAATAATGCCTAATATGGTTATTATGAGGAATAAGTAAAATAATACATATAAAGTATAATACTTAGCATAATGCCTGATACCTATCAGATGATCAGGTAATCGTACGGTTTTTCCATCTTTCTACCCTTCCCAAGGTAGGAACATCCTCCTTCCCTTCCATTTTTTTGTCATTGCTTTCTTTTCTTAACTGAAAGTCTTCTGTACCAAAGTGTGGATCCTACTGTGGATCACACTGTATCATTTGGGTCACTCCCAGTTTCCAGCGTATTGCCCTGTTCATTCTACAGACATTTGTCAAGTGATACACCTCCATTTCTAGTTTGGAAGATACGGTGATGGTAGATACGAAGCTTCTCTTGTTTATGGTTTCATGCTTCATACCACAGGTCTTTTATCTCCCAGTTGCTGAACTCAAGGACCTTTCTGTTAAGTAAATGTTATTGTAGCTTCTGGAGGGTCTGTGTTGCTCTTGCCTTCCCTTCCTTTGTTCTGCCTCCCTCTCCCGCCCCCTCAGTGAAAAGATAGTTTTCCAGCAAAAGAGTTCAATGAGGTGTCTGCCTGTTTTGCTGTAGAGTCCGTTGACTAGGTCTTTTTCCTTTCAACTGTCTTCGCTTCTACCAGTATGCCCCTCAATTGCTTTTTCACTATTAGATAAGGTGGGTATATTGCCTTCTCTGCACTTGAGGTTGATAGTCTTGTCATGGCTCTGTCTTCATGGTTTCTGTTTTGTGGTTTCAGCTGTCATCTACTTGCTTAGAGTGCTCTTCCCTAAGGGCTGATTGGAATGAGGAAGGGGAGGGGAGTGTGTGTTGGCCAGTAGCAGTCTTTATTGGATTAGCCATTCTTATCAGAATCCAAATTTTGTTTTTTCTATTAAGTCTACCATGTGGGGGATTCACTGCAGGAGATTCCAAAGCAGGACCTCTGGATTGAGGTTAGTGTATATATAGTTTCATAATGCTTCCCAGATGAGTGTAATTTGTACCTATTAGTGAAAACCACTGACTGGATAATTGCAACCAGATTGCATTCTTCCACTTTGGATAACATGCTTTTGTTTTCTTTTGGTTTGAGTTTGTCCAGACTGGGGAATGACACTTAACCAATAAGACATGGTGAATTTAGATCTACGTGGTTTCAAGTCTTACTGTGTTGGCTAGGTCTGAGAGTTAAATGCTTCAGAGCTTCAGTTTTACCCCATCTGAATCAAGGGAACAATAATATCCACCTTCAGAGTTTCTGTAAAAGAGCTAATCTATATAAATCAACAGGTATATGGCATCATATAAACACTCAGGAAATGGTAGCTATTGGGAATATCGAGAACAATACTGTTAATATTATTTGCCGTATATGAATGTAAAAGTGAATTTGAAGTTTTTGGTCTTATGTTACCAAAATTACTATCTGTTGACATATCACCATGAGGATTTTTCAAAAAGCAGATTCATGTGGCAGTTCTTAAACGTTGCTAAATCTGTCTTTCTCTCTCTTAAAATTAAGTCATTCAGCCTCTGAAGAAGCTTCAGGTTCAGACTCAGGCAGTCAATCGGAAAGCGAGCAGGGCAGTGATCCAGGAAGTGGACATGGCAGCGAGTCGAATAGCAGTTCTGAGTCTTCTGAGAGTCAGTCGGAATCTGAGAGTGAATCAGCAGGTTCCAAATCCCAGCCAGTTCTTCCAGAAGCCAAAGAGAAGCCAGCCTCTAAGAAGGAACGGATAGCTGATGTGAAGAAGGTATCTATGGTGCTGTCCGGTACAAATGTGCTGCTAGCCAGGACCAGCTAGCAGACCTTTATTGCCTATGAAAACTCATTCGCATATCTTGATAATGAAAACAACAGCCACCTTTTCTAATAATATACAGTACTGTCTGTGGATTCAAATGGGGACTGCTTTCTACTCTGCTAATTGATATAGTTAATAAGGCTATGAGGAGGATAGTTACATGAACCATACAGTTATAGGGCAAAAAGACCAATTTTTATAGTTTGGGTTGTTACTCTTTTAAAAAGATGGTTAAAATTATTTTTTCATACTCTGCTAATACTAGAGAAAAATCATTGACAGATAATAGCAACTGTTCTTTTAATTATGGAATACAGTCATAAAGCTTATTGACAGATAAACGCAATCCAAGGATAAAGACAGTTTTTGTTATCTGAATAATGGAAACAAAATAGTTCTACAGAAAAATATGTCTGTACCTAGGCAATGTAGGTATTCTTTGCTTCAGAAAGAATACCATTCTTCTAGCAAATAAGATGAGCAAAAAAATGTAAAAAGGTAAAATTTGAGTTGTATGACATTTTCTCATTGATGCTCAAACTTTGCAGTGCATTGTTTTTGGTGGAAAAAATTAATTGGTCTAAAAAATCAGAATGTAGTTGATCTTTAAAATTTTATTTTGAGAGAATTACATTTGAATCATTGAAAATACAAAAGAAAATTACTTTTAAAAATTTAAAAACAAACCTTTTTTTTTTTTTTTTTTTTTTTGAGACAGTCTCACTTTGTTTCCCAGGCTAGAGTGAGTGCCATGGCGTCAGCCTAGCTCACAGCAACCTCAATCTCCTGGGCTCAAGCAATCCTCCTGCATCAACCTCCCGAGTAGCTGGGACTACAGGCATGTGCCACCATGCCCAGCTAATTTTTTCTCTATATATTTTTAGTTGGTCAATTAATTTCTTTCTATTTTTGGTAGAGACGAGGTCTTGCTCAGGCTGGTTTCGAACTGACCTCGAGCAATCTGCCCGCCTTGGCCTCTCAGAGTGCTAGGATTACAGGCGTGAGCCACCACACCCGGCCTAAAAACAAAAGATTTTAATGAAATAAAAAGCTTTATGCTAAATAATTTATTTAAGCCATACTCTTCTAAGATGAATCTATGTTCTTCGTACTGAGATTTTCATAATATAGATGATTTTTCAGTTATTAATACCTGCACATTCTACAGATTTTACCTTCAACAAACAAAACAAAAAGCTGCTGTTAATTCTTGAGACAAATTTGGGATTAACCATGTTATTTCAGTTTTCTTTTCCCAGCATAAATGTTGCTTAATGGTATGTGACTCAAGGAGCTGGCGGGAGGGTGGAGAATGCTGATGGCCGTGTTAGAGATAGGAAAATGAAAGTTATCCTTGCTGATTAACACATCACCAGAGAAGTGACCTTCAGATACTTAAAGTTGTTGTTCCTTGTTGCCTGCTCAGGGTGTAGTATACCTTTCAAAAAGATATTTCAGGTGGTGACTTTTTAAAAAAGCCTTTGCATTAGAAGTACCACTTAAAGATCTTGGCCCAAGTATGTTAAACTTAGAAATCTGCCTCCTAGGCATGTGCAGAAGGGCTTGGCTTAACAGTCTTGCGAGCCTGGTTTCCTCTGTCTGTGGAGACCAGTTGTTTTCAGAAGACTCCACTCTAAGACCTTACATATTTAACTTCATTTAAGAAGATAAAGGAGAGAGAAAGCATTACCAAGGTTGAATTTCAAGATAAAAGTACAACTCTAGGCAGAAACATGAAAATATATTTTTAAGGTTAAGATGGTCAGTTTCAGAGAGTTAGTAATATATAGTTAACATGTAGATGGGCCTGCTAGCCAGTCACAATGAGTGGATTGCACCTTTAATGATGATTATTCTGAAACAAGAGCTTCTTTTTTATTTTATTTTTTTTATATTTTATTTATTTATTTTTTTTGAGACAGAGTCTTGCTCTGTTGTCCGGGCTAGAGTGCGATGGCATCAGCCTAGCTCACGGCAACCTCAAACTCTTGGGCTCAAGTGATCCTCCTGCCTCAGCCCGCCAAGTAGCTGGGACTACAGGCATGCGCCACCATGCCCGGATAATTTTTTCTATATGTTTTTAGTTGGCCAATGAACTTCTTTCTACTTTCAGTAAAGACAGGGTCTCCCTCTTGCTCAGACTGGTTTCAACTCCTGACCTTGAGCTATCCTCTCACCTCAGCCTCCCAGAGTGTTGGGATTACAGGCGTGAGCTACCGCGCCCAGCCTGAAACAAAGAACTTCTAAAGAAGGCTCTTTGTTTTCTGTATATGCATCCTTTTCACATGATAGAGGTCTCCCCTCCCAAGAAAAGTTCATTACTCATGTTAGGAGTATGCAAGTAGTGAGTAACTATGTGTGGTAGCTTTTTCATAGAAGTGCTTAATTAGATATTATTAGTCCTCAGAAGGACAGATAGGACCACAAGATGATTTTAGGATGTAAGCATTATAGTCTGCTTCCTGAGGCCATGTGGCTTCCCAGTGTCCCCTCACCACCTCTGCTCCTCCAGGTGCTGCTCAGGCCAAGGCTAGGGCATGGCAGGAGGCATACTCAGGGTCTCCGTCATTTAATCCCAGCCCTGCCTCTAACTCCTCTGGAAATGAATAATAATCTCACATAGCAAGCACAGTGCTAAGGTCCGTAATACTTTTAGGGACACATGAAAATGTTTTAATTTCTTTTAAAATCAGAAGAAAGAATGAACTTTTAAATGGAAGACAAAGTTTTAATATATAATACCTATGTTGTATTCGTCTTTATACCATCATAGTTGCACAATCTAATCCTTAATATATTTTTTTAATGGAAAAAGGAGCCTGTGAAGGCTGAGATGTGGCCTTGCAAATAGGCGTTTGGGTACCCCCTGCCACAGTGTAATAAAGTCACAACAGTTGAGCTAAGACTGCCTAGCTAGTATCTTAAGATGATAGAACTAAGTGATACAGTGACATTTAAATGACTTGGCTCCCCCAATTCATAAAGGCTCCATAGAAGCCTGTGTCAAGTGAAATAAATAATTTCATAGATCTAGCAGAGGTGCAAAAAGAGGTGGCAGTGGATAGACAGACAAAAGTTCTTTCCTTCCCCTCGAGTTGGATTTGTTCAGTGTTCTTCATTTACTGAGTCTTCGCCTATATTTCCTACCACTTGTTATTCCTAACTTCTTCTGGTTGTATCATTTGTCTTTTAACTCCGAGATGATTCTAAGGCCGTTACGGAATCTGATAACACTGGATTATGTGATAACATTAGATTCTGGCTCTAAAATGCCTATTCCTGGGCCATCTGGCTTGTTTTGAGGCCTTGTTTTTCTTCAGTTCACTCCAGCATTTTTTTTGAGTCACTATTGATAATGTCCTCCTTTGGTTTGGTGACATTGTGTTTTTGTGGGTCATCTTTTATGAATTTTGTCCTTTTGGGGTTCTACTTTCCACACTGTTAATTTTTTTTTTAGACAGGGTCTTGCTCTCTTGCCAGAGCTAGAGTATAGCTCAAACTCCTGGGCTCAAGTGATCTTCCTGCCTCAACGTGCCTACCACCACACTTGGCTAATTTTTCTATTTTTTGTAGAGATAGGTCTCACTATGTTGCCCAGGCTGATCTTGAACTCCTGGCTTCAAGCAATCCTCTTTCCTTGGCCTCCCAGAGTGCTAGGATTATAGGCGTGAGCCACTGGGCCTGGCCTACTTTCCATAATTTTTCTTTTCTTTTTCTTTTCCAGCATCAGTTTTACCGAGTGCCACTCAGCAGTCCCACGGTGGTGAAAACAGACATCATCTGCCTACTTTCCACAGTTTTTAATGCAAACATTTCATGAGTTTCAGCCAAGTGGCTTCTATTCTTATATGTGTTCTGAGCCTCACATTTCTAAATATTTTCATGACATTAGCTGTCACCTGTGTTTTGATGACAAACCCATATTTCTCATCTTGGCTTTAAAGTGTGTCTTCTACATGTTTAATTACTGTTAAACATCTTCATGTCAGTGTTCCACAATCCATTCAAATTCCTTGTGCTTATATGTTATTTTGTTGAAAGAACACAATATACTTAGCAATAGTTATCTCTAGGGAGAGAAGGGTGACAAAAATTTTTCTCCTGAACTAATCCCTCCCTTAAAGTTTTTAAATCACTGGTGAGGATTCTTACTGAAAGTCAGGTCTTAAAGGCACAGGGCTAATTACAGCTAGAGAATAAACACAGGTGTGCTAGAGAACGGTGGCAGTGTTCTCATTCTGAGAATGTGTAGCTAAAAGTTAGAAATGTCTCATCTGCACATATCTAGGATGTTATCGATACATGACCTGAGAACTTAAAAATGTCCTGAACCCTGATTCTTATTTAATTAATAGACTTCATGGGGTTCTGCTTCTTGTATTTTGAGTTTCTCAGGTGGGTCAGTGTGGTCAAAATTGAAACTCAAAGTTTTAGGGCTTTTAAAATTCGTCGGTAAATACTCCGTCTTTAGTGGAAGCAATTGCTGTTTTACCTTGCCATATTATTCAACTGTAAGTTTATATTTTAATGATCAGTGGGCAGTGACCATATAGTTTTAAAGTCATTAAGTGATGAAGGGCATAGTTAAACTTTAATGTGTTCTAGAATAATATGCTTATTATTTTTTAAAATGGTACTTTATTGTCTCAAACAAAACTAGTAAAACAGCCGTTTTGGTATTTAGTTACTTGAATTCTCTTGAATTGAAATAAATGTTCCAGTAGTGAAAATAGTACATGGGGATCAAGAAAAAAGATTTATACACTGTCTATTAATTTTACAGATGTGGGAAGAATATCCTGATGTTTATGGGGTCAGGCGGTCAAACCGAAGCAGACAAGAGCCCTCACGATTTAATATTAAGGAAGAGGTAAGAAAAAAATGGTTGAAGGCAGTATATTTGAACTCCTTATCTTACCTCATCCTTTCTGACTTGGGTGTGTATTACCATTAACAAGACAGAACTGCTGGCACGGTAGTTAAGTGGCTCTACTGTGAGCTTCCTATGGACACATACAGTAAGGTAAGAAGTTAATTAAGTAAAAGAAACTTACCAGAAAGATCATATAATAGTGAATATTTTAGTAGAATATTAGAACATTATACAGAATTGGCCTATAATTTTTTTTCTCTGTTTTTCATAGTGAAAATTGATTATAATAAGAAGTTTACTGTTTTAAACCTCTAGCTTCTAAATTTTCTTGATTTTATTAAATGAGTAACAAAGAAAATGAGTAACAGTGGAAATAGTTTTGGATTATTCCTGAGAAAGGAAGGAGAAAGGAGGGAGCGATTAAAGTAATGTTATTTTCTTATTTAATTTCTGTAAAATTTGGTTTCATAGCTCATTTTTGGCGTGAGATATAAAATGGATTTCAAACATACTCTGTTTTAATTGGGAGAGATTGAATAGGTTGGTGATTTTTAAATTGATACTATGTATTAGGCTTGTTTGTCTGTAGAATTAGACTTCTTTCACCTTTTTCAGTTTGTGTGGGATTTTTATGGATTCTTATTCTCTATATTAGGTTTATAGACTAGATTCTGACGAGATCCTTTTTTGTCTTAGTGAAATGTCCCCTTTCTGTCTTCTTAGGAGGACTTTGCTATTCTTAGCTATGTAACATTGATATCCAAAGGTTATTGAGGTGGGTGTGGGTTTTCGTAAATGTACTTCAAAAATCTAATTTGCCTTAACATCTTCATTACATTTGTGATATTTTATTTTGAGTGACCTGTGAGCTGGTTTGCCTTTACTTTCTTTTTCCATAGTGTGTATCACTAGGTTCCTGAGCCGTATTTGTTATAACCAATCATATAGTTGTATAAATCTTTTCCTCTTTGATGTATTAACACATTCTCTGTAGAATACAAGACACTAACAGCAACAGGAATAGTTTCCATGTTGCTTAATTTGGGGGAAGAAGAACTGTTGAAATGTCTGTGACTGTAACTTTCCATGGCCTAGTGCTGTTGGCAGAGCACTGTTGGCTCGTTGTTGAGCATGCTCTTTAAAGAGTCTAAGATGACTAGATCAGTAGTTGGTGCCTTTAAGGCACACTGACTAAATGTTGTAGCATTTTTATTTGATATTCTAGGTTTGCAGTATCCAGTATAGTCACCACTAGTCACTTGTGGCTTTAGAATTCATATCATTTAAAATTAAGTAAAATTAAAAATTCCATTTCTCAGTTAACTCTCTAGGCACATTCTAAGTGTTCAGTAGTCACATGTGGTTGATGGATACTGTGTTGGACATTACAGGTACAAAACATTTACAATACTGTAGAAAGCTTTATTTGATGTTGCTGTTCTGGAAGTCAAGCTGAGATAAATATTTCTTGGCTTTAAAGATCACTCAGTAATAACAGACACATTAAATTTTCAAGGCAAAAAAAGAATGAACTTCACCAAACGAATGCTTAGGTTTCTTTTTGTCTAAAAGCTCACATTGAATAATGCTATATTGAGTAGATTGTTAAACCAGAAGGTAGTGTTGTCCCAAAGAACTGTGAATTAAAGTCTGTAATCATTTTTCCCCCCCCTCACACACTGAAGGCAAGTAGCGGGTCTGAGAGTGGGAGCCCAAAAAGAAGAGGCCAGAGGCAGCTGAAAAAACAGTAAGTCTTTCTTGGGGGAAATTACTTAATTTAGTAGTTTCGAACATGTCAGCATTTCAAGGGCTACCTTCATTGTATCTTTATAAAGTCTATCCTAGGTCCCAGAGTCTGCTTCTGTCTCTCTTACTAGCTTGGGTTTTTATCTACATTGACCTGCTGCAGCAGCAGCAGTGGCATTTGAATCCCAAGATTCTCAGTTTAACACATGCAAGAATTCCATGTATGCTTGGGTTGTTTCTTGAGACAAACCACGGCTTCTTCCATCTGGTTATCCCCATGAGCCCATTTATTTATTCATTTTAAATATGCATAAACAACTATATAGTTGTTTGGTATTTTAGCAAGGAAGAAATTTAGGTTTGCCACTTTTCATTTTCATTTGTTCTTTGTGTTGACATGGCAAAATTATTGATTTGGTACCCATTTTGGTATGAAATTACATATTTCTATATAATTTTAATATTGTACTTTGTAGGCCAGAAAATTTCAATTCTTGGGCTTACTGTGAAATTATCTTATAACATGGATTACATGTTCATTTTTTGTTTAAAAACATTGTGTTTATGTGGTGAAAAATTATTTGTTTTTGTTTTTTTTTTTGAGAAATAACTTTTAAAATCTTTTTTTGGAGAGAGAGTAGAGTCCTTAGACAATCTGAATTCTGTATCTTCTCTCAGAAAAGTATAGATATTGAAAACTTTACACATCATTTCAGGGGTTCTTATGTTAAACAATTGTCCATGGCCTCTAGTTACATATTATGTGTTCTAAAATATTACCAGTCTTTAATAAGTGGCCAAAGGCTAGCAATTTGATTTTTTTAAAACTCATTTCCTCCTCTCCAAAATAGACTAATACTTATTCTACCTACCCAACAGGGTTATAAGAAACTACGCTGAGATTTTGCATTATATGTAGAGTATTACAGAACTTTACAGAACAGTCATGTAGTTACTTGCCAGAGTACTTCCAATTTTTAAATATTTACTTAGAGCTAGAAACAGTAATTGTAAGCAAACCTGTTCTTTTTGGCATCTTGGAAGGCTTTTGTTCTACCCCAGTAGCACGGTCTGCTTGGAGATTCTATTCTCTGCTTATTGGTCTAATAGCCTTTTGGAGCTCTTTCTTGAAATGTCTACCTTGACCACACTGTGGGAAATACATGCATGTACTCCTTCCTTCACCATCTGGCTACATTCTGCTGTCTCTAGACTGGAGTTAAATCGTGCTGTGCTTGAAATCCTCTACTCCCCATTTTAATAGTCTTCCTAGTGTGTGTGGAAGCCAGCATTTTTTTCAGCCACTGGGTAACACATCACACTTATTCTGGTGAGTGGCTTATATACTTAACAGTCTTAGAAGCTCCCCAAAGTTGGCAACCATCAGAGGCCTTCATCGACCTTTCCCTGAGTATTTCTTAGTTCCTTGCAGAGTAGTATCTGTCTTCTCTCTAATATTGCTTCTCTATTCTGGGGCTCTTCCTTAGGAACTTGCCTTGAGCTGAAGTAGTTCCCTCATGTTTGCTTGTGTGTTTGGGCACTGGGCTAGCCTTATTTCTGCTGTCTACTGGGCAGCTGGTTAGTACTATGGTTTTACAGGGAACTCATCTCCTGAGTTTTGATTCTTGGAAGATTAATTAGGGGAGGTCCTGTGGCTGTTAAGGCTCAAGTTGCAAGGCACAGCACTACAGGAGCCCTCTGTGATCTGAGCAGGTGTGACTATGGGGCATGTGAGTTTCAGAGTTGAGAGAGACTCACTCACTCAAAGGGAGTGAAAATTTGGAAATATTAGCACAAGAAAATGTTCTTCTGAAACCTGCAGATTGTATTTATAGATTTTAGAGTTTTTAAAAAGGAACCGGGATTTGTTTTATTTTGTTTTTTTCTCTAAACAGACTCAGGTCTGGAAAAGTAACTGTATGGTGGCTCATGCCTGTAATCCCAGCACTTTGGGAAGCCAAGGCTGGAGGATCACTTAAGGCCAGGAGTTTGAAACCAGCCTAGGCAACATAGCGAAACCCAGTCTCTATTAAAAAATAAAAAATTAGCTAGGTGTAGTGGCACATGTCTGTAGTCCAAGCTACTTGTGAGGCTGAGGCAAGAGGATCACTTAACCCAGGAGTTCTAGGTTGCAGTGAGCTATATGATTGCACCACTGCATTCAATCTAGCGGCCTAGGCTACAGAGTAAGACCGTGCTGCCTATCTCTTTAAAACAAAAATAAAAACAGAAACAAAAATACTCCAAATAATTGTTTTTTTAAATGTTTTTTTTTTTTTTTAAATTTATGGGGTTTTCTGGTTCTTACCGGAAAACAGTCCCTTGTAAGACTACATTCTTCAAAAACATTAATGGCATAAAAAAGCAAAGAAAGGCTGTGAAAGTGCTCCAAATTAGAGAAACCCAATAACTAAATGCACTGTCTGATCCTAGACTAGATTCTGTAGTGGAGGGGGAGAGATGTTACAAAAGACATTATTGGGTCATTTGACAAAAGTGGAGTGAAAATTAGACAATTAGAAAATTATGACAGAAAATTATGACCCCAAAATTAGACATGGGGTTTTCCGGTAAGGATCTGAAAACCTGCTAGACAAATTCTAAAAGAGCTGTAATACTTAAACAGGTTTTTAAAAAGTTAATTTCAAACTTCAGAAAAGTTGCAGGAATAAAAGTGTGGTACAAAGAACATCTTGGGTACTTTACCCAGATTTACCAGTGATTACCATTTCTGCCCCATTTGCTTTACTGGTGTGGGTTCTCTTTTTATATGTATTTATATATACACAGATGATATTTTTTCTTAACCATTTGAGACTAAATTTCATATATCATGATCTTTTACCCCTAAATGCTTAAGTGTATATTTCTTAAGAATAACAATATTTTCTTTCATAAGCACAATATACTTTCAACTTACATAGATTTTTAGCATTGTTGAAGTACTTTTGTCTAATTTTCATTCCACTTTTGTCAATTGATCCAATAATGTCTTTTGTAACATTTTTCCCCCTCCACTACAGGATCTATTCTAGGATCAGACAGACAGTGCATTTAGTTATTGGGTTTCTTTAATTTGGAGCACTTTCACAGCCTTTCTTTGCTTTTATGCCATTAATGTTTTTGAAGAATGTAGTCTTACAAGGGAATGTGTCCTTTTGAGAATTATAAAGAGACTAATTCCCCAGAGTCATGAAGTGTATTAGCATTTTTTCAAGCTGAGAAGAAGTTATGCAGCACAATGGGATAATGCATAAGAATCTGTATTTTTGCCTTCTTTTGAGAAAATCTGTCATTGCTGGCCCACCAAACATGAGAATGCCCATGAGTTCTCCATTTCACCCTGTTTGCATTCTTTACCTGGCCCCAGCAAGTATTTGAGACTGAAAGCCCTGATTTAATGATGAAAACAAAAAAACTTTCAATTTTATTTAATCAATTGATGCTGTTTTGATCATTAAACTCTTTTGTCATGTAATATCTATTAATGTTATCCAAATTTGGGCAATGTTGTATATGATTTCTGCTGACTCATGGTCTCAGTAGTGCTTAAAGATACTCTTTAATGGTTCCAGAATCTTTTCTCCCACCTGAAATTTTAAAGTATTTTAGCCATCATCATGTGAAGTTTTTCTAATAGTTATTTATTCCTTTCCAGTGTTTTTAGTTGGGAATCTGTTGCAAACCTGTGATATTGGAAGGGAATTTATATTAGCCCCAGATTTCTCTTCTTGGGAATTGTTCGTGAAGGCATCCTTTCGTGGGGAAATCTACTAAAAAAAATTTGAAGAAGTTTAAGTAGTGACTTCTCTCTTTTCCCAATCTGCCTTCTGAATGTAGAATTTTCTTCTTTAGGCTCATAGAGAAAGTTAATAGGAAGCCTTGCAACTCTTGGTCAAAGTTTAGGTTCATTATATTTAGAAGTGGGTTTTGTTCATGGCCCTACTTTATAATTGGTTAGATTTGAATTGTCTGTCTTAGGATTTGTGTCCTGCCGACCACCTTTTCCCAATAGAGGAAGAAAAGATACCCACTTATATTCTGACTTTTTCACATTTTGGGGGGCATCACTGGCTAAATCTTGGTATTTTTCTCCCCAATTCCCAGAATTTTATCAGAGTCCATTGATTTCCTTTTAGGGAATCTAGGGAGTTCCATTGGTGCCCTCTTAAAGCTGGATATGGCAAGTCTCCTTTGATAAATGTCTTAGACTCTTCTTCATTGTAACCTGACTTACAACGTGTGGCTTGGTGGAGGGGTCTTCATAAAATTTGAATTTTATAAGAAGCCAGTAATGAGTGAACAGCAGTTTCACACATAGGCTAGCCCTATACATCTGTATGGTTGGGAAGTAATCTCTTTGTAACTGATCATTCTTTTTTACCTCATCCCTCTTCAAAGTGATTTAGTGTTGCTGATCTTTCTTTTTTCTTATTCTTGAAAATTAAAACAAAACTTAAAAATAATCCAGCTAATTTCAAATATATTTACACAAACAATCAGGCCTTTTAAATCTCTAGTTGTTCAGATCTTCCCAGAATGTATAAACCTGGGTTTAATTTTTCCTGATTGTTTGGTCCTCAGTAATGATTGCAAGTGACAGGCCAAGTTATGGGCATAAAAAGGGCATAACAGGGCATAACAAGTTAATGCCACTTGTTAAGCAACTTCTTTCTCACTGGGCTTCAATTTCCTTTTTTGGGAGGAAGGCTTTGGACCAGTTGATTTACTAGGTTTTTTTACATTCTTATATTGGGAGATTCTAAGTCCTCCTGGTTGTCCATAAGTCTATAAACCTGTAATTTAACTGGAAAACATTAGCCTCAATGTCCATTTCATCAGTGTTGGCTGCCATTTTGGTCTCCTATACTTGTAGAAGTGGACTTCGTTGGTGGCCTTGTTGTAGGTTCTCAATTCCTGGAGGAGACATGTAAATTACAATATGACTGTGGACCCTTCTCATCTGATTTTCCGTTGGGTTTTAATTGTTCATGTTCCTTCAGGCTTGTTTCCTATGAAACCACTTCTCTCCAATTTGACTGTGGGAACCCCTTCTGAAGGGTAAACTATTCTGGACGTGGTCCAAGGGAGACTGCAGACTCATGTGCCTGTCTCCCAGTTGTTGTACACATCTTCCTTCCTTTTTTCCTTGTGATCACCTTTTATTCCTTGAATTCTGTAGCAAGTGTTTATTGTACTAGGCTCTAAGGAAGCATAATTAGACAGATTCCCAGACTGTGGTTAGATATATGGAGTTCTTTGTTTTAAAGAGAGACCAAAGGATATTAGATTATATTTAACAGGCCTTCTTGTCTTAATAGTCTGCTTCTAAAAATACTCTGTGTGTCTGACTGATAGTCTAATATGGTTCATTAGTTAATTGATTTTTTTCCTTAACAGAGGAACATCTTCATTTTTTTTTTTTGCCTTTCTGCTCAACTCTGGTGCAAAGATGAACAAAAATAGCCTGGCATACAAGGAGTCACTCACCGTTGGGAAAATAGATAGGAAAATACACAGTGCTAGTAGAAGTTGAGTAACGTACTTGAAAGTACTCCACTGACTGTTTGTGGAAGGCTTGAATTGTATCTTTTTCCTAAGGTCTCAACCAATTCAGGTATAGCATGTGTGACTGCTGCAATTTTTAGGAAGGTTCTCAGGAATCTGCAGATCACCTACCTCTTTGCAGCAAACTTTCACTATTACCTTGACTTTTCACCTGAGGAATATTGATTGGACTTTGCAATTCTGTACCAGTTATCTTTAACATGACCTCATTCCATATAAAGGGATTTAAAAGTCATTTTATTTACAGAGAAAAACCACTTGCCTATCTTTTTTTTTTTTTTTTTTAGGTATTTCATGCCCAGTAACTATTATATTTCTTCCTTCCTCCCTACAAGAGAGAAATGAGCTAGTTTCCTGTGATATCTTGTTTGATCTTCAAGTAAACTAAAACTGTTTGGGGCAGTAAGACACTTGTAGGATATGGCTCTTTTAAGCCTTCTAAGATCTCAAGGAGCAAAGGAACATCTGCCTTATCTAACAATTATTAAAAACTACATCTTTAGCTAAATAGATTATTTAGTTGCATGGTAATGTGTCATTCAAAATAATTTTAGGGACTGTTTCCTCAAATATGTTCTAGACTTAAAATAGTATGGTGGTTCTCAAAGAAGTTTTCCCCAAGTATCAGTATCACCTGTTAATTTGATAAAATTCAATTGTTTCAGTTTCACCAGAGACCTACTGATCAGAAAGTCCGTGATTCTGAATAGGACCTAGAAAAATTTTTTAACAAGCCCATTAGGTGGTTCTGATACATGATAAAATTTGGGAACCACTGATCTAATATATTAGTGCTTCAGTCTTATCAATGATAGTAGTAAATCAAAATAGAATATGACAAATCAAGCAGCATTTTATTTTCAGAATAAATGATTTAAAAAAAATACATCCTTCCTTTTTTTTTCTTCCTTCCTATCTCCCTTTTCTTTCTATCTTTCCTTTTTTCCTTCCTTTTCTTTCTTTTTAACAGAGTCTCGGTCTGTCACGTGGGCTAGGGTGCCGTGGCATCAGCCTACCTTACAGCAATCTCAAACCTCCTGGGCTCAAGTGATCCTCGGACCTCAGTCTCCCGAGTAGTTGGGATTATAGATGCAAGCCACCATCCCCGGCTAATTTTTTCTATTTTTTAGTTGGTTGGTTAATTTTTTTCTGTTTTTAGTAGAGACGGTGTCTTGCTCTTCCTCAGGCTAGTCTCAAAACTCCTGACCTCAAGTGGTCCTCCTGCCTCAGACTCCTAGAGTGCTAGGATTACGGGTGTGATCCACCGCTCCTGGCCTCTATGTTTATTTTTGTTACCAGAGATAAAATTAGAATAGGTATTATATATAGTCTAAGAAGAATCACTACTATAATTTGCATGGAGCTGGAATAAATCTTTTACTATATCTAAAATATGCATGTTCTGCCTTTTGGATAATCAGATTGAAATTGTTTTTATTTTTTAAGACTATTTAGCTTGAAGAATTCTTTTAGGAAAAAAAAAATTATTTTGTTTGGCTTTTGATTGCAGAGAAAAATGGAAACGGGAGCCCTCAGAAGACGAACATGAACAAGGTACCAGTGCAGAGAGTGAGCCAGAGCAAAAGAAAGTGAAAGCCAGAAGACCTGCCCCCAGAAGGTGCACTGTTTGCTTAATCTCTGCTTCTGGATGAGCTTGATTTGTGTTAGATTGAAAAGGATGATGTCATGCTGAATGAGGGCCTTAATCAGATAACGGTGTGTTGTGATTCTGGGGTTTAGATGTCTGTGGTTCACTTTGTGCCAGCCTACATTGTGTAGATCTTCATGCTTCTTACTTCACAGTGACTGGTTATGGTGGGGTGAATATGTCTTCAGCTTTTAAAAAATTCCCTGTTTGGCCAGCTTACCAGTTCTTTTTGGGAGAACTAATTCTTAAGTTTAGAACACTGTCTAGTTTAAGGCATGCTTGAGTGTTTATTATCTTATTCATGTCCTCTGTAGAACACTAATTAGAGACTCTGATTGTGACGAGGAGGTAGGCTGAATTAGCAGCAAATTTTGGTAATTTTTGACAAGATGGCACCCTAAGGTGCTGGTGACAGGAAAAGGAAGGCAGGAGGCAGACAGGCCAGGAACATTTTCCTTGTTGTAGTATTGCTTAGGATGGGATCTAGGCCAAATCCCACCAACCACCTATTTTTGTATGGCCTGTGAGCTAAGAATAGCTTTTATAGATGAACATTTATATTAATAATTTATAGTTTTATGATAACACTAAGTTTGAACCCCAAATAAGTGAAATGTTATCTCCTTAAAAAGAATTCTATTCTCATTAGTAGGTATATTTCACAATAAATATCCTTAATGATTATTTTATTTTGAATTTTGTCAGAAAGTCAAATTTTGTGAAAAGTTATTTCATCTTGTTATGTAAGTACCTATATCATGGCCTCAGTTTTGCCTTTTGGCTGGGAAAGCCTGAAATATTTGCTCTCGGGCATTTACAGGAAAAATTCGCTAACCTCTGGCCTCGGAAATTGTATTTGTCCCCTACCCCTGCGGGAAAATTCATCAACTTAAGTTTTGTCTTCTTTCTTCTGAATTTAAGCTCTGAAAACTGAAGTGTCATTCCAGTTCTGTGTTCTAGAATATTACTCATTATTTTTAAAATCCTTACCTGCCTAGAATTGGTTATGGTAGGCATGAGAGTAACATAAATGTGATTATGAGTTTTCATTTCTCTCCTTCTCTTACTACTTTCACTGTTTTATTATTGATGGAATATTTGAGGATTCCCTTATCCAGAGAGCTTTTAGACACTGGCTTTCATGGCAGGGGATGTACATGGGAATCTGCAGAGCAGCCATCTCCCTAATCTGTTCCAGGAGGTCTGTGGCAGGGCACAGTCTCTTAGGTAGTCTTTCAGGTATATTTTGTGCACTTATGAAAAAAATATATGTGTAGTTATTTCTTGTCTTTTACTCCCTTTACACAGATAATAGCATTCTGTGCTGCTACTTCTGCATATTTCTTTTCTCATCTTGGAAATTTTTTCATGTCAGTACACAGAAAACTCCCTTTTTCTTTTCTTTTGACTACATAGTACTCTGTTTATTTTTAAGGCCATGTAGTACTGTTTAGTTCCCAGTTGAAGAACTTTAGAGTTTTCTAATCTTTTGTTATTGTAAATAATGCTATAATGAATACTTTATTATGCCTGTATAGGTGGGTGCATATCTGTAGGATCAATTCCTATGAGTAAAATTGTTGTATTTTTAAGTTTCATAGATATTTCTGAATTGCCTACCAAAAAGATACTATCACACCATGCTGTGTATGTATTTTTAATCACCTTCATATTGGAAATGCAAATTTGTAGTGAATTAGACTATCAGGGATTAGGATTCAGGAATATGCATTTTTAACATTCCCCAAGTGAATGTTACATTCCTATGTATCAGTGGTCCGTAACCTTTTTGGCACCAGGGACCTGTTTCATGGAAGACAATTTTCCCATGGACCTGGTAGGGGGTAGGAGAGTATGATTTTGGGATGATTTAAGCTCATTACATTTATTGTGCACTTTATTTCTATTATTATTATATTGTAATATATAACGAAATAATTACACTCATCTTAATGTAGAATCAGTGGTAGCCTTGAGCTTGTTTTCCTGCAACTAGAAGGTCCCATCTGGGAGTGATGGGAGACAGTGACTGATGTGACAGGAGATGGAGCTCAGGCGGTGATGCCAGCAATGGGAAGCAGCTGTAAATACAGATGAAGCTTTGCTCTCATGCCTGCCACTCCCTTCTGCTGTCTGGTTCCTAATGGGGCATGGACCAGTACCGGTTCTTGGCGCTGAGGTTGGAGACCACAGCTCTATGTACCACTGCTCTGGGAAATACTGTTATATAGATCTGAAGTAGGCACCAAATGATACAGTAAAAACTTTGCCATTTTTTTTCTCTTCTAATTTAGAACAGTGCCCAAACCCCGTGTTAAAAAGCAACCTAAGACTCAGCGTGGAAAGAGAAAAAAGCAAGATTCTTCTGATGATGATGATGAAGATGATGAAGCTCCCAAAAGGCAGACTCGTCGAAGAGCAGCTAAAAATGTTAGGTATGTTGTGTCCCGAACATTTTCTTTGGTGGGAGGGTGAGGGTTAGAACTTGTTTCTTATAAGTCTAGAATTATGCATTTGATAGGTAAAAATGACAACCTATGTCCTGAAGTTACTTTTGGAAATTTGGTAGCCTTCTTGCAAAAGGAATGATATTGAGCCAAGGGGAATATGGATAGACTAGCAATAGCTCATTGCAAGCCTTCATTCCTATAGAGATTTGCTTTAAGTTCACGTCCTGTTAGTGGTGGCTTAGTGACATTATATTCATTTCATCATATTCTTTTTCAGGAAAGATGTTTGGATTATATTTTCTCACTTTGAAATTGTTCTTTGAATGAAACAAAGTTTTCTTTTTTTTCTTTTTTTAAGAGATAAGGCGTTGATCTGCCCAGGCTGGAGTGCAGTGGTGTGATCATATCTCACTTTCACCTCGAACAGCTGGGCTCAAGGATAAGGATAAGGAACGATCTCCCTCCTTATCCTCCCAAGTAGCTGGGACTACAGGTGTGCACCACTGCACCTGGCTAATTTTTTTTTTTTAATTGTAGAGACAAGGTCTCACTATTGCTCAGGCTGGTCTCGAGCGATGCTCTCTCTTCAGCCTCCCAGAGTGCTAGGATTACAGGTGTAAGCCACCGCACCTGGCCCTCAGTTTTCTGAGGTTCAGCTTATGTCCTGATACTTGGATATGATAATTTTATCAAGCTTACTAGCAGGATATTAGCATTAATAGAAAGTGAAATAAATAGATATATGCAGATACTAATATTTTATAGGCATCAAAAAACATTTAATTTTCCTTTATGAGTTTTCTTTTTAGAGGATTTTAGAGGTTTCTTTTGGTCTTCTTAGAGACGGTGAAACTGAGTCCTGGAGATACTGTTAACTTACTCAATGTATCCAATTAATAATTCCAAAGCTAGGACTAGGCTTGAGTATGTTGTGTATAGCTTTGCACTTTTCCATACTATAACAGTACTGCATCCAGGAGTATGTTTTACTTTTTCATGACTCTTAAGCTATTTGTTGTTAATATATGGTGGAAGGTTACACTTTAATATTTTATTACCAGGAAGTATATGTGTTGAATTTCCAAAACTTTCCCAACAGTTTTTGAATATTTAAGTTTCATATTCTTGTTATTGGGAGACAAAATCCAGGGTTGAAGCAATTAATTTTACAAATATTGCTTCTCCTTTGCCTGATGAAATAATAGGAATTTTTTCTTTTAGTATGCTTTTTCTTTCTTTGGGGTAGTTTCCTTGTTTACAAAGTAATGATCTGATACTAAAAAATGAAAAAATAGGAGGGCCCTTGTAGTTTTCTGTATCTTGCTTATACAACATAAATATGTAATCTTTTTAGTTTGAAATAGAAGTTAGTCTTCCTACAGTTATCTATGAGCACACATCAGTATCTTAAGTGGGGAAGAAATAAGCTTTGTGCCTGCTGAATGGCAAATCTGTAAAACAGCATGTTGGAAGCAAAAAAAGGTATGGTTCTTTGTTCTAGTGATGTTATGTATGGAACTGTTTAATTCTGAAAAGATTAATTTATTTTTAGATATTTATTCAGTATTCCTTTTGCAGTTATAAAGAAGATGATGACTTTGAGACTGACTCAGATGATCTTATTGAAATGACAGGAGAAGGAGTTGATGAACAACAGGATAATAGTGAAACTATTGAAAAGGTCTTAGATTCAAGACTGGGAAAGAAAGGAGGTAATATATATTTGGGAAGCAAATTACTTTTTATATCTACTCAGTAAAGTTCAGATTTTATGTATTTTAACTCTTCTTTGGTGAATTTTAGTCCACGTTATGTATTCATTGTGAAATGAATCTTCATGTTTCAGAGCAGAGGACAAAGGAATGTGTCCGATATGTCTTTAAGATTTTAAATTAAGCTAATACAGATCACTTAATGTTTCATAATGCAGTGATGTAGCAGAGATGCCTGCTTATTAACATTAACCAAATCTACTTTTAGTTGTTATTATTAATCTTCTGAAAATACCAAACTGGTTATATACATATTTGGATAATAAAGATTTTTTTATATCTAATTTATTTAACTCATAACTTAATCGGTCTAAAGTAACCTTAAAGTAACCATAAAGCAAATATCAACATAATACTTATTTCTTTTTCCTTTGTTGTTTTTTGTTTTCTTATTCTGTCTTCGTTTGAGGTTAAGGGAATTAATAAGGAACTTTGGGTGGGGGACATTTGTTGGGTGAGAGTATATTTTGATTTTCTATTCTTATTCCTGGACAGAAGGAGTTGTTTTCTGAGTTAGTAATGGACCAAAACAAAAGGGTGTTGCTGCTTTATTTCTATTTTTTTTGGAGAAGGAATTGCTTTGATTTTACCTGCAAATTTTAGAATATAATAAAAATTGGGTTTACATTTTAAAAATATTTTAAATGATTGATCAAATGAATATTTATGAGTTTCTGCTTATTTCAAGTAAAGGATTTTGGTACTTCATCCAAAAAGAGACTCTTTAGAGAATTGCTTATGTGGGAAGCTTTTCAATATCTAGTTTAACGTACTCTGTTTAAAGTGTAATTTAATCTTTTTACAGCCACTGGCGCTTCTACTACTGTATATGCAGTTGAAGCTAATGGAGACCCTAGTGGTGACTTTAACACTGAAAAGGATGAAGGTGAAATCCAGTACCTCATCAAGTGGAAGGGTTGGTCTTACATTCACAGCACATGGGAGAGTGAAGAATCCTTACAGCAACAGAAAGTAAAAGGTCTAAAAAAACTAGAGAATTTCAAGAAGAAAGAGGATGAAATCAAGCAATGGTACATTTTCCATCATGGATTAAAAAAAAATATTTTGCCTGAGGGAAGGGGTAGTTTTTAAATAATGTATGGAGAACACAGCTATCTAGGTTCTCAGTTTTTGCCTTGATCATCTGAATATGAAGCCATTTACAAATGTATTTTATAAAATTGTGATCTTGAAGACTATATGTTTTTGTGTGTGGCTATCAAGGTTTTAGAGTTAATAATACTAATTAGCTCATTCAGCATTTTCCACATGTTATCTCTTTAATCTTCAGAATAAATACATGAGATTTGTACTGTTGTTACCCTATTTTATAGATGGGAATAGTGAACCCATCTCTCCAAGCGGACCCAGGATTTGAATTCTGACGGCCTGACTCCAGAGTGCATTTTTTAAACACCTTGCTATTTTCCTATGGTTAGGCTGGGATAGCTTAAACGTGTGAAGAGTTAACAATTCTCTAATCTTGGTTTTACACAATTTGCAAAATGATATGAAGGAAATGATTAGATAATTTCTAAAACTGTTATAGTCCATTGTGTTTTTTTTTTTTTTTTTTTTTTTTAGACAGAGTCTCACTTTGTTGCCCAGGCTAGAGTGAGTGCCGTGGCATTAGCCTAGCTCACAGCAACCTCAAACTCCTGGGCTCAAGCGATCCTCCTGCCTCAGCCTCCCAAGTAGCTGGGACTACAGGCATGCACCACCATGCCCGGCTAATTTTTTTTCTATATATATTAGTTGGCCAATTAATTTCTTTCTATTTATAGTAGAGACGGGGTCTCGCTCTTGCTCAGGCTGGTTTCGAACTCCTGACCTCAAGCAATCCTCCCGCCTCGGCCTCCCAGAGTGCTGGGATTACAGGCGTGAGCCACCGCGCCCAGCCGTGTTTTTAGTTTACTTACAGCTTTGCATGCATTAGGTAGCATATGAGAAATACGAGGTCCTATAGCACAAAGCTAAATTGAGTAATGAGATACCAGGTTCAACCTGAAGACATACCTGCCAGTGCCATGTGATCAGATAATTTTTCTTTCTCGAATATGGACAAATGGTTCTGATTCTGGTTTTAGTATTATGCAAAATGTGCTACTTTAGTAAATTACATATTTTTCCTTTGACTCAAAACCAAAAATATGTACCCCTAAGGTAGAGGAGGAGTAGGTTTATAAAGTAATTAGGAATTTGAAATCTTCTGAAATACAGTAATATCTAATATCAAGTTGCTGTTGCTTTCTTTTTAAAGCTTTTTGGTACTAAGAATAACCAGTTTGCCAAAAACATCATAAATCAATCTTGATACATAAACTCATACATTTATGAGAAAAGCTATGTTTTTTTTAAAATCTGGAAGATAGTTTTATTGTCCTGATCTGTTTAGATATATGAATTTATCATGTGAAATAGTTAGTTTTAGGTTCCTTCTTAGGTATAACACATTAGAGGGACAAACAACTGGTATACCTGCCTGTGAGTCTAAGACTTTTAATGTTTTCTAAAAGTATTTTTTTTTTTTGTAAAAATCTCTGGCCTAATTACTAGTAAAGATCATTAAAAGCACAGGTATAAGTTAAAAATAGATTTTCTTTTTCACCTTTGACTTTTGCCTTGATACATTGTGTATGGATCCCCAAACTCTAATAGGATTTACTTTTTCTGTCTTTCATTCAGGTTAGGGAAAGTTTCTCCTGAAGATGTGGAATATTTCAACTGCCAACAGGAGCTGGCCTCAGAGTTGATTAAACAGTATCAGATAGTAGAGAGAGTAATAGGTTAGTACATGGAAACTTATTTTAGCCATGTTTAAACTCAAAGAATAATGGCTTTTGCTTTGGGGAGTAATGCAAATTAAAAAAAATGTTACTTTTTGAGATGAGGCTGATGCTGACTTAGATTTATTTTGAAGTGAAAGCTAGCAATATAATGCTGTTAAATTTGAATGTGCAGGATGAGATAAAGAAGTGTTAAGGATAATGTAAAGGTTTTTGGCTTGAGCTTATAGAAGAAGAGAGATATTATTTACTGAAATGGAAAAATGAAAAGGAGCCGATTTTTGTAGTGGAAGCCAAGAGCTTTGTTTGATATTTGTAAGTTTAACATATTTCTTAGTCATCTAAGTGGAAGGTATTATGAAGTCTGGAGCATATATAAGCCTGTAGCTTAGAACTCAGTCTAGGCTGGAGATTTATATTTGGGAATTTATCAGTGTGTAGGAAGTATTTCATGCCTCAAATTTAACGAGTTCATCAGAAATAGAGTATACATGGTGAGAAGGGGAAGTCTGAGAGCTTTCCAGCATTTGGAAGTCAGAAGAAGCCAGCAGAGGAGACTGAGAAAGAACAGCCAGTGAGATATAGGAGGAGAGCTGAGAGAGTGGGCTACTGGAAGCCAAATGATTCACATGGCCGAGAAGGAGGGAATGCTGTTAGTCAAAGGACCATGAGGACTGAGACTTGGTCCTTAAAAATGTGGCGACAGGAATGGCACTGGTGAAGGGATCCATGGAGTGATGGGGGTATAGGCCAGATCGGGGTGGGTTCAAGACAGAAAGAGCTGAGTAGTGAGTATAAACAGCTCTTTGAGGGAGTCTCATAAAGGGGAACAAAGAATCAGGGTGCTAGCCTGAGAAGAATTTATTTTTTAGGATATGAGATGGTAGAATTTATATGTATTCTTATTCATAGAACCTAAAATCTTTTTTTCTTGGTTATAGTTATAACTTTCCTGTCTTTGCATTTGTTTAGCTGTGAAGACAAGTAAATCTACATTGGGTCAGACAGATTTTCCAGGTAAGCAAGTGATCTTATGTATAAATGTTTCGCATTTAAGAGCAGTTCATGTTTTGCAGATTATTTAGTTTTATCACCTGGTGTTTCATTAGTTATGCATAAAACAAAACATCACTTCCCATCTTTAATTGACAATTGCTGATCTGTAAATTTCTGTATACGAAATAGCTCATAGTCGGAAGCCGGCACCTTCGAATGAACCTGAATATCTTTGTAAATGGATGGGACTGCCCTATTCAGAGTGTAGCTGGGAAGATGAAGCCCTGATTGGAAAGAAATTTCAGAACTGCATCGATAGCTTCCACAGTAGGAACAACTCAAAAACCATCCCTACAAGAGAATGCAAGGTGTGGTGTGATTGTTGGCTTTTGGTTTTTCAGGGGAAAGATGTATTGATACAAAGGGTTTGTCACATAGATATTGAGAAGAGAAAATATTACAAAAGTAAATGATGATTCCTATTTTGAAGTTAAAAAGGCTGACTTAAATGTGACATTAAAGAAAATAAGGAAAAGGAGATGAATTGTATAGTGGCTTTGCTGACTTCTTTAATCTTATGATTTACAGAATTAGAAATAGGCTATTGCGGAGAATACTTGAAAGGATTTAGGCATTTTAAAAGAGAAATGACAGGAAAAGGGGGAGTGTCTTTGTAAGTTAGAAACTAAATATATAAGCTTATTTGCTAGATTGGCTGTACAAGTGCTTTTCCTTAGAATTTATTCCATCTGGAAAGTGCTGTGCTTGGGTCTTCAAATTAATAAAAGTACATATCAGACTTGGGCTCTGTCACTGAGAGGATGACGTTCAAGTTAATGGCACCAAAATTCTATCTGGAAAGTACTATGTAACTGCAGGACACACAAGTGTGATAGGGAATATGTGGTCAGAGAGGTACACAGGTAGAGGTGTCTGCGCTCCAGTGGTCATGTAAGGGGTTTTAAGAGCAAGTTGTGGTGCTTGCATTGCTCCTGGCCCTTCAACGATGGATTGGTTCTGCTGGATAGACAGACAAGAGGAGGCCCAAGGTTTTGGTGTCCTGTGAAAGGTATCAAGAGAAAGATTCTTTTAGTGCAATAGAAGAACTTTTAGACCCCAGTGGTGGAATCGAGGGATAATGTTGGTGAGTGCATTGAGGTCAAAGTGTGTCTCAACTACCTTGAAGTTATTTTGACTGTATGGGATAAATAGCAGCAGGATGAAAACTGTGTTTTATTTAGAAAGCTTCATCTAATGGCAGTGTGTAAAAAACTCTGGAGTAAGTCATTATTAAAGTCAGAAGGTCCAGCCAGTAAGATGTCATAGAAGTCCATGAATGAAGAATTAGTGAGAGGACAAGCTGTAAGTAGTGGTAGTGTAGAAGGATTGGATGGGAGAACAATTATGGGGTAGGTTTGACAGGAGTAGATGGATAGCTGGTTTTGAAGGGTGAGAGTGAGGAGTCAGATTCTGTTCACTGCCGGGTACTCTCACAGGAGTGCTGAAACCATCAATAACCTTGTCATATCCTCTTATTAGGATGATACTTCTAATAATAGACCCCATAGAGCACTAATCTTCAGAGAAATGCTCCCTGTAAATGGACTTATGTGGCCAAATAACTTTGGGAGGCATTTCTGAATGAATTTCTCCTGGAAACTTACACTATAGACACACATGTTAGACTTTGAAAAGTCATGAGGAAAGACATTTGTATAACTTTTTGATCCATTGTGTCCCAAACTGATTTGGCCACAGAGTCCACCTTTTGTGCAAACCATAGCACTTGGCCTTACTAAAATGCTATTCTTCAAACCTTTGGAGGTGAAGACCTTCTCTTCAGAAAACCAAACACACACAATTGGGGTTTTTAAGGTAGGTGGGCTGTGTTTCAGAATTTGTACAAATCCCATTATGGTAAAGTTCAGCTGCAGTTAGCATATGACAGATTTTTGCAGAGGCATTGTTTTGTAGTGTTTAGAATAAGATAAAGGTAAGTGTGAGAATAGGAGACTCTTAACTGCCATACTGTAGAGAAGATATGAAAATAAAGTGTTACTTAATGATGTTCACAAACTTATTTTGGGAAAGGAGGAAGTTAACTAAAAAGTATTTTATTTTAGGATGAACTCTGGCTTTGGGAATATAGACCGTGAAGTAAGTGCTGCATGGAGGTGGTGGTTTATATGTGCAATTTAAATTTTTTCACTTTGGTGCAGGGTATGTAAATTGTGGCTAGCATTTTAACATAGGAGCAGGAAGAAAATTTTCTCAGACCTGGGCTTTGTCAATTTTTGTTTATTAGGCCCTGAAGCAGAGACCACGATTTGTAGCTTTAAAGAAACAGCCAGCATATTTAGGAGGGGAGAATCTGGAGCTCCGAGATTATCAGCTAGAAGGTCTCAACTGGCTTGCTCATTCCTGGTGCAAGTAGGTAGAAAAATATGTTTGAAATTTTCTTTACTGTTTTTGGCTTCTTTATTGTTAGATGCAAAGAATTACTTCTTCATACTCTATATTACAGAAATAAAATCATGTGATTGAGAGAAGCCCCTCTTTAGAGTTTTTATTTATGTGTAATACCATTTTATTCTGAAGCAAAGAGTACTTTGTTATTTCAATATTTTGGGGGTAATTTTGTCATAGCCAGAAACCTATATCATAATATGTTACTCATGAGTGTAAATAGCAAGTTAATTTGCCCAAATCTTTAATGTGGAAGGAGTTAGTTGTTATTAGAAGAAAAAAATTTTTTGCGTCTGTTTTCTTTCTAGGCCAGGGAAACCATTAGCTTAACTTCCTATGGTATTGCTGTAGAGTGTGTGATTTCACCACCTGTGTAGGCTGTCTTGGGTAGAGGAAGGTCTCTGATGGTTGAACCTGTGAAAGTATCCTTACTCCTTAATCTTAGGGGAAAATAAAAAGAGAGAAAGAGAGATGAGACAGTGATAGCTCTTGAGGTGTAAAGGTAATTTTGGGCAGTACTTAACACTCTTAATTCTCCCAATTCAGTCACAAATTCAAGTAGTTCCTAATTGCTAAATGCCAGGGACCCATCTAGGCCTTGAGAATTTAACAACGAACCCAGACAGACATGATTTTACTGTCCTTTCTGAACATACAGTGAAAAATACCTTTAATGCCCGCCTACAAATTCCTTTCCCTACATGCAACTCTTAATTTCTTCAGTGTTTTAGTAAAGCAAAAATCTTTATTTCAGAATTAAAGTGCTGTCTAAAAATAAAAACACAGAGTTTTCTAGCTATAGAGGTACATTTACAATGACTGTTTCCCAAGTGAACCATCTACTACTCTTTGTGCTGTAAAATCTAATACAATATTTAATATTCAATTATGAAAGTTAAATATCTTGAGAAACTTCATTTTGTATGACTGAGGACATAGGCCTGATAAAACTATTTTAAATTGCTTGAAAATGATTTTCCTTTCAGAGGATAGTGGGACCATGTCTTCTTAAAAGTTAATTAAAAAGCTAGATGAACTTTAAGAAATTGTATAATTTAACCCTTTCATTTTATAGTTGAGAGCTCTTAGGAGCAAAGGTGCCATGTACCTCGACTAGAGTCACACACTTCCCTTGTACCGTCTTTGGCACTTTTTTTTTTTTAACTTTAAACTGAAGAAATAAAAGTTAACTTACAAGAGCCTAAGCACAGCTGTTACACCCTGGTGACAGACATGTTACATTAAGTAATGTGCTGTTTTGATCTAGTTTCAGAAAAACAGGTGAATCAATTCAAATCTACTTTAGTCTTTATATGTAGATTGTAGTAGTTTGCTAGGGAGAGGAAATCATGTAGAAACCAAACTCTGTTTCTTCCTCAGTAGTGTGAAAGGGGAGAGAAATGAGAAGGAAATTTGTTTAGCTAAATTGTACATAAAATTGGGTGTACCTGAGATTTGTAGAGGTATGACTTTCTATTCTCCCTTCCCCTAATGTGATCCGCTTTGTTCTTTGCTGTACTTTCCCCTCAAACTAGCCATTCTGTGGAACACAGTGTATTTCTAAAATGTTTTCTCTCATTTTGGTGAGTTAAATGTTCTGTTTTTCTAATCAAGTTAGGTTGCCTTTACCTGGTATATTACTTTTAGTTTTCTCTGGCTCACTGAGCATGTATTTACATATGTGCAAACCTTCAGTGGCTTTTAATAATGAACCTTTTAATGTTTGCAACCTTATGTCATACATGTGTTCCTAATTTCCTGCCAAATGGGCTATTTTATTTTATACACAATTAAAATAGACTGGACATAAACCAAAAATAAGAAAAAAATAAGGATAAAGTGTCACTGTCATTTTGTTTGTAGGCAGGAATGCGGAAATTGAAACAAATTACCAGGAAAACATCCCAAAGTAGCTAGGTTACATAATGTTAAAATTCAACTGCCAAAATTAAGTATTATCCCACTTAATGTACAAATGGAAAACAAGAGTCAAAAGTTTATCCTGTTTAGTATAAGAATTTTTACATTAAATATATAGTAGTTCATTTCTCACAAAGTGATACTGGCATCTTTTATAAGAAGTTTCCATTAAGCATTAACTGGAAAATCTCAAATACAGCTAAGCAGCTATACTATACCTCAGTAAGTACCACTAACTGGGCTAGTGTACATTTCAGTTTAATACAGAACTACATTTTGGGTTTTAGAAAGGCAGCAATAATTTATTTTGGCTTTTTAGTCTAGATGCTTAACATTGTTAAGGTGACAATTCAAGAATATTAAGTGAATGTAGTTAAAATTTAATGACAATCATAATCTCTTGCAAACTACTATATACACTGTATAATGCTTATGTGGAATGAAACTAGTGTTCTTAATTAGTGTTTTACACACACACAGAACTACAAAAGGCTATCAAAGGCAATCATTGTAAATGTACTATGCTAAAATGTTCTAAATGCAAATATACCATAGAACTAAAGCAATAAGAACAGCACTACTCATTACCTAGGTTTTCACACAAAGCTAAGCCTGTATCAGTCATCCTAATCATAATGACTTGTAAAAGCATCAAATTTCCAGTAGAGAAACTGTTTTAGGAAAGTTGGTAAATCTCTTGAAAGTTTCATATCTGTAAAACCAGAAAAAGGCTACAATTATCTTGAAATCTAAACAAGATATTAGATGAGACAGTAAGATTCCCAGCCATAAAATTGTCTGTTTTCTGTTTCCCAAATATATGTTCCTAACTCTGGTCATTTCTTCAATTTTTTTCTTGTGTCTGGACAATCCTCTCCTATTAATATCCTCTTAAAATCCAGCCCATTTCCTAGAGTATTTTTTCTCAAATTGTGGTCCAAGGAACACTTGCATCAAAATCTCCAAAGGTGCTTGTTGAAAATACAGAATCCTGGGCCTTTTCCCATATATTCTCATTCAAGTAGGTCTAGGGCAGGGTCCACAAATCTGATCTGTAGCCTACCCCTGCTTTAGGTTGTAGTGTATTTAAAACAAACCCTGTGCACCTCTGCATGTACGCCTAGGGAATAGTGTATATAGCATTAAACAACGTAGTGGCATGCAATAGGATGGGGAGGGTAATTTGAGCAAAGGTATGTGACTGAGAAGGCTATAGGGCTTACTAGTGGTGGATATAGTCAGTTTGCCTATGCTTTCTCTATTGACTGCTCTCAAGGTTATGTGCTTGTCTACATCTTTCACAAAACCTCTTTTCTTGATTATAAGGCATAGCCTATGGAAGATAATGTAAAACACCTAAATCAAGGTAAAGAACATGTTGTTAGTAGGCTCTCATAGTAATCCAAACCTTGATTATGCTTAGATCACTTGTTCTGCTATTTATGGCTTGTACTTTCTTCCTGATGTAGGAGGCTTAAGTAACTGCAGATGAGAGGAAATACCTTTGAGGCTCATGAATGATGCCTTTCTTTGCTGTCACCGTGAAGCATTGGTGTCATTGCTGTTTGTGCACATACTGTTTTTTTGTGAACTAATGATTTTTTTTTCTTTTTTCTTTCTTTGTTTCTGCAGAAGTAACAGTGTAATCCTTGCTGATGAAATGGGCCTAGGAAAGACCATCCAGACCATATCATTCCTCTCCTACCTGTTCCACCAACACCAGCTGTATGGCCCCTTTCTTATAGTCGTCCCTTTATCCACCCTCACCTCATGGCAGAGGGAGTTTGAAATCTGGGCACCAGAGATTAACGTAGTGGTTTACATAGGTGACCTGATGAGCAGAAATACGGTGTGTAAACAAAAAGAGTTGGGATAGAATCTGTGTTATAAGTATAATTTGGAAATTGACTTAAAGCCTTCAGTTGAATTATTAATAAAGTCTTTAGTAAAATTATTATTCTGACACTGTGCTATATCTCCCATATTAGGAGATTTGTGTGTTACAAAAATGCAACTCGGTATTTTTTTAACAAATATGTTTACTATTTAAAGAAAAGCAACAGCAATGTATCAGTGAGAATCTTTCTTAGGTGGATTGCAGTATTTTTTTCTTCTCTCTGTCCTTTATACTTCTTTTTTTTTTTTTTTTCGTCCTTTATACTTCCAAGACCACTTCATATAGTATTTAGAAGATGGAGTTAATACTTTGTGTAACATTAATATTATTTTTGCTACTTGAGGAGAGAGATATTACTGAAAATAATCAAATCCTTAAGAGTTTATTTCCTAATCTCTTAAAACAGATTACATAACTTTTTAAGAAAGGAATTAAAAGTGTAAAGGAAAACTAGCCATTTTAGGGCTGCGGAAATGAAAATTATTTGCCTGTTACCAAACTTTATTTGGGCATCATGAATTTAGAACACAGTGACTTAGGTTTATCTTTCTTTAGCAAATCTTTTCTTGTTATGGACCATTCTCTAAAGCACATACTATACGTCAGACATTTTGTGGGTGCTTATGTATGTATATTAGCTGTTATACTTATGGTAGTCTTCAAAGTTGATGGTATTCTTTCCAACAGACTGATGAAGAAATTGTCTCAAGGAGTCTAACAGCTGTCCCTGGGTCAGCTAGAATGTTGCAGGGCTGGGATTGGGACACTGGTGTATCTGGTCTAAGAGCTTTGTTCTCTCACTGCTGTAGTGAATTGTTTCTGGGAAATTGCTCTTAATAAGAGCAAACTATCAGGAATCTTTAAATATTAGATGTATCTTGTAATCGTATTTTCATGCTCATTCAAATTTATTAAATACTTCCATTAGAATTGGCTATCCGAAACCCTGGCAGATTTCATTGCCCTCATTATGAGTTTCTAAGTATATGATAGTTCTTAGCCTTGTTGATTCACTTGTTAACCATTAGAGGGGAAAAAAACAGTTTGAAAAAATATGCTTCCAAAAGTGAAGGCAATTAAAGCAAGTGAACTCTGAAAAATTGTGGAGACACGAAAATTTTCTTTGTAGTCTCCAACACTCCTTTTCTTTGTTCTTTTTTCCCCACTTGGTGGCGATCACCTGCAAGCACTCAGTGTCCTTTTCTCCAGTTCCTAACATGACAGCCAAACTACAAGAGCTTTGTCACCAGCCTTTGTGCTTGCTGAGTGTCTGGTTGTACTTCAGTATGAATGTGTCAGTTTTTTTGTTCCTTTACAGTGATACTATTTTTGTATTATTGAATTATATTTTTATCCTATAAGCCTCCTTTTTTCTTGGGCACGTTTCTCTCGTGTATGATTAATGAACTTTCTTACTGAGCTAGAGGTTGGAATTTGTTTTACTTGTTAATAATTTTTCTATTCAAAGGTAAACAAATTACATGTTTTTAAGAAATTCCTAGAGATCTGGGAGATCTCTAGTTTTTAGTTCTGGTCACCAGAGTGGCGAAATGACTTTATTGCTGACAAAACTCATTTTCTTGATCACATGTGTCTCTGGGGGCCAATTTCTTTGAATTCTGGCAATAAAGATTTTACTGCTCAGTGGTCAGTGTTTTAGTTCTAACTCTTACACATACTTTGGTTGCTTAGGTCAATTTAATTAATAGAATATATGAGGTATTCGTTAAATTCTAATCAGATTAATTTTTTTATTTGACATGTTTCTATTGCATCTATTACAAGACTTATATAGAAAGGTAGAAAGGTAGAAATTGTGTCTCAATTACCATTTTCTGTTACAGATAAGGGAGTATGAATGGATTCATTCCCAAACCAAAAGGCTGAAGTTCAATGCACTTATAACAACATATGAGATCCTCTTAAAAGATAAGGTATGTAATTGGTAGCTAAAAGGCTAAATTTTGTCCAGTGTGACTTGTCCAAATGGTAGAATCTGTACTTCCCACCTGCCATGTTATTTTTCTTTCTTTATTTAAAAAAGCAAGCAATTGAACAACCAAAAAATTCCTTAAAGAAATTCAGGTTATAAATAGAAAACAGAACCTTAGAGTTGAAGGGGACCTTAGGTCACCTAGTCCAATTGAATTAAACAGAATGGAAGGGTATTGAGGCCAGTAACTTACCTGAGTCAGTTATTGGAAACTTGGCTTGAGTGCCATCTCAGGTATTTCCCATCATATCATCATTAAGGCATTTCTCCAGAACAGAATGGTCTCTGTGAGGAGAACAGAAAATGAAGCTCTTTAAAAATATCTCCTTTCTTCAGTTACTAAGAAATATAGGTAGGTAGGTCCCGTTGGCAATAAGTGCATACAAGTTCAATTTAGTGTCTTTTGGTGTTTCTGTGCTTCAGGGCTGGGGTGGAGAATAGGCAAAAGCAGCATCTTAATGAAGGGGAGAATACACATGTGGTTTTTGGTGTTGTTTCTGCCCAGCATACCAGTTTTTGTGTTCTTGCTCTGGGGCATGCAGTAATACCTGGTGGAAGAGGCTTGCCTATACTTTTAGATGACAATGTAGTCTTTTGAATAGACACTAATTTGGCAACTAGCAGAATAAACAGAAGAGTCCTAATATATATTAAGTCAGTGAAGAATAAATGTGTCTATGTATAACTTTGTGATGGAATTTGTAACAGAGATAATTAACACTTGAAAGCACTTTTGGGATTCCTTCTGACCTGGTGGCTCGTTCTGTTTTGTTTTTACTTTAGACTGTGCTGGGCAGTATTAACTGGGCCTTTCTGGGAGTGGACGAAGCCCATCGGTTGAAGAATGATGACTCTTTATTGTATAAAACTCTGATTGATTTCAAGTCCAACCATAGGCTCCTGATTACGGGGACCCCTCTTCAGAATTCCCTCAAAGAGCTCTGGTCCTTGCTGCACTTTATTATGCCGGAGAAGTAAGCTCCTTCCTGTGTATTTCAAAAGATGCTAGAATGTCTGAAATTCCAGTGTTTTTTAACTTTCTTAATAGACCTTAGGGAAAACAAACAGATGGCCTGGTTTGGGGAAAGCAAATCATTAAACAGAGGCAGGGACGACAGTAGTAAAATGTTTCATTATAAATGATAGAAGGCAGAAAAATCAGCCTGTTAAGGAGGAAAGCATATTGTCTGTCAAAAGTTTGAATTAGTTAGTGCTAATTCAATCACTAATGCAATTAATTAAGTGTTAAATAGGAAACATAAGACCTGCTTACTGATGTTACAAGACGATGGATATGATTGAATTGAAGTAAACAAGCTATGCAATCTGACAAACGTTAGAAAACATCTTAAATCCAAATCTTTGATAACAGGAGCCATCAACCTTAGATTTGATTCAAATCTTTAACTTATTAAAGAACTGTGAAATGTCTTTATTGAAAAGATTTTTATGGGAGAGATAGTATACACATTTTATAGAACTTAAAATTATCTGATGGTGTTCAGTGATACGTAGAATGCAATCTAAATTCATTACTCTAGTTTGAAAGAGTGTGCTCAGTCTGGCCCCTTGACTATACTCTTGACCTATCTCATACCATTTTCTCTATCATTCCTTATGCATCTGCCATTCTGGTCATCTTTCTGTCCCTTAAACATGCCAAGGCATGACCGTGCTTCCCTGTCGGGGATGTTGTTTCTCCTTACCTGCACATGGCTAACCACTCGAATATTTCTGCCCCGCCTGTGTGACTACCTCCTTTCACTACCTAACTTAAAATAGCCTATTAGACATGCTTATTATTATCATCCCTATCCTGTTTTTTTTTTTTTTTTTAATGTAACGCCTCTTTTTTTCATTTATTTTCTCATTTGTCTCATGTCCTTAGATTATGTGCGAGAAAATCTTTGCTTGATTCATCACTGGCTCATATTGCCCAGGATAGCACCTGGCTTGCGGCATTCAATTAATAATTGAATGCAGCAATTCAATCAATATTTGTTCTTGTCAAATTGACAGGTAAATGCTCTATATAATCTTTTTTTTTTTGATTTTTTTTTTTTCAGAAAAGATTTGAGTATCTATTGTGTGCCACGCACTGAGCCAGGCATTTTGGACAGCCTGATGAACAACATATAGTTATAGTCTCTTGTCCTATGTATCATTAATGTTTTTTTAAATAGCTTTATTGAGATAATTTACATACTATAAAGTGCACCATTGTTTTTATTATTTTTTAGGAGATTTACAGAGCTGTGCTACCATTACTATAATTCAGTTTTATAATATTTCCCTCACCCCCCAAAATTCCCTCATGACTGTTTGAAGTTACTTTCTTGTACCTCTAACCTTAGGCAGCCTACCACACTAATCAGCTTTTGTCTCTAGAGATTTATCTTTTCTAGAAGTTTTATGTAAGCAGAATCCTAACATGTAGGCTTTTGTTTCTTACTTTCACTTAGCATAATTTTTTGAGATTTATCCATGTCAGAGCCTATCAGTAATTGTTCTCTTTTAGTGGAGAATATTTCATTGCATACTTCAGTTACTGGTTGATGAGCATTTAGATTGCTTTATTTTTGGGCTATGATACCTTTGTGTGGGCATACTTTTTTTTCTTTTGCTTAGATACTTGGAAGTGGAATTGCTGGGTTGTCTGGAAAGTTTATATTTAAGTTTTTATATATACCACCACGCTGTTTTCCAAAGTGACTATACCCTTGTATATTCCTACCAGAAACATTGGAAGGTTCTAGTTTCTCTATGTCGGCTCCAGTACTTAGTGTGTATTGTCACTCTTTTTGATTCTAGCTATTCTGGTGGTAGTGTATCTCGTGGTTTTTGACTTGCATTTTCATAGTGACTAATGATTTTGAACATCTTTTCATGAGTTCCTTAGCCATTTGTATTTCTTCAGTAAAATGTCTAAATCTTTTGCCATTTTTTTTTAGTTGGATTGCTCATCTTACTATTAAACAGGTTTTTAATTTTTTTAAAAATTTCATTATTTTTTAAATTCACCCATCTGCACATTGATATTTATTTTTTCTAAAAAATTCTAGAGGCCAGGTGTGGTGGCTCACACCTGTAATCTTAGCACTTTGGGAGGCTGAGGCAGGAGGCTGTGCTAAGGAGTTTGATACCAGCCTGAACAACCGAGACCCCATCCCTAAATAAAATAGAAAAACTAACAGAGCTTTGTAGCACACAGTCCCAGCTACTTGGAAGGCTGAGGCAGGAGGATCATGTGTGCCCGGGAGTTGGAGGTTGCAGTGAGCTGTGATAATGCCACTGCACTCTAGCCTGATGTTTCAAAATAAAAAAATTCTAGAGACAAATGTTTTATTAGTACAGACAGTACCTGACAAATGATTTTTCAACTTTACAGTGGTGTGAAAGTTATACACATTCAGTAGAATCCGTACTTTGAGTATCTGTACCAACCATTCTGTTTTTTATTTTCAATATAATATTCAATAAATTACATGAGATATTCATCACTTTATTATAAAATAGCTTTGTATTAGATGACTATACTCAATTTTAGGCTAGCATAAGTGTTACACTTATGGATATTATATCTAAGATTTGCTCAACCTAAGGACACAAACATTTTCTTCTTTATTTTCTTCTAGAAGTTTTAGCTGTTAAATTAGGTCTATGTTTCATTTTGAGTTACTTTTTGTTTATAGTGTGAAGTGTGAAGGCCTTAGTTCCCTTTTTTGGTGGAAGAATTTAGGAAATTGTTCCAGTGCCACTTGTAGAAAGCAGTATCCTTTCTACTTTGAGTTGCCTTGAGATCTTTGTTGAAAGTCAGTTGAGACCGTAAATGTAATGACCTATTTCTGGACTGTCAGTTCTGTTTTATTAGTATATATTTCTGTCCTCATGACAATACCACATTGTCTTGATTAGTGTAGTTTAATGCTACTTTTTAAAATGGAGAAGTTTAAGTTTTACCTTTGTTATTCTTTTTTAGAATTGTTTTGACCATTCTTGATGTGTCATGCATTATTTCTGTCTACATTTTCAGATGAGCTTATTAATTTCTGGACAAAAGAATCTTCTGGAATTTTGATAGAAATTTTGTTGAATCTTACATATCAATTAAGGCAGAATTAGTGTTTTCTTTTATTTAATTAAAAAATCTTTGTATTGTTCCGATTTTAGTAAATGTGCTGCCAAAGGGAGCACAAGGCAGAATTGTTAATTTTAGCCTTCTAATCTGTGGTTATGGAATATTTTCTCCATTTATTTAGATCTTCTGTAATGTTTCTTAGTGTTTAGTAGTTTTCAATGTACAAATCTTACACTTTTTAAAAATTCATTTTGAGTGGAATTTTATAAATCTAATTTTCACGTTGTACTATAGTATAGAACTCTACAATTTGGTTTTGTATATTGATCATGTAACCTGCAAACTTGATACACTTATTATTTCCACTGGTTGTTGGTTGTTCTTTGTATTTCTTAGTATTGCCTATGTACAGAATCATGTCTTCTACATGTTAAAAGTTTGTTTTCCAATGTGGATGTTTTTTATTTCTTCTTGCCTTCTTGTACTGGTGAGAACTTCCATGTTGAATAGAATTGGTGGGAGCAGGATGTTAGCTATAGATTTTTTGTAGATATCCTTTATCAGGTTGAGGAAGTTTTCTTCTATTTCTACTTTTTGAGAGTTTTTATAATGAATGGGTTTTGGCTTTTGTCAAATGCTGTTTTTCCTGTTCTCTTAAGATGACCATGTGGTTTTGTCCTTTATTCTACCAGTATGGTGTATTACATTAGTTGCTCTTTGGACATTAGGCCAACCTTCATTCCTAGCATAAATCTGACTTGTTCATAATGTTTAATCCTTTTTATGAGTTACTGGATTCAGTTTGCTAATATTTTATTAAAGATTTTTACATATATGTTTTTGAGGGATTTTAGTCTCTAGTTATTTTTATATTTTTAGAATGTTTTTGTGGTGTGTACCTGGCTTTGGTATTGGGATGATAGAATGAATTAGAGAGTGTTCCTCCTCTGTTTTCTGAAAGAGTTTATGCATTAATAAGTTTGGAGTTACTTCCTTAAGTATTTGACAAAATTTACTAGTGTGGCTACATTGCTTGTGGGCCTTCAGTTTTCTTTGTGGGAAAATTTTTAATGACTAATTCAATTTCCAGTTACAGGACTATTTAAGTTTTCTGTTTCATCTTAACTCAGTTTTGTTAATTGGTGTCTACCTAGGGGTGTATCCATTTTCTATAACTTGTCTAATTTGTTGACATAAAGTTACAGTAGTCCCTCATAATCCTTTTTAATTTTTAAAGAATCAGTAGTAGTCACAGTAAGTTTTTGATTTTCGTAATTTGTGCCTGATCTCTTTTTCTTGGTCTAGCTAAGGGTTTAAGAATTTAGTTAATGTTTCAAAGAACTAACTTTTGACTTCGCTGGCATTTTCTTCTATTTTGTTTTCTATTTCATTTATTTCTACTCTATTTTTTTCCTTCCTTTGCTTTTCATTTAATTTCTCTTTTCCTCTGAAGGTATAGTTTAGATTACTGATTTAAGGCTCCTTTTCCCCTTTTCCTAATCTAGGAGTTTAAATGTCTATGTTATGCTTTAGCTGCATCCCATAAATGTTGATGTTTTCATTCAGTTTCATCTATTTTCTGATTTTTCTTGTCATTTCTTCTTTGGAGCATGAGTTTTTTAGAAATGCGTTGTTTAACTTACAAATATTTAGGGATTTTCCAAATGGTTTGTAATTCAATTTTGTACATGCTTTGAATTGTAACTTGTTATATGGTCTAGTATGCTTTTTATCCTGGAGAATGTTCCATGTGTGCTTGCAAAGAATAATCTCTATACTGCCTTAGTTGGGTAGAGTGTTTTGTAAATGTCCATTAAGTCAACTTGGTTAATAGTGTTGTCCAAGTTCTCTATATCTTTGCTGGCTGCTTGTCTAGTCATACTAGCACATATTTTAATTGTTAACTGTAGTACTTGAATGTCAACTTCTTTTAGTTGTCATTTTTCCCTTCATATAATTTGGGATTCTGTTTATAACTGTTTACATATTCCTGATATGTTGACCTTTTTTGTCATTATGAAATGTCCCACTTTGCCTCTAGTAATATTGTGTTTTAAGTCTATTTTGTGTGATTTTATTATAGCTCCTCATCTGTCTTCTGGTTACTGTTTGCATTGTATACCCTTTCCCATTATTTGAGCTAATTATTCTTTGTGTGGTATATCATTTTTTATCATTTTACTTTCAACCTATTTTTTTCTTTGTGGAGTCTCTAAAATATGTCTCTTATGGATAACACGTAATTGGATCTGCCTTTTTTTTTTTTTTTAAAGTTTTTCATCCAGACCAATCTTTATCTTTTTTTTTTTTTTTGAGACAGGGTCTTGCTCTGTCACCCAGGCTGGAGTACAGTGGTGCAATCATAGTTCGCTGCAGCCTCGAACTCCTGGCTCAAGTGATCCTCCTACCTCAGCCTCCCAAGTAGCTAGGACTGCAGGTGTGTGCCACCACACCCAGCTGATTTTTTATGTTTTGTGAAGACAGGGTCTCTGTGTTAGCTAGACTGGTCTTGAATTCCTGGCCTCAAGCAAGCGATCCTCCTGCCTTGGCCTCCCAAAGTGCTGGGATTATAGCCAATAATCTTTGTGTTTTGATTAGAGTATTTTAGTCCATTCACATTTAATGTAATTAATGAGGCTGGTCCCAGTGCAGTGATATTTGGTCACAACTGGTTACAGATTCCTTTGTTCCTTTTCCACTCCCACTGCTTCACTTGACTAGCCTTAAAAGAATAAAAAATAAAGATAATAATATAATAATATGGTTGGATTTATTTCTATTTTGCTATTTATTTCCCATGTCTTATATCTTTGTTTTCCCTCTTGCTTCTTTACTGTTTCCTTTTGTTTCAGCAAATATTCTTTCAGCGTGCCATTTTAATTCTGTTAATTTTTTGCTACTTAAAAAAATTTTTTTTTAATTGGTTATTGTAGGATTATTGTAAACGGTCTTCTTCAGCTTAATACTGACTCAATTCTGGTAAAACATAGCAACTTTGCTTCACCATAGTTCTATTAGTTCCATTTTTTACCTCTTTTTATGTTATAAAGCCAAGAATACACTGATATTAATTTAAGACTCTTTAGAATATGTGTAGAGAAGCTTGACCATATTGACTGTGCTGCCCTCACTACATGTGTTACTGGAACAGACTTAAACGGGTTCTCTTTTTTTTACAGGTGTCTTCACTATAGTGTACTTCTGCAGAAGAGCCCCTTCTGCACTCCTCCTTTATCTGCCTCCTTTAGAGCAGGGTTTCTCAGCCTTGGCACTGTTGACATTTTGGGCTGGATAATTCTTTTTTGTGGCGAGCTGTCCTTTGCATTGTAGGATGTTTAGCAGCACCCTTGGCTTCTGCTCACTGTATGCCGATAGAACCCCCTGTTCTGTTGTGACAACCAAAAATGTCTTCAGATGGCTTCTGATTTTTAAAAATCAGAATTCTACTTTTGTGAGAGACATGTTGTGTGGAAGTTGAGAGCTGGGATATGTCTAAGATAATCTCTAGCATCTGTATATATTCACCACTGTTATACCTTTACATAGCTAATTTTAGAAATTAATAATTGTCTATTTTAGGGGACAGCAAACTTTTTCTTAAAGGATCTGATAGTAAATATTTTTGCTCATAAGCCATACAGTCTTTTTTATAACTGTCCATCTCTGTTCAGAATGAAAGCAGCCATAGATAATTCATAAATGAATGGATGATATCTCTATACATAAACATACACACACATTCTCCTTAGTGTATATGTATAAAGAAATGTTATATTAACTACTTTAGTATAACACGAGTATAGTAGGCAGGTGAAAATATTTGTTGCCTAAAACAATTGGGAGGAAGTATCTCTTGTAAGTAAAGTTTACATTTAATATTTTAGACAAGTGTAGTTTTATTTTAATAATGTGTTAAGTAAGTTAAATTAGCCTCTTGAGATTGTCTCCCAGGTATTCAGAAAATTACCTGTGTTGGTCCTACTGATTTCCAGTCACTTCATACATTTTGTTTGTGGGATCTCATACCCAGCTTTGAGATAGTTCAGTTTACATTGTTCATTTTAATCTTATTAGTTTTAATTTCTTGTGTGTTTTATTGTATGTTCTTGGAGAGTTTGCTAAAAAGCATAGCAGTATGTCAAAATATAATTTACCTTAGTTTTATCAGGCTGTAGACTTTAATAATGATTTTAGATTTCTACTCCAAAAGATTGTTTTATCTGTTTCTCTGAAGATGATTGTTTCAGGCATTTCCAGATATTCATAAGGCGTATGCTGATCCACTTAGCAACACCTGATGAATTGCTTGGCCATTTATGAGTTCAGAAGTGGCACTTGACTGTTGAGGCTGTTGCGTCCATTGGCAATGCTGGCATGTGCTGTCTCTGACCTTCCGTCTTACTGGAGAGCATATGCTTTTGAGTAGTTGTAGATAATGTTAGTCTTTTGGGCTTTGTTAGTCTGGGACTTGATTGGCTGCAGCAGATTGGGGCCACTGGTGTCATCAGGCAGACTGTTGGGGCAGTGATTAAGCTTCCAAGTCTGGCCTCAGTTGCTTAATGGTGTGCTTTCACCTACCAAGCTCCAGTCTGTACACAAAAATAGGCTAGATTTTTCAAGCGCTTTGTTGGCTTCCTAGCAGCAAGATCAAGCACGGTTTTCTTAATCCTCAAGAAATAAGTTTCCTTCATTTTTTATTTTTAAAAGTAACTTTATCCTAATTTCCCATTCTAGATTTTTGTTACAGTTTTAGTGAAATAAACATGGTTGAATTAGGATTTATACATGAGAAACCTTTACCTATAGCGTTTAGGTAGAATTATGAGTGACAGATTTCTAAATTCATTAATGAAATTTATGTCTTGAAGTTCTGTTAGTATTAAAGTGGAGTCACTTTTATTGCTCTTCTTGTTTAGGTTACCGTCTTATTTACTATCAATGTAATCCATGAACTTTTTAATCCATGAAGTGAATATTATTGATGGAAGTTATATAATGCCTTTGAGCAGTGATAGCTGTAATAATGCCACTCAATATTCTTTTACCTCTGAGTTTTATTTTCCCAAGAAATGCAGCTTATTAAAAGATAATTTGATTAATTTTTCAGTATACCATTTCATAAGAATAACTTATTTACTTATTAATTGCATATGTACTGAAATATTTTATCAACTCTAGATTATTTCATGTGATAATTGGAAACCTGCTGTTATCCAGTGTAGGTGAATGGAGTTGATATCAGTTTGGTTTCCCCTTCCTTTTTTGCTTTCCCTTCTCTTTTATTCAAGAGCTCTAGTGAGTGATGGGTTTTGAGTTTCCTTATAGGAGAGATTCATTTTTTTTTTTTTTACAGGTTTTTTTTTTTCATTCAATTCCTTGTATAAGAAAATTTAGTCAAAAAATGTTGTTTTCCTTAATGAAACTAAGTAATACTGTACTACTGTTTCATCCCTAGGTTTGAGTTCTGGGAAGATTTTGAAGAAGACCATGGCAAAGGGAGAGAGAATGGCTACCAGAGTCTTCATAAGGTGCTAGAGCCTTTCCTTCTCCGGAGAGTCAAAAAAGATGTGGAGAAATCCCTTCCTGCCAAAGTGGAACAGATTCTCAGGGTGGAGATGTCGGCCCTTCAAAAACAGTATTACAAGTAAGTTCTTGTTTGGGTTGGGCTAAAGGAACTGAGATCAGCAGCGTGAAGCCATAAGATAGATAGATTGATACATAAACTGTGTGCTTTTTTTTTTTTTTTTTTGAGACAGAGTCTCACTCAATTGCCTGGGTTAGAGTGCTGTGGCATCAGCCTAGCTCACAGCAACCTCAAACTCCTGGGCTCAAGCTAGCCTTCTGCCTCAGCTTTCCAAGTAGCTGGGACTATAGGCATGCTAATAAGGCCAAGGGGAAAAAAAATGTGTGTATGCATGTATATGTAATTTTTTCTATATATTTTTAGTTTGCCAATTAATTTCTTTCTATTTTTAGTAAGAGATAGGGTCTCCCTCTTGCTCAGGCTGGTTTTGAGCTCCTGACCATGAGCGATCCCTGCCTCCGCCTTCCAGAGTGCTAGGATTACAGGCGTGAGACACCTTGCTTGGCCCACTGTGTGCTTTTTAAAATGAATCCTAAACACAGATTTAAGTAGCAATATATTTACAGTAAGAAAAAGGGAGGTTTATTATTCTTTCTTTCTTGTTTGGGTAAGTGAGAATTTTTACAGCACTTTTTATTATGTTTGTGATCTGAAGTATGCATTATTTATTAGTGCTAATCCCCCTATCAATAAACAGGCATATTTTACTTATTCATATATATTTTGTCCCTGCTTTCATTTGGTAATTTATTAAGCTTCTGTCAGGCATCCTGCTAGATACTGGGCACATGAAGATGAATAAATAATGTCCTTGCTAGAAGACTTGTGTGGTAGGGAAGACAGACTACAGACAAATAATAATTAAAGCACAGTGTGTGTAATAACAGAGGCATATACAGGGGCCTGTGTGAGTTAAGAAAAAGCACTTACCTCCATATTGCTGGGTGTACATTCTTTTCTTTGCAGTTGGCATGGGGAAGTTATGTACTTGGCTTGGGTTATACTATGTTAAAGCCAAAATAATGTATTTGGGACAGAGCATGTTATATAGTGTGCTTGTCATAGGCTTTAATTTTGATGATTTAAAGTTGGATCTGGAATAAGAACTTACTGCCATGTAAGTTAGTCTTTTTAAGTTAGAGATCTAGTAATCTTTCTAATTATCAATTATATGGCCAGTGTTAATTCATCTGTATTGTTTCTTGCCCTCCTCCACTGCCCCCTAGTCATTTTCAAACATACAGGTACATATCATAAATGTTTCATATATATATCTCTAAAAGACAAGAGATTTTTTTGTTTTGTTGTTAATTTTAATACTGTGATCTTGTGTAAAAAACCCAATAATTACTCTTACTCAGTGGTTTTATAATGTCCAGTAAATGTTTACATTTTCCTGGTTGTGATATCCATATACATGCATACACACATTTTTTTTCCCTTGGCCTTATACATTTTTTTGAATGAAGAAACTGAATTTATGTTACATAGACTTTTCTCATAGCCTAGATTTTGCTGATTCCAGCTCCATGACATCATTTACCAGTTTGCTCTGAACTTTGTGTTTTCTGTATACTCATAGATGAATGTAGAGGCTTGATTAGGCTCAGACTTAGTGTGAATATTTCATAAGAATGCAAAGGTATATTTTTTACAGGAAGGCTTACTTTCTTTGTATGATGTTAACAACTAATGATGAACATTGCCTAGATCCATTAATTCATTAGGGACTACAAAACTAGCACTCTTATTCTAAGACTATTGTGTGTATAAAATGAATTAGGTTGATATAGTTAAGAAGTCAGATTTTTACGGTGGGTATAAGATCAATAAGGTCAAATAAAAGCTCTATAGTATTGCTTAACTAGAAAGAATTCATGGGCCGGGCGCGGTGGCTCACGCCTGTAATCCTAGCACTTTGGGAGGCCGAGGCGGGCGGATAGCTCAAGGTCAGGAGTTCGAAACCAGCCTGAGCGAGACCCCGTCTCTACCAAAAATAGAAAGAAATTAATTGACCAACTAAAAATATATATAGAAAAAATTAGCCGGGCATGGTGGCGCATGCCTGTAGTCCCAGCTACTCGGGAGGCTGAGGCAGTAGGATTGCTGAGCCCCGGAGATTGAGGTTGCTGTGAGCCAGGCTGACGCCACGGCACTCACTCTAGCCTGGGCAACAAAGTGAGACTCTGTCTCAAAAAAAAAAATTCATGATGTATTTTTATTTTTAAAAACAAATTTTCTAATTTTCAGATTTGGAATACTCAACTTGAGTGTATATAGACACACACACTTAAGTATGTATAAATAAATTATATATAAATATATATAAAGTGTGTATATATACGTATATGTGTGCAAATTTATTATTTCTATATGGAGAGGGGTAGAGAGAGAGAATTGTGTCCTTTTAATATTCCTATGTTCAGTAAGGTTGAAATACCCAGTGGAATCATTAACGTTTCCAATTCTGACTAGAGATGTAAAGGATCATGGTTAGGCGGCAGGCGATGCAAAATAAAATATCCTCTCTGTTTTTTTAACTTTCTTAGATTTTTTTTCCAGTAGTACTACTATTTCTTGTAATGTGGTACCCATAACTCGGTTTCGTTATATCTAGTAGTGTCATTATCATTTTAATTTGTAGATGGATTCTGACCAGGAATTACAAGGCTCTTGCAAAAGGCACAAGAGGCAGCACATCTGGTTTCCTTAATATTGTGATGGAACTGAAAAAATGCTGCAACCACTGCTATTTGATTAAACCCCCTGAAGAAAATGAAAGGGAAAATGGACAGGAGATTCTTCTGGTGCGTAGTTCCTCTTGTTCATAATTACTTTTTCAAAGACAATTTAGTTTCTTCAGGTGCTTTTCATCAAAATGTTCCTTTTTATCCTTGATGACCCTTCCAGGAGCATCAAAAAAAGCTTTAAAAATAGGCGGAAAAAGTTAAATAACTAGGAAGACTCTGGAAAGTAAAGTATCAGTAGATACTAGGTGAAATGAACATTTCAGAAATTGCTGGTCATCCAGATTGCCAAAGGCTTCAAAAGGCTTAAAAATGATTTTTAAAATATGAATTCTTAGCAGTTAAGGGCAGGTTGAAGTATGTGTTTCAACATAATGATTGGAATATCTTAAATCTTCAGTCCTTAATCAGGAGCAGTGGGAAGCTGATTCTGTTAGACAAACTGTTGACAAGACTTCGAGAAAGGGGGAACAGAGTCCTTATCTTCTCTCAGATGGTGAGAATGTTGGATATTCTGGCCGAGTACCTGACTATTAAACACTATCCTTTCCAGGTAAAGTGGTTTCAGTAATTGGGGAGATATCTCTTCCCTCTCCCTCTCCCACTCCCACTCCCACTCCCACTCCCACTCCCACTCCTGAGTTGTATGTCTTGTTTGTTAAAGTAGAAGAACACAAGAGTTTTCTTGCTTGAAAAAAATTGAGGTTAAGATTTCAGGAGACTCTTGATTTTTACTTCCCTGCCTTTAATAAACTTTACCCTGTGAAAATGATCATGTGAAGATCATTCTTTTCTTGAAGGGGGGGGGTGAGTGGGGAAGATTCGAGAAAGGAGAATTGGGCAAGAGAAACGTATGTTAGATAGTGTCGTACATCTCTAAGTCTGTGGTAAAGGCAGAGAGGAAAAAAGGGTGAACCTGATTCCAGAAGCCCAGATCCTAGAAAGAAAGAAAAAGAGGTAGCAGTGTTGTATATTCACCCCAAAAGATGTTGACGCTGGCTGTGAGGCTGGGAATGCAGCAGAGGAGTGGTACTTAAAACCCTGTGGTCCCTAAAGCAAATGTTGATGGCCTCCTCTCTTTTCTGTGGAGCTGTTACTACTGGCCTTCATCGTCACTCAGCTCCTATGGGGAAAAAGTTTCTTCATTGTAACAATATTTTTCTTGGTGTTTAATCTATTGGAAACTTATCTCTGATCTACTCACAGGTATGTAGACGTGTGCAGTTTACCTTGACATTTGGCATAATATTTTTATAGTGCTTTTGATTTTTAAGCTTTATTTCTAAAAAGTTTTTTTCTTCTTAAACTTTGGATGGGCTGTTGCACCAACTCATCTAATTACATTGGTATTAATGAAAATTGAAGTCAGTGATTATCTCCTAAGAAGGCCCAACTTTTTTTTTTTTAATTTATTTTTTATTTTTTTCATAGTACTAGGTATCAGTGTAAGAAGGCCCAACTTTTAAGACTCATTAGCAGTTTGTCTTTCAAAATACCCCGAAAAGCATTATTGTATCCAGAATATCTTGTGTGGTCTTTCAGCAGCTGTCTTAGAAATATAGCATAATACTTTGGTTATTATCAAGAAACAGCACACTGCAAAAAGACAGTTCTCTCTCAGTGTGTCTGATCCCTGTGAGCTTTCATTTCTAGGTAATCATATGATATCAGTTAAATCAAGAATGCATCATTCTTCTCTCTAGGAAATAACTAAGCCAGAGTTCTTCAGGTCTTTTGTACCTAATCAGTGACTTTTAGGCAATTGTCTTAATGTCCTCTGTTAATGGGAATATTAAAAGGAGGGCATTAGGTTTTCTGGTTTCAAATATAGGCTTTGAACCTGCCATTTAAACATCTTTGGTTCAAGGCTCTGAGTAGAATTGTAGTCCATGAGAAAGAAAGAAAGAGGCTTCCCACGTGTGTGATAACTTGAGTTTGTTGGTCAGAGCTCTGGGGAAATGTAGGTCCATCTATGGATGCTGTTGCCAGTCTCTCGGGTCAGTTTTGCCTTCTGTAAAATGAGGTGATTTTTGTTCATCTCAAGTGGTAATTGTTAGAGAATGAAATGTGAAACTGATTTTGAAGAGTGAGAAATGGTTTATAAAATATACAGCATATAGGTGATAATTCTTCAGCATTTGTTTTATGTATTATATAGTTTCTCGGTGGTGACATTGTTTTGTTCCTAGAACAGACATACACGTTCTAATAAAAGAATTGTATGTACCAGTTAATGCCAGAGGCTATCTTGACTTGACAATGTAGTTTGGCTGCTTGAATACTTTTCTCTGATTTCAGACTGTAATTTTTGGAAAAGCTTGGGTATATGGTTAATTGTTGTTAACACTTTCAGTGTTTAAACAAAATATTTTCCAAATAACATTATGTAATTAGCTAACAAGCATCATTTTTCTGTAGGAACTAATTATTAGTTGGCCAGTGGTACTATTTCCTAATCTATTCAGTACTTCCAGATAAAGAAGTAAACCAAGCCTCTGAGAACAGGTTGGGTTTTCATAGTTCTCCTTATAGGTCCTGGTGGATATTCTGGTCCTAAATAGCCCTTTGAATCAGAAGCTTCTGACCTTAAGTCTGTAACTGGAGAGCTTGGGTCAAGTAGGGCATACTCCTTAAGCGCAGCCCCTTCAGCACTTTGCCAGTACACTCCAGTTATTTTTACTCAGTGGGTGTTCAGGTGATAAAGATTGCAAGTCTGGTGTTCTATTTTGAGGGTAGCTGATCTCCCTACCTTATGATTTTCTTGTGGTTTATTTTTACAGCGTCTGGATGGTTCCATCAAGGGAGAAATCCGAAAACAGGCACTGGACCACTTCAATGCAGATGGGTCTGAGGTATACTATCCATGGCTTTATTTGGGATCTTGGGTTCTGTATCAAGGGGAAAGTCTTTTCAGCTTACTCTGTCTTCTGTTTCAGAAGTAATTTGCAGGCAATTCTGCCTTGAGAATAGAATGAGAAATCCCTGATATAAAAGATTCCTATTTTTGTTGTTTGTCACTCTAGAAAACCATATATATGCTTGTTTATCTCCCCTGGTTTTGATTAATAACTGAGGCATTCTCCGATGTCTTCTACATACCACATTTCTGGGTCTGGAAGAGCAGTAAGGCAGTAAGGGGAGCAGGGAGGGTTGGCCATTAGGATTAATTTTGACATATATATTAGAAGGTTCCCATCTGTACTGTTTTGGTGATTAAGGCTTGAAAAGTATGTTTGCCATTACATTGATGTGTCAAGTTCATTGATGTGATGTGACTTAATGTTTTTGCTCTGGCTAATAGTAGCATGGTTAAATCAGTAAGCATCCAGCTTAGATTTAGCATTGTATTTTGTTTTGGGAGCACATATATAGAAGAGTTACTTAGGACAAATTAGAAACTTTAATAACCAGTTTGCACATATCAAATTATCAAATGCCATGGGATTTGAGAGAAGTAGAGGAGAAGAACTTAAGTGTAAGTTAAACGATATACATAATAATAATGTATAACCATATACATACATAATAATGTATAGAGGTAAAGGAAGCAGTGGAGAAGTAGAATTAGAAGTGTTTTGGAGACAATGTTAATTTTTGGAGCCTGGGCCACTTTTTTTTTTTAATAGAATAGACTTTGCTTTTGGCTTTCCGAAGAGCTTTAAAATTCTTAATGCCTGTGCCTGTTAGTACAGAAGGCTATACTTTCTCTCTCTAGATTCGTAGAAGTCCTAGTTAGACAAGTATCCTGGCTATTTCTGTTTTCTACAATTTTACTTCTTCTTGAGGGGCTTTGGGCATTAATCTATTTAGAACCAAGGCTCTGAATTAGAGATAAGAAGAATTACTAAAGACATAGGTCATCATCTAATTCCCGTCACTTCTTTCCCTGTTCCTCATTTCCTCAATAAAATTCTTGGTTTCAATACTTCATAATATTTTGTGAGGTTTAAATTTGGTAATTAATATAAAGAGCTTATCACATTGTCTAGCACATAGAAAGCACTCAATAAATGTCAGCTATTTTTATTATAGAGTATTTGTTGAAATTGGTTTTGTGTTTCCTACTCCTAGTTTAAAGAATAGTATGAGTTGAATGTTTCATATTGCCCTTTCTCAGGAAAAAAAATAAGTTACTTTTTGTAAAGCTTTCATCCCACCTAGGGCCATGTATAGAATATAAGTTTTCTGCCATTTTCTGTAGTGATTTAAAAATTAAATATTTATTATTGGGGGAAAATATTATATGCCCATTTGAAAATTTGTAGAATGGTGAAGAGTACAAAGAAGAAAAAATTGCACAAAACCCTCATCCCAGACACAACTTGCTGACTTGCTATTCACATCCTTGGGGTATATTTCCATTCATACTGGATGGAAACATTGATTTCTTTATATGTTTATCTGATTGCAATCATGCTGCATATATAGTTTTGTTTTCACCTTTTATTCAGAATTATACTTTGAGCCTTTCCCCATGTCATTAAAGATTTTACAAAATTTTAATTTCTAATATTTCGTCATGCTTTTACCATTATTTAACCATTTTATTATTGGTGAATGTTTGGATAAGAGTATATGAGCATTTTAAAAATATTTTTGATACACTTTGCTAAATTACTTTTCTAAAACAATTTATATTCATACTGTTATATATAAATATTCTCATTTTTACCTCACCCTTAGCAGCATTGAGTTTCATAATTTTTTAACTTTTGTCAATTTAATAATAGTTGAAAACATTATTATAATTCATGTTATCCTCAATAAAGAGTGACATAGAAAATTGTTGATACCATTCAGACCCCAGATTTTGTTTTAGGTATCTCATCCTTAAACTGTCCACGTACTGTGGTGGTGTTTGATATTTCTCCCAAGGATCTCAGACTGTGTGCCTAGACATAACCTGTTGATTGGTTTTTTATTGAAATTGTTTAAAGTTCTTGTGAGGCAGCTGTCTCCAGTTTTACATCTGTGGCATAATGCTGTTGAGTGCAGCTATTAGAACATGGAGACCTTTTCGTTGCATCTGCATATGTGCACTAAATGTACCTATTTATCAAGATATAACCCAAATCTGCCAGTTTTTGAGTGCCGCTTCTTTGCCAGAAAAGGTGGCAGCTTTTTACATATGGGATAAATTCCCTGAAAGTAGAAATGTTTTGGCTTTTGTTGTCTGGCTCATGTAGTTTATTCTTTTGCTCTTGTCTCCGTGTGTTTCTGAGCACCCAGTTGCAGGCAGGTGTGCTGTGCTTGCCCAGTGTCTGTTATCATTGCCATGGAAACTAGACGATGTCAGTGCTCAGTCATTTCACACATCACTCTTCAGCCAAACCTGTTTTTCTTTTTGCATGTTTTGTGGTGATCGAGGATTCTGTGCTTCTCAGCAGTTCCAGTATGTGATCCGTTTAGTGCAGTGTTTTTATATTCCTCACCTGCCTAACAAATGGATGGACATTTACATAATGAAGTATCTTTGTTTATGCTAGCTGCCTTACATGGCATAATCTGTCTTTCTCCAGAAAATAATTGTCTAGGTAACTTGCTAGAATGAATGATCCCCGTTATAATTAAGTTTGTCTGTTTTTTTTTTTTTCCTTTTCCTTTTTCTTGTATACTAGTTTTAGCTAGGAGATGACAGTGATTCTCTTGCTCCCGTTGCCTTATTAGATTCTGCTTTATTCCTTTGTTCACTGCACTGACTCTTCCTCTTAATCAAATGAAAATTCACTCTGCCATCAAGTCCCTGACATTCTTTTAGCCTCCGTAAAGTTTGTCCATCATATCTCACTTTTCTTCACACCTGCAGGGGTCCAGGTATAAGGGCTTATTGGACTGTGAAACTGTTTCTGAGAAGGCCACTGCATAAAGTAGTATATTGCATTGTGTACAGGACTTCTGTTTCCTGCTTTCGACAAGGGCTGGTGGCCTAGGAATCAATTTGGCTTCAGCGGACACAGTCGTCATCTTTGACTCTGACTGGAACCCCCAGAACGACTTGCAGGCACAAGCCCGAGCCCATAGAATTGGTCAGAAGAAGCAGGTCAGTGGAGAGAGGATTCTGGATTTGGCTTTGGGGTGGGAGGGTTAAGGGGGTTTATTGAGCCCTTTCAGGATGTTTGGAAAATGCTTTTTTCCCCTCTTTGGCTTTGATTTTCCCCAAGTTTTTATTTCTGTTTGTTAACTAATTCTGGGAAGAAATGTCATCTTTGGGCCTAAGATGAACTATTGAGGAACTTTTCCTTTTCTCTCTTTGAAAAGTACACCACTAGTGACTTTCTGTATGTTTACCCTAAGAGAGATACATGATAATTAGATGTAGAACTGAGCATTTTCTCTATTTTAATATGGAGAAGTTGTTATATATTCTAGCATTGTTTAAGATGGTCTGTTTTTATTATATATGGGAGTCTTAGCTTTAAGATACATTGGAAAACCACTTTTTTCTTTGGTTTATGAATCTCAAAGTCTATTCTTTGTTAGATAAGTCATAAGTTGGCTGAAGATTGTGTTTTTTTGTGACATTTTCCATCAGTGAAACTTATTGTTTTTTAGCAAGCTTTTTTTATCATTAAACAGGCCATATAAACAGAACTTCAAAGGCAGTTTTATTTAAGAATGCAACCTGCCACAGATACTGAAAATATTACATCTATTTAAGCTGCCCTCTTGGATGGATAGCTTATAGTCATTTATGGTAGTGAAGAACAAACGTTTTTTTCTTTTCTCCTCTTGGTTTTTGACAGAGGTAACCGTTTTCTTTCTTTCTTTTTTTCTTTCTTTTCTTTTTTTTTTTTGGATCAGACATAAGCATAAGATTTCCTTTTCCTACAGGTAAATATTTACCGCTTAGTTACAAAGGGGACTGTGGAGGAGGAGATCATCGAACGGGCCAAAAAGAAGATGGTATTGGACCATCTCGTGATTCAACGCATGGACACCACTGGCCGGACAGTCCTGGAAAATAACTCGGGAAGGTCTAAGTAAGTGCCAGAAAGATTGGGGAGGGTAGGCAGAATCAAATCGATTTTACGTCAGCATTTGATATAGTTCATTCTTCTAATAGGATCATCTACCACAGACATTAATCTATTCGTTGCCTGGAATCGGCCAGGCCGTGACCACAAGAAGGATGGCATTTTTATTTTAGTTTGCTTTCTCTGTTTCTTCTTGCATTGCCCATCAACCCTCTGCTTAACCTTCTCCCTCATTCTTTCCCTCGCCCTTGCCTTTGCTTTTGGCTCCATGGCATGTCACAGCTGCAGCAGTGGAGCTGTGTGTTGGGTGTCAGCTCAGCACAGTGTCGTCGCTTGTGACTTCTCAGTGGTGAGAATTCACTAGGCTGATTTGGAAGCTTTTTTTTTTTTTACCATTGGTAAAAACGTCTGTGTGGAGATTGTTGTGGTTCTTTTTTATTGAAAACAGAAGGGCAAAAAGGGAAAGTAGTGAAGTTCCATTTGGCTTTAGGAAGCATAGCTATTTCTCCTACGGAGTTTCCATTTTGACCAGACTGTTGATGTCTTCTGTGGTAGTGCTGCAGCTCGGTTAAAGGTGAATTCTAATTAGCCCTTCCTGCAGAGAATGCTCTTAGGTAATTTTACATTTAAGAGGAACCTAGATGAAAAAAGCCTGGCTCTTTTATTTTGGACCAGAGGTGAGAAGGTTGAAAATTTTTGGTGAATGACAACTTTCTGAGTCAAAGGGCAGAGAGAAGAACTTGATTTTTTTTCATATTGTTAATCATCTTTTTTGCTTAACCATGTAATAGGTGAGCCAACAGGACCGTAGTAGATTTTTTAGTCTTCTGCTGGGTTAGGGTTATCACCACAGACTCATCCTGTGGATAAAAAACGAAATATTTGAGAAATCATTTTTCATCAGGTAGAATTTATATTTTCACCAGTTATTTTACCCCTTTCTAAAAGATAGTTATTGTGAAGTAGAACTGCTTAGAGATTGACATTCCTAAGAGATTACAACTGCATTTTAATTCTACAGCTCAAATCCTTTTAATAAAGAAGAGCTGACAGCTATTTTGAAATTTGGAGCAGAGGATCTCTTCAAAGAACTTGAAGGGGAGGAGTCAGAACCTCAGGTAATTAACAATGAGAAAACAGAAAAATTTTTAAGAAGCATCATCTGTAAGTGTCTAAATTTTTCTGGAAGAAGATTGTGAGTCTGTGTGAGAGGCTTTTATAAAGAAAAAGTAATTACTTGAAGGACATAGATTCTTTTTTTTCCTATGAAGCTCAAAGCTCTTAGTAAATTGAATAGGAAAGAATGAATAAAGAATTTGAAGAATCTGCCTTTGGGTACCTGCCCCCCCCACACACTTATTTTTATTTCTTTAAATTTCTGAAGTTTCATTTTGTTATTTGTATTAACAATAATTTGGAACATTAGACTATAAAAGCAAATGGAATATTGGAAAGGAGAGTTGGTTTGTTTGCACAAAACATTTTTTTTTTTTTTTTTTTTGAGACAGAGTCTTGCTTTGTTGTCCAGGCTAGAGTGAGTGCCGTGGCGTCAGCCTAGCTCACAGCAACCTCAAACTCCTGGGCTTGAGTGATCCTAGAGAGAATGAAGTGTCAACAAGTGCAACAGATGAGCTTCTGTCACAATTTAAGGTGTGCATATATTTGCGGCAGAGAGCTCTTGGCATTGATGCATTAACTAATGCTTACTAGTGTCTACAAGCACTTTCTTTGTGTTTAGGCACTGTGCTTTCCCCTTTACCTGAATTGGCTCATCTCCTCAATATCATTCTTTTAGTTATCAGTATATTGTGAAAGTAGATTCTCCAGTGCTCACCATGAAGGTGACCCCTGAAGTGGGCTCTCTTTTTTTTTATTTTGAGACAGAGTCTCGCTTTCTTGCCCAGGCTAGAGTGAGTGCCGTGGTGTCAGCCTAGCTCACAGCAACCTCAAACTCCTGGGCTCAAGCGATCCTCCTGCCTCAGCCTCCCGAGTAGCTGGGACTACAGGCACGAGCCACCATGCCCGGCTGATTTTTATATTATATATATTAGTTGGCCAATTAATTTCTTTCTATTTTTATGGTAAAGACGAGGTCTCGCTCAGGCTGGTTTTGAACTCCTGACCTTGAGCAATCCGCCCGCCTCGGCCTCCCAGAGTGCTAGGATTACAGGCGTGAGCCACCGTGCCCAGCCGAAGTGGGCTCTCTTATGCAGAGGACTGAGAATGTGCGGGCTAGGTGGGAACCAGGACTGTGGAGGGCTGTGGGAGACATTAACAGAGTCAGATGCCCAAGAGTGGTCAAACGTGTGAAAACTATTGGTGACAATTAGAAGGTTCTTGATGACTTGATGAGATTTTTTTTTTTGGTAAAAGGGAGAGAAAGGGGATGGTCACTGGTGTCTGATAGAACAGGAGATTGATGAGATGACATAGTTGAGGTGAGGACTAAATGCAGAAGCTGGACACCAGATGGATAGGAGGTGGCAGCGCTGAGTATAGATGTTATTAAAAAGCTTAGTGAAAGTTCAGGGAAGGGAAGTTACATGATTAGAAGGGTCAAGCAAGGCAAGGTTTTTGAATGGTGTTGCGATATTTCTAGATTGAGGAGAGCATTTGAGAACAGGGAGCTAGTGAATGTTCTAAGGAAAGAGGACGAGTTGATGGTACATTGCGCCAGAGGAGACTGGAAGAGATACAGTCAAAAGCACAGGTGGAGGATTTGGCCTTGGAAAGAAAAAGGACAAGTACACGTTAGGGAAGAGGAGGAGAGAGAAGATGTGAGAGTTTAATTTATGACCTTACTTTGCAGTAAAGTAAGTGAGGTGTTTGCTGAGAAGTGGAAAAGATGGAGCAGCAGGAAGTTATGTGGAGGAACTTGATAGGGAGTCACCTGAATTTAGATGATATGGCTTTGCTGTGGAGCAGTCAGCAGGGTCATATGACTTTTTCCAGCAATACTTGAGGTCAGAGAAATTGGATCCATTGGCAATCCCAAGGTGGGGGATTGGCTTAGGAGGCACAGGAAAGTCATACTGGCAAAGGTTTCCAAGATTGATGTGAGAACATGAGTGAAATGATCGGCTGTGGGTTGATTCCATGCAGTTATGAGAAGCAAGAGAGATCTGGTAATTAGAATGATGGTTGGGATTGAGGGGAAATTGAGTGAATTGCTTAGAAGGAAGCAGTATTGTATGATGAGCTGGAAAGCTGGCCATAGGTAGAAGTTGTTTCAGTGAAAGAACAAGGAAAAATTTTGAGTGGGTCAAAGAGTTCTTAGGATCAGAGTTAATGTGTCTCAGGATACAAAGGATAGGATGGAAAAGGATGAACGTCAATTATTAGCGTTTCTTGTAGTCAGTTTGGGGTGCTGCTATAAAGTACCATAGAATTGGTGGCTTATAAACAACAGAAATTTATTTCTCACAGTTCTGGAACCTTGATTTCCAAGATCAGGGTGCCCATATGGTTGAGTTCTGGTGAGGACTTGTTTTTGGGTAGCAAACTGCTGACTTCTTGTATCCACACATGGTAGAGAGTGAAACTAGAGAGCTCTCTGGGGTCCCTTTTGTAAGGGCACTAATCCCATCATGAGGGCTCTACCCTCTTGACCTAATTACCTCCCAGAGTCATCACCACCTCCTAATACGTTACATTGGGAGTTAGGATTTCATCACATGAATTTTGAGGGAACACAGTCAGTTCATTGAGCTGTTTCAAATGGATTTCACCTCTGTGACTACTATCCTTCTTTAAACATACAATAATCTTCATTATGGTGTCTTGGTCAGAATATTATATGATTATTTAATTCTAGAAGTTTCTACATACCTTGTTTCCCTAAAAATAAGACCTACCCATAAAATAAGCCCTAGCAGGATTTCTAAGCATTTGCGCAGTATAAGCCCTCTCCCGAAAATAAGACGTAGTGGTGGGCTTGGCTGTGCAGTGTATCTGCACAACCCATGCATTTCATCATGGAGCAGTAAAGAAGACGAGCAGCCCTTCTCATCTGCCCCATCAGGATAGCTACTATCCCAGAGGTGACTGGAAAGGTGTGGGCAGCCCCACCAACAAGGTCGGCTCCGCCTGTCAGGTCCCGGCCACCCTGTGCATGCTGCAAGCTGAGGCTTTGAGGGGAAAATAACACATGCCCTGAAAATAAGCCCTAGGGTGTCTTCTTGAGGAAAAATAAATATAAGACCCTGTCTTATTTTTGGGGAAACACGATATTACAGATTATTCAAAAGTGGTCATCACATTACTGGTTGCTTTTACCTTCCTAAAGCCTTTTTGGCCTTATGTTTCAGTACCTGGTCAAATGATATGATATAACAGTAGGAGTTTGCTTATTTAGGGGCTCACTATTTGTGGAGTGCTTCAACTCTTCAACATTATTTTTCCCCTGATAATCCTTTTTTTCTTTTTGACCCTCATTTAACATGTTGGAAACACAGCAAACACTTTCTGAGATACAAGATTACCGTTTTCTTCAGAAATAATAACCAACACTTGTATAAATCTTATGGTGTTTCAAGCACTGTTTTAAGTGCTTTACATAGATTGACTCTTTTAAAATACTTATAGCCAGCCTGTGATGAAGTATTATCTTCATTTACAGATGAGGAGACAGGCACAGAGAGGTTAAGTAAATTTGTTAAAATCACACATAATTGGAGCTGTGATTACATCCTGGGCAGGTGTTCTGGCCTTTAGCCCTAATCACTCTAAGCCATTTTGGAAAAGTTAAAATTCCCAGATGCATGAACCACCAACATATATGCATATTTATATCAATTTTTATCATTTTCATCTAGCTGTTTTAAAAGTCATATCTAAAGTAATTACCCACAGACCTTAATTTGAGAGATTGGTCAGATGATTCATTTTGAACAATTTCAAAAATTATTCCTCTTGTTTTGTCTTGTAATTTTAAAAAATCTTATTTAAAAGATCTTAATATCCTTTTTGGAAGTTAAAGAGTTAATTTTGGCCAACAATTATAAGATCCTGACTTGACTTCACTATCAGCTATCTCCAAATGACTTTGACTTTTGTACTTTATTATAGTCTCAACAGCTGGGAGGGAAAGAATAATGAGAATGTGGAGCCCAGGCTGGAGCCTGCCTGCCTCTGCCAGAGGCTGTCTGTCCTGAGCTGGTAGATATTTCTGTTTAGCTATAGCTTGGCTCCTTGAAATGCATACACTTAGAGGGTTTTCTTTCTGGGATAAATACAGTTCTAGTACAAATATATATCAGATATGAAATAATATTTGATATGAAGTAAATATTCTTCCAAGTTTGTTTAAATTTTTTCCATTTTATGTTTTCATTTTCTTTTTTTTTTTTAATCCAAGATGTGTTTATTGGGATGGTTTCCCATTTGTTCAAGCAGGGTACTTTTAGTGCTGCTTCCTTCTGCAGGAACATCCTTCTGTAAGCCTTTTCTTCCTTCTGTAGGTTGGCAGAGGACAGTAGAGCAGCCAATACACAGAGCTACGGTTTGTGCCTGGCTAAATACTATGGTGGTTTTATAGCATCTTGGGCATTTCACAGCTGTGAAGTAGGAATTTGGGCTGTGCACCAGGCACCACTTCTTGTATTTCCTCTTTTCCTCTTCTGGAGAGGGATGAAGGAGATCCTTTGTGAGAGGCATGTTCTTATGGGAAGGCTGTCGCTGCTGGAAGGTTTTTTTTTTTTTTTTTGAGACAGTCTCACTGTGTTGCCCTGAGTAGTGTGCCATGGCGGTAGCCTAGCTCACAGCATCCTCAAACTCCTGGGCTCAAGCAGTCCTCCTTCCTCAACCTCCCGAGTAGCTGGGACTACCAGCACACACCATAACACCCAGCTAATTTTTCTATTTTTAGTAGAGACGGGTTCTCACTCTTGCTCAGGCTGGTCTCTTGAACTCCTGACCTTTAGAGATCCTCCTGCCTTGGCCTCCCAGAGTGCTAGGATTATAGGCGTGAGCTACTATGTCTGGCCCACAACTTTTTTGATAAAATATATAAAAGTTTGTATCTTTGTGTCTGTTTCCCTACTTTTCAATAAAATTTCTGATGGACTTGAGGGTTTGGCAGGTTGCTTGGGGTGTGTGGGAGTATAGGAGAAATTAGTAGACAATTGATTAATTAATTAGGTAATATCACAGGAATCCCATTGACAGTGTCTTACTTAGATTAAAAACGTTGGTTAAATTGCTATTTTAGCAGATGGTGTTTGGAAGTGGGGAGCTGTCCATCAGACAATGGTTGTCCATTTGTTTTAAGGTTGCCAACTTTGCAACAATGGAAGATGAAGAAGAGCTAGAAGAGCGTCCTCACAAGGACTGGGATGAGATCATTCCAGAGGAGCAAAGGAAAAAGGTAGAGGAGGAAGAGCGGCAGAAGGAGCTAGAAGAAATTTATATGCTGCCTCGAATTCGGAGTTCCACTAAAAAGGTGATTAAGTTGGATAAAAGACATTGAAGTACTTATGCCGTAAAGGCTACAGAAGTGCTCATTATTCAAGAAAAAGTCCTTGCATTGTTGTGGTGACACAGGCCTCAAGATTGTTAAATTGTAGGACACCTAGCAGAGACATTTGATTTGGTCTTTGTAAACAGGTTCTTTGTGAAATAGCTGAATAGGATCTGAGTTTGAAAGAAGTTTGCATTTTCCCTTTGAGATTAGAAACGGTAATCCTAACAATTTGCTTTGGTTCTGTTTTCCACTGCCTTCAACTGTCAGAGAGTCTAACCTCTATTTGTCTTTCTAATATTTTTTTAATTGATGGGGATCTCACTATGTTCCCCAAACTGGCCTCAAACTCTTGGGCCCAGGCAATCCTTTGGCCTCAGCCCCCTGAGTAGCTAGAATTACAGGCATGTGTCACCACTAGCTCCTTTTTTGTCCTTAAATGTTCACAGCACGTGGTATAAATACTTACTAAGGATTTTATAACGATAAGCAAGGAACATATACCAGCTTCATAGCTTACAAAGCACCATCACAGGCACTGTTTAATTTGATTTTTGGAACAATAGTGAAGTTGGTAGAACAAGTTTTATTTGCATTTTGTTCGAAATGAAATGGATTTGTCCAAGATCATAGTCCATCAATATTAGGAAATAGTAGCTACCATTTATCGAGCACTTACAATGTGCCAGGCTTAGTTCTAAATGCTTTTACACTTATTGATTCATTTAATCCTCGTGAAAACCCTGTGGTACTGTAGTCTCCATTTTACAAATGAGAAAACAGAGGCACAAAGAGGTAAAGTTATTTGCTCAAGGAAGTAAATTTGAACCTGCTTTGGTATTGAGTATCATATTGAATATTATAGAAATACTCAAATATTTTTAATCCAGTTCACTTAATCATTACATTACAGTGTCTCTGAAAGTGTGACCAACCTAACCAGGTTCTTCATTCCATACCCTCTTTCTCCTTATTTGTTAAAGGAAAATTGATGTGTCTGATGCAATGGGAAGTTCTGATTACTAAAGAATTAAGACGGTGTGGTCTTAGTCCTTTTACCACTTGAACCTAGCACTTGCCACAGTGTGACTTTGCCTCAATCTTTTTTCAGGCTCAGACAAATGACAGTGACTCTGATACTGAGTCTAAGAGACAGGCCCAGAGATCCTCTGCCTCCGAGAGTGAGACGGATGACTCTGATGATGACAAGAAGCCAAAGCGCAGAGGGCGCCCCAGAAGCGTGCGGAAAGACCTTGTGGAGGGATTTACCGACGCGGAGATCCGAAGGTCGGTGAGGTTCTGCTGTGGCTGGAGCTTGTGTGGAAGGGCATGCTGCAAGTCTTGGGTGATTGGATCCCTGACGTTTATGACAGGGTAGGCAGAGGCTCATACCTGCAAAAAAAGCAAGAGAAGCCGAGTCCTGCCCCAAATCTTCAGGATGATACTTCTCTCCCCCAGGTTTTCCTCAGTTAAGACCTTTTTTGCTTGTTGCTCATCTATTTTTGTTTTTCTCCTGTTCTCTGGTTATTCTGAACATTTTCACAAAGAAAGTTTAGGCATGGGGAGACAGTTGCCATACATATGTACAGACCTATGTATCTGTATATAAAAGAAATGTTATAAATATCAAAATTAAAAATGGTACAAATCAGGCTGCCCTCACTACCTCTCCCCTCCCTGTCACCCCCACTCCAAATCCCAGTCCCATCAGTGTTAGTGCTGATAGCAGTTTGATGATGGTTTCATTTGGTTTATTAGAAGTATGCACAGCATGTTGTTCAACAGCTTCTTTCCCCCACTTAAAATCCATTTCAGACATCTCTTATGTGAGTACTTCTTACTCAGTTGTTGATATCTTGTTCACACCCCTCTGTCCTCCAAGAAAAAGGATCTAAAATTGCTGTGTCCAAATTATTTTTTTTCCAGTTTCCATGTCATTTCTTTTTAAGGCTAAAGAAAATACAAAGTATGAAGAGAATTAGCTTTAAGGCCCAGTGCATATTATATTAAATAGTCCTTTAGGGTCAATATATTTGAAACTGTGAGGTCTTTGTTTCCAACTAAATGTTACATCTGTTTTCTTCTTTCCTCATTTTATTTGTTATGGAAAAATGTAAACATATCCAAATACCGACAGAACAGACTATACCACCCCACCCTTGTACTTATCTCAACAATTCTGCATTTGTAGTCAATCTTGTATGTATATCCTACCTCCTCTTGCTCCCTACCCCGAATATTACTTTGAGAAGAATATGTTTTCTGCTGTCAGGTAGAATCTTCTATATCGATATTTGTTAGGTATATTTGGTTTCATGTTGTTGATACCTTTCATTTCTTGATTTTCTGTCTAGTTCTATCCATTATTGAAAATGGGGTATTTAATTCTCTGTTATTATTGTCTATTTGTTCCTTCAATTCTGTCAGTTTTTGCTTCATGTGTTTTCGGACTTCGTTGGGTGTATATATTTTTATAATTGATGGGTCTTTTAGATGGATTGTCTTTTTTATCATTATGAAATGTCTTTGTCTCTAGTAATAATTTTTGCCTTAAAGTTTATTTTTTAGTCTGTTATTCAGTATAGCCACTCCAACTCTCTTTTGGGGTGTTTGAAATAAAGATGTTATCTCTTCATCTTTTTATTTCAACTTATTTGTGTCTTTGAATCTAACTTGTGTGTGGGATCTTTTTAAAAATGTTTTTCTGCCAATCTCTTCCTCTTGGTTGGAGTCTTTAATCATTTACATTTAATGCACTTACTAATAAAGTAGGATTTATATCTGCATTTTGTTATTTTTTCTATATATCATATATCTTTTATTCCTTTATTTCCCCTGCTTTCTTTTGTGTTAAATAAATATGTTAGTATGCCATTTTAATTACCTTATTGTTTCTTTTACTATTTTTTTTTAAGTTATTTTCTTAGTGGTTGCCTTGGACACATTATAAGTAATGTCTTAACTTAGAATAGTTTAGTTTGTATTTATACCAATTTAATTTCGATGGTATATAAACACTTTGCTCCAATTATAGCTCATTCCCCAGCTTATGTTGTCATCACACAAATTACGTCTTTATACATTAAATCTATCAGTACAGTTTTATAATTAATGCTTTATGTAGTTGTCTTTTAAAATTGATAGGAGAAGAAAAAAGAATTACAAATAAAAATGCATGTATGCTATCTTTATATTTACATAATACCCTACAGGTGCTTTTATTTCTTTGTGTGGATTTCAGTTACTGTTTAATGTCAATTCATATCTGCCCAATGGACTTTATTTTAGGGCAGGTCTGCTGGCAATGAATTTTCTGTTTTTCTTTATCCATCAGTGTCTTAATTTCATCTTCATTTTTAAAGGAAAATCTTTCTTCTTTTTTTTTTTTTGTTTGTCACACTGGATAATGTCAATTGGCCTATCTTTAAGTTTGCTAAGTCTCTCTTCTGCTGGCTCACATCTGCTGTTGAGCTGTTCTGGCAATTCTTTTCATTTCAGTTATTGTACTTTTCAACTCCAGAATTTCTGTTTGGCTTTTTCTTTTCAAGAGATAGAGTCTCACTCTGTGGCAGAGGCTGATCTTGAATTCCTGGACTCAAGCGATCCTCCCACCTCAGCCTCCCAAAGTGCTGCGATTACAAGTGTGAGCCACTGCACCTGGCTTCTTTTTTAAAATTTCTGTTTCTCTTGATATTTTCTAGTTGGTAATGTATCATTGTCATACTTTCTTTCTAATTCTTTAGGCATGGATTCCTGTAGTTCTTGTACATACTTATAATAGCTGATTAAAGTTTTAAGATATCTTAATAAGTCTAGGTTCTGGACTTGCTCAGGGACAGTTTCTATGAACTACCTTTTTTCCACGTGTATGCATCTTACTTTTTTGTGTTATGTATCCCATAATTTTTTGTTGAAAACAGGACATTTTTTGTTGAAAACTGGACATTTGAGCCAACTCTGGAAATTGGGTTTCCCCTGCCAGCTGGAGTTAGTTGTGTTTGCTGCTGTTGTTGCTATTTGCTTGTATAGTGACGTTCCTGGACTAGTTCTTTGAAGTCTGTATTCTTTGTCATGTCATTTTCAGTCTGTATTCCTTTAGCTTAATGACCAGCTAATGACTGGATAGAGATTTCCTTAATTTTCTTAAGTGCTTAGAGCCTATAATTCTGCCAGCCTTTGTTACAGAGCTTGCTGTGTGTGTTGGGGCATGTTTCAGTGCCCTGGCAGGCATACTACTCTACCTTAACCTTCTTGCACAGATCCTCAACAGAATTGAGAGGTTAGGACCTTCTCAGATCTTCCCTGTGCATGTACACAGACGCACATGTGTCAGAGTGTACTATATGGACATCTTTTCCCCCAGTTTTTCCTTTTAAGTTTTGGTCAGCCTTTTGTTATCTTTAGTTGGTAACGCTGCCTCAGGCTGCTGTTATGTTAAACCACCTTTGCATCTGGTAGTTTTTCACCAATGAATTGTGGACAAGGCTGTTCACACAGAGTGAGTTCTGAGTTGGGTCAAATAAAGGCAAGCCTGAGAATGGACCTCTCAGAGTACTGTCAGCCAGGCCAAATCATTCATTGGGGATAGAGCTTTTGAGGAGCTCCACACCTGTTCTTTCCCCTCCAGCAGATGCTCGGCTGCTGGTTGGCACAGTGAAGGTGTTGGTTTTGAGGCTGTCATTGGGGGCTGTGGAGAAGAGGATGGGATAGAGCAAGTTGAAAATTCCAGAAAGCTTGCTGTTCTTACTGAGCCATTTTCTTGAATAAATACCTCTTAGATGGTGCAAGCCTCTCGTTAATTTCCAGAGTTCCACCAAAGTTGATTTTGATAGTTTTTGCCAATGTTCTTGTTACTTTTATGGAGGAACAGATTTTCATAACATCTTAATCCTTCATTCTGGAAGTGTTTCTCCCCCTCAGTATTCTTTTTATTTTTTTTTATTTTTATTTTTTTCTTTTTTTGAGAGTATCCAGAAACAGAAAGTATTCTTTTTAAATAAATCCCAAACATCATACAGTTTAGACATAAAATATCTCAGGGTTTACCAAGAAGTAGAACTGTGGAGTTAAGAATAATTTTCAGGTTTACTTTCAGATATAACACTTTCTTTCCTAGTCCTTGTATCCATGCTATTCCTTTAATATTCTGGCTAATGTCATATTCAGCCCTGTTTTCTTCTGTCACCACATTTTCTCATTTCCATTTCTTTTCTTAGGATGTTTCCTTACACTCTTATATAATCAGATTATCATAGTAATTTGGCATATTACAGCGATGCCTTTCGTGTGTTGTGAAGTCTTGGGTTTTAGTGAAAGTGCTAGTGGTTAGCCTGTAGGATTGGGGAGAGGATGATGACACAAGGTTGGTTAGTAGTATACCATGGTTTAGGGTAGAGACTGTGGAAGGCTAGATTGAATTTATTTATTTTACTTTGCCTCATTCCAAAAAATATGTGAGACAGTCTTAAAAATCTTACAGCTGTACCATTGACCCAGAAAGTAATGAAAACTATTTTGAAGTATGGAATTGAAAGCAACAGTAGTAGACTGAATAGGCTAATGAACTATATTGGAGCTTTATCATAGTAGAGTTGTTATTGAATCATTCATTACCTATTGAACTCCATAAACTTGTACTTCTAAAAAGGATATTAGAGCTAAGTTGCATTTCTCTATTACATCTAAACAGTTTTATGATCAGTCACTGTGAATAAAGTTGATCTTTAATTTGAATATTGTTTTAAATTGACTAGTTTCAAAGACATTCAACACTTATTTAGTGGTAGTTGCAAGATTTGAACCCAATCTATTTGTGACAATTAACTGCTTCCCTCTCTCCAACCCATGTATGCATCATACTTTAGTGTGTATGTGTCCCATGTTTTTTTTTGTTAAAAACTGGACATTTTAAGTAATATAATGTGCCAACATCAGAGGATATATTGACATTAACATAACTAAAATCTCTGTTTTTTAATGTGTTTTATTGATCATATTCTCAGGTTCATCAAGGCTTATAAGAAGTTTGGTCTCCCTCTTGAACGGTAAGCTCAATGTAATAGTTTATCTTTTTCTTCTTTTTCACTTACATTATGTAGCAGATTCCTTTTTTGGTAACATTTTCCATTTAGTACTAATGCTGGGAACATTTTTTTTTTTTAACATTTATATAATGGGCATCTGTTGATGCATGTTCCATGTTCCTCCACAGAGAGGTGTCAAAGATGATAAAGACAGACCATCCATACAGAAATTTTTTTCTTTTTTTTTGAGGCAGGGTATCACTCTGGTGCTCTGGCTAGTGTTCTGTGGCATGATTGTAGCTCAGTGCAACTTCTAAGCTTCAGTGATCCTCCTACTTCAGCCTCCCATGTAGCTAGGACTACAGGTGTGTACAGCACCATGCCCAGCTAATTTTTGTATTTTTTGTAGAGATGGGGTCTTACTTTGTTGCTCAGGCTTGTCCCAAACTCCTAGACTCATGCAGCCCTCCCCCTCAGCCTCCCAAAGTGCTAGGATTACAGGTGTGAACTACCAGACCCAGCCATATGAAGATTTTACCTTAGTCAAGGAGATGTAGCAAGTATATTTAAAGCTATAGTAAAAAGAAATAATTTCCAGAAGAGATGTTCAGATAACTCCAGTTAAAAAGAATATGTGTAGTTATTTCCATTCTACTTCTTAGATTTAATAATATCAAAGGTAAAAGGCTCTGTGTGATTTTATAATCTTCTATTTAACAGGGCGTCAGGATTAAATACAGAGCACTTATATCCCCTCACTAATGTTAACTTCCAAAAGGGTTAACTGTTGTTACCGTTCTACAAACATTCAGAAAATAAATTCAGAAGTTGGATTTTAACAGAAGACTCTATTTCAAGTAGTTGCATATTTTGCTTTGTACAAAAATCTAAATAGCACTGATTTAAAGAAAATACCAGGTTCCTTGCTCTTAATCCTGATAAACTTCTAGAGTGGACGAAAATGATAAGCCTGTGTTTTTTCCTTTGTTCTCTCCATTTGGAGAAGGAATGGTGAAGTGTAACAGTAGGCTGCAGCAAAACTGAGAAAGTCAGGTATATCTTTCAAGGACTGTTACTGGACCACCCAGGGATAAACTGTCATTTAAGCCAATTACTGTAAAAACAAATAGGGTGTGGAAAAGTGGGTTCGGCACCCTTTTGACAGCCTGATTTTTAACCATTAATATATTCATATGACTTGGAGATCAACTAATATATAGTAGGTGTAACTGTTCTCTGCTTCTAGGAACATTGCAATGAATGAAAGTAGGCTAGAGAAAGGAAGGTGAACAAAAAGATGCAAACTCTAGTGCAAACGGTCTTCAGGCACTTGACATGCAATCATTAGCAGACAGCCCATTTAATGAACAAAGTTTATTTTCCTTATTTCTTTCCTCTGTTTTTTGGAGTTATTTTTTTCTGTGGAATATTTCAATGCACAGTCACAATTCTTTATGATAGAAAATGAGTGTGTTAGCCCTCAGTCACTGTCCCAAGAGTTCTTGTTGCAGCCTTGGAATGAAAAATGAAAGAAGGCAGAAAAAAGTATCTTTGCAGGAAAAACTTATATGGGACCTAGTGGTATTTCATGACATTTAGAAAGTGGGCACAGAGCCCTGAAGTGTCTCCGTATTTGTCTTTCCTCAGGCTGGAGTGCATAGCGCGTGATGCCGAGCTGGTAGACAAGTCTGTTGCAGATCTGAAACGCCTGGGTGAACTGATTCACAACAGCTGTGTGTCAGCAATGCAGGAGTATGAAGAACAGCTGAAAGAAAATGCGAGCGAGGGTAAGTCAACACGTCTATTCAGTGAGCCTCCAAAACCTGGCACTTGTGGGCTGGGATTTCTGCTGCCAAAGGGATTTTTCAGGATGGACTTAACATCCTATACATCCGCAGTCCCCAACCCCTGGGCTGCTGACCAGTACCAGTCTGTGGCCCGTTGGGAACTGGGCCATATACCAGGAGGTGAGTGGCGGGCAAGTGAGTGAAGCTTCATCTGTATTTACTGCTGCTCCCCATCGCTGGCATCACCACATGAACTCGGCCTATTGTCAGATCAGCAGCAGCATTAGATTCCCATAGGAGCACGAACCCTACTGTAAACTGCACAAGCGAGGGATCTAGGCTGTGCTCTCCTTATGTGAGAATCTAATGCCTCGTGATCTGAGGCGGAGCTGGGGAGCAGCTGCAAATAGGATTATCATTAGCAGAGAGGTTTCGACTGCACAATAAATGTAATGTGCTTGGATCATCCCCAAACTGTTCCCTGCCCTTCCTGTTCTTTTGAAGAATTGTCTTTCATAACATTGGTCCCTGGTGCCAAAAAGGTTGGGGACCGCTGCTATGCTTGCCTAATGCTTTGAGGTGTGTATTCTGAGCTGCCTTTATGTGAGCTCAACATTCCAAGCTCCAGCAGATCTACTCACAGAGTTAATGTGCAGAAGGTGTATGATGATGTGCAAGATGAAATGGTTTCCTTTTTCGTTGTTACAGAAAGTTTAAATTGGTTTGAATGATGATACCTCTGTATTTTGGCTGCAAACAAGGGGCGTTATAGACCACAAGCATCATTAGTCATGTTGGATATACATACACATATTGTGTGTTGTGACAAATGTAAAGGATTTAGAGACTTCACTGGAATGAATAAAATATTGGATGAATATTGTGAACGTTTTTGTTGCATTGAGATTTCATGCCGCTAGAATTTGTTGTAATTAGATTGGACGTGCAGTGTGTTTTCTCTTAGACACCAGAAAGTGTTTTTGCCTGTCGTGTGTGGTCTCTCTAAAAGCAGGAAGTGTGGGCAGAGACCCCACACTTGTGGGCTCTCTCCTTGTGAGGAGAGAGCTCTGAAGTAGTTATTGGTACAGGACACCTCATAGTGAATCGCAAAGGAACGCGGAGGGTGTTGCCATTCCAGTTCCCCGGACTGTGGTTTGTCTGTGTCATTTCCCCCTTTCTTTTGTCATGCTTCACTTCGCTAGGTGTGGCTACCTTTTAGAAGTTTTGTTGAGTGATGGTTAAGTGTTCAGGCTCTGGAGACAGCCAGTTATATAGGAATTTTCATTCTGCCACTTCGTAGTTATCAGACCTATGGCAAGTTATAGTCCCCTTATTTGCAAAATGGAGTAAGTAATAGTACCTACCTCAAAGGGTTTGGATGATTAATTGAATAATTCTATACTTGCAAAGTGCTTGGTATGGTATCTGGCTTGCAGTGTTAGCTATTGTTAGGTACAGAAGTGAATATTTATTTACAGAAGTGAATATTTCTACAAGGGGGACTGCTGGGTCCTGGGGAAAATGCATATATACTTTGCTTTGATATTGCCAAATTCTCCTGCATAAGTCTGGTTGCTATTTACATAACCACCAGCAATGTTTGTTGGTACCTGTTTACAAGTCTTACAGACAGATATATTGTTAAATGTTTGGATTTTTGCCAATCTGATAGGTGAGAAATGGTATCTCATTTTTTCTTTTAATGAACAAGGTTGTACATCTCTTTTAAGTTCCATTTGCATTTTGTTTTCTATAAACTTTTCATATACTCTGTCCATTTTCTATTGAGAAGCATTTTTCTTCTTCCAAACAAGTGGTATTATCTCATGGATTTCAGATTGGCCTCTTGTTAGAGTGACAGGGCTTCATTTTTACTTCAAGGTTATTTTAATTTGAAATTTGGGTTAGGGTATAGCCTTCTTATGCCATCCGTTCATCATTTCAAATATGTTAGACATTAACTTGATCTCATACTTTTCTAGTCACAATGTTACAAAGATCAAATATGAATCATCTTTAAAACACTTGAGTGTTTTGAACTCTGCTAATAGGATAGGTAGGAAAACAAAAGGGAAAAACTTGACCATTAATATTAAACCTTCAGAATCTTCTTTTATTAACTTTATTACTTTTAGACCAAAGCAGTATAAAACAAACAGGAAGATTAAAATACATCGTAACACCAATGTATTAAAAAATTCTAAGTCTCAACTGAATTGTTCGAAGGTTATTTTACAGACATTAACTGAGGAAAATATTTGTCTTATGTCTTTCAACTACCAATAAAAGCTGGAGATGTATGCAGAGAAGCACTAAGAGTTCAGGGTTTGGTGATAACATGTTTTCTTTGGAACTTCAGCAATTTTCATTTCTCTAATGTGAAATTGGTATTCTTTAGGGAAAGGACCAGGGAAAAGGAGAGGTCCAACAATCAAGATATCTGGAGTTCAAGTTAATGTGAAATCTATTATCCAACATGAAGAAGAGTTTGAGATGCTGCATAAATCTATCCCTGTGGACCCAGAAGAAAAAAAAAAGTGAGTGCGTATGCAATGGGGTGGTCGTGCCATAAGAAAATAGATTTGAAATTACAGTTATGTGTATTCATGTAGTGTTTACACTGTCTATTCTTCGTGTCAGAAAGGACCCTCTTCTAATGTCTTGTTTTAAAAATCCCTTTAGATATTGCTTAACCTGTCGTGTCAAAGCTGCACATTTTGATGTAGAGTGGGGAGTAGAGGATGATTCTCGCCTGTTGCTGGGAATTTATGAACATGGCTATGGAAACTGGGAATTAATTAAAACAGATCCAGAACTTAAATTAACTGACAAAGTAAGTAACTCTGCCAGAAATTTCTAGATGATTTGTTATATACTATTTTTATATCTATTACTTATTTCTAACTGTTCTTTTGGGGGAATCAATTTGGAAATTAGTACAATAGTAAGTTCCTGGGATTTCTTTATCCTTGGAAATGTTTCCATCTCCAGTGGACTGTGGCACTGTTTTCATAGATGAAAATAAAGGCAAAGATAATAGCCATGTGAAATTTTGGGGAAATTATAGGAGAAATCCTAAAATTCTAATATGTATTATAGGTGAAATCTCATTACAACAAATACCAGGGTACATTTATGAATAATAAAAATATTCCTTGGCCTTAGTTGCTGGCCCTTTGTTTAAAAGTACATTTGAAGCAACCATATTTCAGTTATACATAAAGAATGAATGTCACCTTGGTATTTTTTGTAATGGAATTAAACATTGGCTGTTCTTCTCCCACAAAATTGAGCCTCCCACCCTGTCTGTTGAAAATAGCAAGGCCATAGTTAGAGCTATAAGGAAGGAAAGCTGACTGGCTAAAATTTTTTTTAGGATTTGCTCCATGTTGTGCTCCTGGCAGGGCTTTTCCTGGCACATCCTGCAATGCTCATCCCATCTGGGTTTTAGGAGGGTGACAGCACCCTGCCATAAGCACTGAGACCAAATCCAGCCCTGCCTGAGAGATCCAACTGTGGTAGCAGGACGTGAATTATCATGTCCTGGCATAGCTCAGTGCTCTCCGGCAATGCTCTAAGAAGCATTTTCAATCTAAAACGAAGCTTTAACCTAGCTCCAGGGATTCCCTGCTCCTGGAAGGAGGAAATCCACGACGGCTGGGATGCTCTAGCAGATGAAGCCACAAGCCCCTCCTACCTGAGTTGTTCTACCCTGTTAACAGCACAGGTAGGAGCCATTGGGAGAGCTGGATTTCTCCACCCCATTTTGTAAAATGAGAACGGCTTGTGAGGGATTCTCAGTGACTGGGAGCCATGGACATGAGATAGGATCTGAGGCTATATTCTGGGTGGTTGGGGAGGGAAAGGACTGTATTCAGTTCTTTGTTGTCTGTTTATCTTGATCGACTAACCGGGATGTGGATGGTGGTGGGTGTTCTCTTCCTTTCTTGTTGAAGATTCTGCCCGTGGAGACAGATAAAAAGCCCCAGGGGAAACAGCTGCAGACCCGAGCGGACTACTTGCTGAAGCTGCTCAGGAAGGGTCTGGAGAAGAAGGGGGCCGTGACAGGTGGGGAGGAGGTGAGTATGCTGCCAGCTGGGTGTTCTTCAAGCGGCTGAGTGTACAACCATGCAGTGTTAGGTAGCAAAAGAGAAACCCTTGGTGGGCACTGCATAGAATGTCACCTCATGTGCAGATGTTGCTTTTGAGGTTCCAGTGATGATGGTTTGATTGGCAATAATAGAAATGTTCATCTAAGACCTCAACAGCTTGGCAACTTTCTTATAAACCTTTCTCCTCAAATGTTGCCTCAGTATAATCCTGATCTCTCTCAAGTGCCACTAGTCCAGATGTACTGTTATTGCCACTTTATGCTGCTTCCTCGGTTTTGGAATATAGTTCTAGGTACTGTATTGAATACCAGTGGGTTTGCCTATTGTTTAACTCTGGACTACTCATAATAGTGGTTTCCAGGGATAAAATGGACAATTGGAATCCACAATTAATTCAGAAACTGGACTTCATTTATGATTACCTCACTTGCTCAGTGAAAAATGCCAACTGAGTTCCAAATGAACTTATCAGAGCTTTGTCTCCTTTTATTTACTCAACTTAGTTCAGTTCAGGCCAAGAAAGTGGGAATCACATTTAGGATACACATTACATCCTATACTAGCAGCCTTTGTGTGTACATGTTCCTTAAGTGCTCTTATACCTATTTTAAAAAAAAATTATTTATTTTTTTGTAGAAATGGTGTCTTTCACTCTGTTGCCGAGGCTGGAGTACAGTGATGCTATCATAGCTCACTGTAAACTTGAACTCCTGGCCTCAAGTAATTGTCTGACCTTAGGCTCCTAAAGTGCTGAGATTACAAGCATGAGCCACCATGCCTGGTCTTGTAGTTAATTCATTTGTATTTGTATTAATTTCTCTATATTATCATAAACAAAACAGACTTTAGGAAAAAAAATCATTATAATTCCACGCACTGTTTCTTTTCAAGTGATAGTGATGTAAGTAGTGTCATTTTTCAGATAAGAGGTTGAGGATGTCATGTATTATGCTTTAGGCTCTGGAGAGACAGATTAGATCATGTTTATACATGCTTTAAATTACTGTAGCATATTTGGTTAAGTAAACACTATTTTAACCTTTTCCTTATTTTTAGGTAAAGGTTGCTTTCAGATTTTTAATGTTATTACTATCTTTGATATATTTATTTGTATCTTTGTACACAGACTGTTTTCCTTTTTTTGAATTACATCTTTAGGATGAATTCTCCAAAATGGAATCAGTAGGTACAAGAAGTATGGACGTTATAATGTAGGCTATGTATAATACCTACAGTTTTGGTTTGGTTTTTTCAGGTGAAATTTTGGTTGCATTCTTTATTTCCTCTGATTTTTCTTGTTTGAATTATATGGCTGCTCCTGGTTCAAAGAATCATATTTGGTCATGCTTCTCAGGGACTAGATTTACAGTTTTATCATTTTCTTTCCCTTTCCAGGCGAAATTAAAGAAGCGGAAGCCTCGAGTAAAGAAGGAAAACAAAGCGCCCAGGATGAAAGATGAGCATGGAATTGAGTTTTCATCTCCCAGGCATTCAGATAATCCATCAGAAGAGGGAGAAGTAAAGGTATAAGGCTAGATTTCAGTCAAGGGTTATTTTTATTTTAGTTATATTTATTGTATGAACTGGAATAAAATATTTTGATATGTGTTTGGTTTACATGTAGAGTAGATGAAAATAGAATACTTGTATCTTTACTTAATCTGTCAGAGAGGAATATGTTGTTCATTTAAGTCAGCAATTGCCAATTCATGCGTCTGGAAGTAGATGAAGGGAACTGTGAAAACTTCAATAATACATGGCAGTTGACACTTAGCCTCATTGTAGGGAATGATAGGGAGTGGTGAGGACTGTGGTTAACCAGATGTTAACCTCATGTGGTTAACCTCATGTCTAACAGGGGATAGCTGCTGTGGAGTTAAGTTCATTATTGGGCCAAGCAAAACTCCTGTGCATTGAGTTTGGCTCAAGCCTGCCAGTTTGTAACCTCAGGTCTAAAAGTAAATTGGTGTCATTCAGTGTGCTGTTTCAGTGAGTGACAACTTCATGAGATTTCATGTAGTGTAATTAACACTTTGAAATTAGCCTCAAGAGAGTCAGCAATGGCCCAGGAACTAGCTTGGGTTTGAGTTGTGCGTACATAAATTCAAACGCTGGCAACCTCTCCACATACCAGCTACAAGTGTTGCAGGTATATATACACATACAGCTTTTGCCATCTGTGAAATGGGAATGGTGATGCCTATGTTGAGGGTTGCCATGAGAATTAAATGAGAGGATATAGGTAAAGAGCACCTGCCTTTACAGTCTTAGCTGGTTGTTCCTAGAGAGTCTAGCATTGTGTGAGTGAGTCCTTTAAGGCCGTATACTTGAAAATATGCTTCTAAGTATGGACACAGTGGTGAACCACTGGGGGCAGTGCTGCTTTCCCCAGAAAGTGATTGAGTAAGTATAAAATTTGTGGCAAAAGTTCATGGCCCTATTTGTTTCCTAGGATGATGGTTTAGAAAAAAGTCCAATGAAGAAAAAACAAAAGAAGAAAGAGAACAAGGAGAACAAGGAGAAACAAATGAGTTCTAGGAAAGATAAAGAAGGAGACAAGGAAAGGAAGAAGTCAAAAGATAAGAAAGAGAAGGTATTGGTGCCGTTTTATTTATAGAGATAGACACAGCCTTTGAAATTCCCCTCTTGGGGTTAGAAATAGAATGGGGTTTGAGGGCCAATTGTCTTTTTATAGGTCTAACCAAGAAGGAAGGATGGGGCTTTTGGAGGGATGCCTTGTACCCCTCCTTGCAGAAAGAGAGGAATGTGCAAGTTTGGGGTGTTCTTTAAAATAGAAGGCCTTTACTTGATCTTTTACTGCATATTTCAGGGGAGTTGTTTGAATGAGATAAGATAGGTGAGAAAAATCTGCTTGTACAGGTAACTGCTTGAAATATGTTCCCAGATTCATATTAGAAGAGCACAATCCACAAATGAATCTGAATATTTGAAAGGTTTAGAAGTCAAAACAAATATTATTAAGAGCTATTAGAATATAAATGGATGAAAAGCCCTGCTATTATAGAATCTTTATGTTGTGGATTTTGTGAAGTTCGTTCCAAACCATGGTATTGGTAGAGTGTTGCATGTATGCTCGCTGACCTCTGAACAAAATATTTTGCAGTTAATCCTTTAATCATTGCCAAAACATAGAAACAAACAACTGCTGTAATTCCATGTCCAGTGATAATTCTAGTATATTTCTTGATTAGTACCTTTGAAACTTTTTTCTTATGCGTATACATACAAATATAAAAGAAAAATCAGATTTGGCTGTTTAGATTAGCCTTTTCTCCTCACTTCACAGTGTATCACAACTTTCCAAGTGAATAAATAAATGTTAAAATTGTTTTTAATAGATGGGGAGGATTCTGTTTGGCTGTAAACATATTGGAAGCAGTTTAAATCGCCTATATTGAAATGCTTTCCAATTTTTAATGCTAATAAACCATACTGCGACACATACCTGTGCATTTGTGCTCCCACAGAAAGACATTCTCTTGTTAATGTAAACTACTGCAAAAATAAAAGCACAAAGAACAATTTAGCAAACATCTATCTATTTAGCTCAGATATTACAATTGTTGACATTTTTTCGTGGTTATTTCAAGTGGCTTTTCCAGGTGAGGGGGTGCAGATGCCTGTTGTATTTTGTGAACATATTGCTGCTGCTATTGGGCTCCCTCCCATTACTTCCCCCTCATGTCATTACTCTTCCCACTTTTCTCCTCCTCATAACCACTGCTCTGAAGTAGGTTTGAAAATTTCCTATTCATGTTTTTATACTTGTACTACATATTACAGTATATATACATATTGTATAACCATAAACAAAGCATAGTATGTGCTTAAAATGTTTGTACATGAAATCCTTATATATCCTTCTGCAACCTTTCATTCAATATGATTTTGAGATTTATCCATGTTGATTCATACAGATTTCAGTCAATGATAATTTAGTTAATACAAATTCCTAGATCAAATGGGTAAGCTGTTAATAAAAGTTGCTATGTGATACTCCAGAAGAGTTCTGCCAGTTTATAATCTTAGTCTCTTGATGACATTTTTGTGTATTTTATGGATGAAGGAAGAGAAGCCTAAAATAGCATTGATGAAATTTAAGTTAAAATTGGGTACATTTAGAGACAGAAATGGGAATCACGTATGAGTAAGCTGTTAATCATGTAGGCTTGTCTTCATTATGTCTCAGGACCTTATTTTGCCTTTTTAAAAAAAATAAACTCAGTCCCTATTTACCCACTGCAACATAGGTAAGAAGTCCAAATTGCAAGGCAGGATTGCACAAATGACAATGACTCCTTGTAACTCTTTTTTAAAAGCCTAAAGGTGGTGATGCCAAATCTTCGAGTAAATCAAAGCGATCTCAGGGTCCTGTCCATATTACAGCAGGAAGTGAACCTGTCCCTATTGGAGAAGATGAGGATGATGATCTGGACCAGGAGACATTCAGCATAGTAAGTCTTAAAAATTGAGGGATGCCAGTGTCTGCAGCTCTGGTGCTTGCTGTGGTCTGCCTTTTATAGGTCCAGCCGCAGAGCTTCAGTTGATCTAAGCATTAGCACATTACTTTGGAAATACATTGCTTATAACATCGAAGACTATGTGCTCTGAAACAGGCTAGCAAGAAGAGGTTTTCTTACTTGTTTTCTAGTGAGGAAGAAGTTTGGGGACTGGATTTCATGTCTTGTACTCCCAGTTAGAAAGGCTGTAGGGGTCCTTAGAGGCATTTGGCAAACACAAGCGTTAGAGTGAACATTTACTGAATCTTTTCTATGTGCCAGCTCCTAGAGTTACCATGTTGAAGAGATAATTGTTTCTATCATTGTAGGCTTTACATTTGAGAAGGGAAGATAGTCGGATAACTGTACAAATCATGTTGGTGCTACTGTGACGGGGGTTTGGAGGAGAGAACAGTGTTGATCCTTTGAGGAGGGGATTTGCTCTAGTCAAGGAGTGCCAAGAAGGCTTGTTTAAGGAAGTGATGTTTGAATTGAGTTCTGAAGGTACAGTAAAAGTAACAGTAGAGGGGTGGGCAGAACACACCAAGGCCAGGCAACAGCACACATAAAGGCTGAGTGGTGGTTGCATGTGTGCATATTTGAGGAGGTGCAAAAGGCTGCCCCAGGTAGAGTGGTGAGAGCCAGGGCATGGGCTGGCACGGAAGGGGGTGGGTCCTGGCTGAGGGAGTTAGAGCAGTGATGAGTGTGCCGTATTGTATGTGCTTCCATGCTGTGTGCGAAGAGCTAAGGCCTATCCATGGCCTAGGAAATTTGGCCCTATTTCCTCATACGAGATTGGCAAGGTGATGGGCAACGAGTGCATGGACCAGGGCTTGCATGGGGTTCGATACAGTCCAGTATGTCCTAAAGGTCCTTATGGCCTTGCTGGAGCTACGTGTATAGATTTCATGGTGCTATGCTCCATGGTACTCTCCCCCACCTCTCTGTTGTCTCTTCTTTTCTCCAAACTCCCACAAATCAGTGTGTTGGAACAGCTCATTCAGGCTGAAAGAAAAGCTGTCTTCTGAATCTGAAAATACTCCTGTCCTTTGGCAGCAAAGGGTAGAATGTTGACCCTGTCCTGTGACCTCTCTTTTTTGATCTTTCTCTGGGTTATCTAAAACCTATACACATATGTATGTATTTATTTATTTTTTCTTTACACTTATCTCAGTTTTCTTCTCTTTTCTGCCTCTGAGTTTCTCTAAGGGCAATTATGTTTTATATAAAATCCATTTAGATACTAGAAATATATCAATAAATGTATAAATTGAGTAAATGAATAAATTACATAGTCTGCTATTTGATCTGTTTCCTGGTTCTTCCTTAGCTCAGTGCTTATAAGAGGAAGTAATATCTAATTATTTCATGGTATCATACCATTTTTAAAATGCTCGTACAAATATACTCATTTGCTCTTGTATTTTTATGATGAAATTTTTTAAAAATACAAAAAAATTTCAGAGCAGGACGATGATAGGCATTGATAAAGATACCAGGAAGCTGTGTGAAATCTGAATTTTTTAAGACCCAAAATACAAAATTGAAGCCTTTGGTGTTCCTCTGCCTAAACCCATGTTTTTTCCTTTCTTAAGTCCCAGAAGTAACCACAATTCTGAATTTGATTTTTATACTTAAGTGTAGAAGTTTTACTACTTATGTCTGTAAAGATGGTAATAGATCCCATTAACAGCCAGGCACTATTTTATGTGTATTTGCTCCACAACAATCCTGTGAGGTAGGTTATTGTGTCTCCATTTTCCATATTAAAAAATGTGACAGGAGTGAAGCACCCTGTCCTGTGTCACAGAGCTAAGACATAGAGCAGAGTTTTGACCCAGGCAATTTGTCAAGAGAGCGTGGGTCCGTGACTACTGTGCACGCAGCCTCACCTCCCATGTTTGCATAACAACACAGGGTATTGATTTCCGTGTTTAAAACTATGTCAGTGATGTGCTTGTGAATCCTGTAACTTGTTTTTCCTCCCTCAGCATTCACCTTTTTGAGATTTATCCATGTTGATAATTGTGGCTCTGTTTTAAATGGTTCATGTTACTCTCTGTTTTATGACTTCCACAACTCATTCTTACTCTTATTGGTGGACATTGGGATTTTTCAGAATGTGTACTACTACAAGTTTTTGCCAATCTGAAGGTTATAAAATACTGGCTGGTGGTATAGTTGAACATTTATTTTCATATTTATTAGGCATTCATGTTTCTAGCGAATTGCCTGTTCATATCCTTTGCTTAGTTTGAGTAATTTGTCTTTCTTACTTTCTATAGGAATCCTTTAAACATTCCTGATCCTAATCTTATTTTTTATAGCCATTGCATATATCTTTCAGTTTGTGGTGCATCTTTTTATTTTGTGTCCGTTTTAAAAATGAAAGTATAACACTGAAAAATACACAGATCATGAGTGTGTAGCTATAGGAAATTACCACTAAGTGATGGAAATCTATAGGGTTTTCATCACTCTGAAATTTCATGATCATGTGACTTGCTTTAGTTCATTGTGCCAGATACTCAGTGGCTGACAAATCATGTCCTACAGTTCTGAGAAATTTTCTTGAATTATTTTGTGCTAATTTTCTCTTCTCTAAGTTCTGAGGTTTTATCTTTATGAAATTCCTTGTTTTTGGATATCAGAGTCTGATATTGGTCCCTTATTTTATCTTTTTTTAATTTTCTGTTTCTCCTTTTTACTCTACTTTGTGGGGAATTCCCTCAACTTTATCTCACATTATTTCCTTTAGTTTTTCATTTCTCTTGTCATGTTTTATTTCCACACTCTTTTCTCCCCTATGGTTCTCTGCATGCCTTTATACTTCTCTTTGTCTTCTGTTGTTCATGTTACAGACTTTCCTCAAATGGCTTTGGTAATCCTCAGTTGTCTTTTCATATTTAAGAGTGGGTGACTAAACATCTGATTGGAAGCTCTGAACCATGTGGGTAGGGCTTGAGTACCTTTGAAAGCTTTCGCTGTAGAGTGATCTAGCTGGGCTGCTTCATTGGGAAACTTCCAGTGGATAGTCAGCATCTTTGTATTCTTCCTCTGAGGTGGTCAGATTTTGTGAAGAATCTCTCAGTCTCCTTCCTGGAGGGTGAAGGCCTAGTTCTGTTCATTCTAGGATCTGAGAGGCTGAATGGCTCATCTAGTATGCATATGTTCATGTAACCCTGTTTTCTGTGTGGTGGACTTGCCCCTCAACGATGCCTGAGCAACTCTGCTCAGAGGCCCTTCTTATATCCTCGCTGAAGAGTAAGCATTCATGTCCATTGCTGGGTGGAGTTAGAGATTGGGCTGTCTATCACGAATCTGGGTATCTGCTGCTTCTTAAGCAGACTTTAAATCAATTTTTATTTTAGCTCTCATCCCTACTTCCAGAGACACCTTCCTTTGGGGGAATTTTGCAGTGTACATCAGGTTGGTTCTCAGCTCTCCTCACCCCTGGCTAAGGATTTTGTTTTCTTGGGTCTGTTAAGGCATTTTCCGTGCCACCAGTATTTCGTTGCTGTTGTTTTTCTCTCTCATTTTCCATGTCTTTGTGGGATTATCCCTTTTAAAACATAAGTCCCTTTAATGTTTTAGTGCGGTTGGCAAAGAAAAGGGAAGGATTCTTGTGTTCTGGTTTTATCATCTTTATCTTGGAAGCCTTTCCCTTTATTTCAGGCCTAAAGGATTTGTAAATGTTTTGTTTGTTTTTTGTTTTATTGTTGTTGTTCTTTTTTTTTTTTTTTTTTTTTTTTTGAGACAGGGTTTCACTCTTGTCCCAGTTACAGTACAGTACAATGGCATCATCATAGCTCACTGCAACCTCCATCTTCTGGACTCAAGCGATCTTCCTGCCTCAGCCTTCTGAGTAGCTGGGATTACAGGTGCATGCCATTACACCTGGCTAACTTTTCTATATTTTTTCTATTTTCTATTTTTTGTAGAGATGGGGTCTTGCTCATGCTGATGTTTTGTAAATATTTTATCCTTTATTTTTAGATTTTGGTGGGAGATTTTTATGTTAGGTCTGTAGTAATGCTCCTCATTTAATCTTCATAATGACCTTGTGAGGCATGATCATGCCCCTTTTGCAGATGAGGAAACAGCATTTAGAGAGGTTAAGTAAGGTGAAAAAAGGTCATCACATAACTAAGCAATGGTGCTGGCACTTGAACCTCGGGGTTTTTGGACTTTGATTCTTGTTCCACTGTACTGGCTTTACCTCCTCCTCTAGCAGTTATATGGTGTGAGGGTGGGTTGGGTTTTCTTTGATGTGGGAATTTAGGGCACAGTAAGCAAACAAGAAGACTTCTTTCCTGCAGGTGGTTTATGTCTCTACTCTGTTGGCCTGTTGCAGTGTAAGGAGAGGATGAGGCCCGTGAAAAAGGCACTGAAACAGCTGGACAAACCTGACAAGGGACTAAACGTGCAAGAACAGCTGGAACACACCCGAAACTGCCTGCTGAAAATTGGAGACCGGATAGCCGAGTGCCTTAAAGCCTACTCAGACCAAGAGCACATCAAACTGTGGAGGAGGTAACCACTTTGGCCTTGAATCTGCCCAGTTTGATTTGACAGTGTGTGGATGGATTCTGGTTTTGTTGAATAAAAAGTAGCATAGCCACCTGAGAAAAATCTTTTCCCCAACAAACACCATCTATTGGCAACATATCTGTAGGCTTTAACTTCCTTTTCCTGAAATAGGCCGTTCCACTGTGAGACGCCCCTTTGGAAAGCAGTAGGATAATGTCATTAATGTTTGAGAGGGACAGTGATACTGGATTTGCTGGCCTAGTCTCAGAAATAAATCCTCTTTAAACTTGTGTGGGAGAGAAATCATCTGGTCTTAATTACTTTACTCACTGCGGGTTGATGTTCAGATGTTACTATATCTAATACAACTAATTGGCTGGTTCTATACCAGCACATGTGGTAAAACAAGGGTTAAAACCATGGAGTTCTCTATTCTCATTTCCTTTTTTAATAATTAAAGTATAATTAAAGTAGTAATTTGAATTGATGTAGTTAATCTAGAAATTCAGTAAGACACCACGATTTATAAATGTTGATTTATATATTCACTTGTGATATTTTAAGAAAGCATGTCCGGAAATTCTAAAAGACAGTTGTAACATTAAGTCTCCTTTTGTAAACCAGTTATCTTGAATTTGTATACCTCATGGATAATATTATCTTTGTATAATGTGCCTAATCTCAGTGGATTGGTTTTTAAGTGAAAAATCGACTTAAGAAAACTTCTGTCATGAGATCTATAGCATGCATCACACCCCATAAATGAAAGATCTAATTTTTGAAATGTTATTTCTTTTCCACTTAACACTGTTAACCAGCTTCTTCCTTTAGTGAGCACATCTTTTTAATTGATTTAATCCTGATTTAGAAGACAGCAACAGGTCATCCTAGTGCATAGATCTGTGAAGCTAGACTTGTGTTTACATGTGTAGTCACTGTGATCTTGGCTAGTACTAATTCATACAAAGGTCCTTGACTTTTAAGAGTTCAAAAATAGTACAAGGTAAGACTCCTGAGAAACTGTTCATCATGAAGTGGTAAAGGCAAGACCAAATGTAGCAAAGGGAAGCACATGCAGAAGAGTAGTCAGGGAGGGAGGTCTTCTGAGAGGCAGGCAGGTACACTTGAACTGAACATAGACAAGCAGAGTAGAATTTCTTAGATGAACAGAGTTCTCAGGCTTTAGCAAAGCCTTGAAAGTGAGGTGGACAGAGAACTGGGAGGTGTTTAGCATTTAAAGGCAGTTTGTTATGCAGACTGAAGCCCTTTAAAGGTGAATGGCTTTCCACCCAATGCAGTAGGTTTCCTTATTACGTCTTCTGTCAGTGGCATGGCTTGGCATGGTGAAACTGCCCATCAGGAAGTTTGAGAGGCTATGTGACTTTTTTCTGACTTACTGTGACTACTTATACCTCCTCTTTCTAAACACCTGTTTTATCATATCATTACCCTTTTGTATAATAATGCCATGTTAGCGTGAATGTGGTGGAATTGGAGGGAAGGAATCACTGAGAATTTTAAGGAAGAAATGACAGGCCTTGGTGGTGACAACTCAGAGAACAGAGGGGTAGAGCACAAAGATGACCAACCAAATGCGGGTCTTTACCTGGAAGAAGTGGTGGGGCTGAGGAACTGAGTAACAGAGTCCAGAAAGTGGGGAAGGTGGAGGAACCTTTTAGGACTAGAGCTAGAGTCCTAATTACCACAGATAGAAATTTGGTCAAATTCTTTTGACAGTAGCATAAAAAGACATATAGTAAGTCCTCAAATAACGTTTCCTTTAACGTTTTGTTATAACGTTGATGAGAACCAAAAATTGGTTTTGTTATACATTGTTTTGCTTAAAGTGGCAGTTTCCAAGAACCTATCAACGACTTTAAGTGAGGATTTACTGTATCACCGATGCAAAGACCTGAAAGAATACTTTTGTAACTTAATTTCTATACTGGGAGAGTATTTCACAGCAAAATTCAATAGCCTGCCATCCATAAAGAAAATAAAAAGTGGTTTTTTTAATTCTATAATTCATCAGAAGTTTAATTTTTTTTTAAAGGAACCTGTGGATTTTTGTTTCCAAGTTTACAGAATTTGATGCTCGAAAACTACATAAGTTATACAAGATGGCTCATAAGAAAAGATCTCAAGAAGAGGAGGTAAAATACAAATTTAATCTTAGTTTATACAAACAAATAAAAAACAATTCCACAGAAAAACTCCTTAATTATTGTTTTTTTCCGGGGAGGTGGTCATAGGATGCTGGGTGGTTGTTGGCACCAGAAAGGTCACTGGTTCTTTGCCTTTACATTACAGACAGAGGCACAGGTCCAAGAAGGGTGAAGAAAGCTACCACAGGTCACCAAGCATGTGGGCTATAGTCTGCAGCCCATCCTGTCTAGTACATTGTGCTCCTTCACTGTATTAGCAGTATAGTAGTCAAACAGTAAGACCAGATGGGTAAAATAGTCAGTGCATGGGAACCAGACTGTTAAAATTCTGACAAAGAGTTGTCACCCTGTGTTCTTACGTCCTGGAATCATTTATTCACCAGGTCTTTTCTTCCTCCACATGCACATATCTTCCAGTTAGCTTATAAATGTGGCTCCTAATAGGTAACAGGATTGTGGGCACAGAATACTTTCTCTGTTCTTTCTGGGCCATGTACTTGGTGTCCTTGCAGCTTTTGTATGTAGTTGGAACTACTCATTTAAAGAAGGAAACATGAGAAGGTGCTGAGATGTGGCCTTTCCTTTTTTGGAGGAGGGGGATGGGTACAGAAGTGACTTGGAGGGTGCTGCAAAGGTGGCAGTATCCCTTGTGTAGGCATCCCATTTGCAGATCTGCTGACTTACCACCAGACATTGAGGGCCAAGCTATGAACTTTTAATACCACCTCCACTGACGTGAAGGAGAGACTTTTTGTCTCTCATACCCTGCTGTGTCCTCAGTGCCTGGAATGGTGCTGAGGACAGGGTAGGTGCTCAAAAGTATTTGTTGCTTGGGGATTTGTTACACTATGCCCAGTGCTGTGCTGGCCTATGAAGTAGTACCGTCAAGTAGTTTATAATTTAATTTTGCATGGAAGAATATGTTAGATCAGTAATAAACAGGAAAAATATACTAATACTGCTGTGTATTAATGCAAATTTTAAGCAATGTAAAAAGTCTGTGAAAGAATAGCCATGAAAGGCTGCAGGAGGGACTAAATAGTTGGGAAAGGCCCTTAGTAGAGAGTGAAAATCAGTTAGACACATAATAGTAAAGAGCTTCATTAATTTAAGTATCAGAAGTTAATATGACTTGAATATCAAAAATAGTGATATACCCCACTACCCTACTAGTGGGGTATACATTGTAACAGTCTTTCTGGGGAAGACAGTTCAGCAAGATTTATCAAAAGATTAAAACATACAGTTCTGCTTCTAAGAATACAGTTTAAAGAGTTAATTAAGGATTTAAACATGCTTGTAATGGAAATGACTTGGAAGTCCTACAATAAGAAATAAGTTAAATAGATCACAAAATATATCCATATTGGGGAGTATTATTCAATCATTAAATATAATATTATAGAAATAAGTATTTACATGGGAAGATTTTCACAATATATTAAGGGGAAAAAGGATACCAAATATTTTTGTTTAAAAAAGTCTATATAAACACAGCAAAAAGCTTATTAGAAAGATGTGGGCCGGTAATTAACAATGATTTCTTTGGTGGTTAGATTTTAGGTCCCTCTACATTTTTTTTTCTTATTCCATTTTTTTTTAACTTTATTTTTGATGTTTTTATATCAAACATTTTACCTCTGTGGTAAAGGAGTGATGTGACGTTCAGATGTTTAGGTTGATGGCTTTGGGGTAGGAACTAGTTCCCACCGGACAGTTGGGGGTGGTTCTGGGTAACCTTGGAAAGTTGGTAGTCTTGGTTTAGCATCGTCCAAGATGATCCTCAGAGTGCCGACAACCTGGGCTCCAGTTCCATACCCGGTATGGCCACATTTAGCAAGCAGTCCATGCGTGTGTTCTCACAGGTATTCAGCAGTGGAGGTCAAACTCAGTAGTGGAGGTCAAACTCAGCAGATGGGTCACTGTTAGGACTTGATTCTGCGGGAGCTCAGTGGAATAATTTGTGAGCATTTTTTGGTAAGATGGTAGTAAATGGCAGTTCAGAAGTCAAGGACAAGAGAGCTATTTAGAGGTGATGGTCTTCATTCTGCTTTTGGGAATTATGCCTGGGGATCTTAAGCTTCTTTGATTTCCTTGTACTCTGCAGGAGCAAAAGAAGAAAGATGACATGCTTGGTGGTAAGAAACCTTTTCGACCAGAGGCCTCAGGCTCAAGCCGGGATTCTCTGATATCTCAGTCCCATACCTCACACAACCTTCACCCTCAGAAGCCTCATTTGCCTGCCTCCCATGGCCCACAGATGCATGGACACCCAAGAGATAACTACAATCACCCCAATAAGAGACACTTCAGTAATGCAGGTAGGTCATTCAGGGGAATTTTTAAAAAAGGCGCCAAAGCCCCATAGTCATTTCGTTTTCCAGAGACAACAGCTAGTTCTTTCTACTTTATTCTCCTTCAACACTTCGTTGTCCTCTTTTCTTAATGAAATAAAGATCCAAGGCTGTTATTTTAACTTTAAGATGAACATACCTACCATAAACAAAAAACAAGTGATAGACTGAGGGAAAAGTTTACATTCTCTATGACTTAACCAGTTAAATGGTAAAGACTGCTAATATTGAAAGAGCCCTTGTAAATTGGTAACAAAAAGATAACAAAGCAGAAAAATGGGCAAAGGACAATCAACAGAGTGAAGAGACAACCTATGTAATGGGAAAAAATATTTGCAAACCATATGTCTGATAAGAGGTTCGTATCCAAAATATATAATAAACTCAATTCAATAGTAAGAAAATTCAAAAATGGGCAAAAGACCTGAATAGACATAATTCTCGACAGAAGACATACAAATGGCCAAATAGGTTCATGAAAAAATGCTCAATATTGCTAATCATCAGGGAAATGCAAATTAAAACTGCAGTGAGATACCACCTCAAACTTATTAGAATTGCTATTATCAAAAAGAAAAAGATAAGCGTTGGTAAGGATGTGGAGAATAAGGAACCCTGCACATTATTGGTGGGAATGTAAATTAGTACAGTAATTATGGAAACAGTCTGGAGGTTCCTCAAAAAATTAAAAATAGAACCACCATATGATCCAGCATTCCCACTACTGGGTACATATCCGAAGAGAAGGAAATCAGTATGTTAAAGAGATGTCTGCACACCTATGTTCATTGCTGCAGCAGTATTCACAATAGCCAAGATGCAGAATAGCCTTAAGGGCCCATCAAGAAACAAGTGGATAAGGCCAGGCTTTGGTGGCTCTCGCCTGAAATCATAAGCACTTTCTGAGGCTGAGGCAGGTGGATCACTTGAGACCAGGAGTTCGAGAACAGATGAATGGATAAAGAAAATGTGATACACCCACACACAGATACACACAGGAATATTATTTAACTTTAAAAGAAGGAGATCCTGTCATTTGCAACATGGGTAAACCTGGAGGACTTTTATGTTAAGTGAAAAAAACAGGCACAGAAAGACAAAATATTGTATGATCTCGCTTATATGTGGAATCTAAAAAATTTCAACTTGTATAAGTAGAGAGTAGAAAAGGTGGTTACCAGGGTCTGTGAGGGACAGCTGGAAAGATGTGAGTTAAAGAATGTAATATTTCAGTTCAATATAAGGAATAATTTCAAGAAGTCTGTTGTATAATGTTGTGACTGTAGTTAATCACAATGTATTATATTTTTGAAAATTGCTGAGAGTGGATTTTAAGTGACATCCTCAAAAAATAAAAGTGTGAGGTTAATGCACATGTTAATTAACTCAATTTAGTCATTCCACAAATTTGCATATTTTAAAACATTGTTTAATATGGTTTTTATTTGTCAATTGAAAAATGTTTTAAATTACAATCATGAAACAAATCTCAAAAGAATGCAGATTGAATTTAAATTTTGGGGAATTTGATTAGATGTAGTGGCTCATACCTATAATCCCAGCACTTTGGGTGGCTGAGGCGGGAAGATCACTTGAGGCCAGGAGTTCTAGCAGCCTAGGCAACATAGAGACCCTGTCTCTATAAATTTAAAAAATTAGCTGGGCGTGGTACCTTGCTACATGGGAGTCCCAGCTACATGGGAGGATTGCTTGAGCCCAGGAGTTTGAGGCTGCAGTGAGCTACAATTGCACTACTACATTCCAGACTGGGGAGCAGAGCAAGACCCTGCCTTAAAAATAAATACATAAATAAAGTAAAATTTTTGAAATTTGACTAAGAAAAAATAAAAAGCTCTGTCGAGCTCATACGTTGTTTTAAAAAATAGCCAAATTGAGGAATAGGGAATTCATAGAGAAGAGAAAATTCAAATGGCCAATATGGTAAGATGACCAGCCTTACTTAGTAGGGAAATATAAATTAAAGCAACAGTAAGTTAACCAATATTTTTACTGTCCAGATCATCAAAAATTAAAAGGAGAAATACATGCCAATTGTTAAGAATGTGAATTGCTGCAATTGTTTCATAAGATAACTTGAAATATCTAAATACGTAGGCCTTTTGACAATAGTAATCCTTCGTCTGGGTGTCTGCTCTATAGAAATGAAAGCACATACCTGCATGAGGATTGTATTCCAACCTATAACAGCAAATGGCTGGAAACAGCTGGATCCTTTAATAGGGGAATGGTTAAATGAATAATAGGGCATTTATACTCAATATGATTATCAGGTAATAAAAAGGATGAGGTTACATTTTAGATTTTTAAAAAGTAGAGAAAAATAAGCAGTAACAACAACAAAATTCATAATGTGTCCAGGCACCTGTGATTTTAAATTTAATGAGGTAAAATTCACATAACATACCTAACCATTTGTAAGTGAACAATTCAGTGACAGTGCATTCGCAATGCCAACTACTTCCATCTAGTTCCAAAACTTCTCCATCACCCCAAATGGAAACCCAATACCCATTAAGCAGTGTCTCCACATTTCCCCCTGCTCTCCGCCCCTGGCAACTGCCAGTGTGTGTTCTCTCTCTGGATTTACCTATTTTGGATATTTTATACATTATAAATGGAATGATACAACATGTGACCTTTTGTGTCTGACTTTTTTTTAACCTAGCTTGTTTTTAAGGTTCATCCACATTGTAGTATGTGTCAGTGCTTTTGTTCATTTTTGTGCAGGATTTATTCATTGATGCAGTGATGGACATACGAGTTTTTCTGCTCTTTGGCTGTTGTGAATAGTATTAATGTGAACATTTATTTGTGTACTGGTATTTTTTTGAATACCTATTTTTAACTGTCTTAGGTATATACCTATGAGTGGAATTATGGGTTCATAGGATAAGTCTATGTTTAACTTTGTTTGAATATTATGTTTGTATAAGCATAGAGAAAGAAATCTATACGTCTGACTATTAATAATAATTACCTTAGGATGAGGGGGGATTGTAAGACGTTAATAACTTGTCTGTTATCTATTGCTTCACATGTTACAATGAGCAGAAATTACTTCTAAAGAAAAAAATAAGGGAAAAAACATATGGAATGAAACCTAAAATGTATATAACATATGTATATAGATGGAAGTATAGAATAAGATTTACATTACAAAGATTCAAATATTCCATATTAATCAAAATGTAGTAAACATTCCATTGTAAACTTAAGTTCTAAAATTTCCATATGATTAAAAAATACATTCTAGTTTTCTGATAAAATTCTCAATCTTTAAAAAAAATCTTCATCTTTTTCTCCTCTTACAAAAAATATTAATTATAGTTAATTGAAAAATCCTTACTCCCTAAACTCCTCCAATATCTGAATTATTGTGAGTCATTTTTGAATGTATGTTCTTTTCTCTTGGCTTCCAGTCATATGGTCCTATCTTTTGACATGCCTAGTTATTTTTGCTTACATGGACAATGTGTTTTAAAAATTGTAGAAGCTCTAGGTGATGTGAACATTCCCCAGAGAGGATTCACCCTTTCCTCTCCTGGGCACATAGAGTAGGAGGTGATCTTAATTTGCTGCGTCTCTGGTTTGCTCTGTCCTGGGCTGAGTCCTCAGAGTGCTCAGCTGAGGGCCAGCCGCATCACTGCTCCTCCTTTCCAGCGGGTCTGAAACTCTCATCTTTGTTTCCTCAGCACCGTGAGACTGCCCAAAACTACTCTGCTTTTCGGGGGCTTTTTAGCTTAGGCTTTCTTGGCCTGCTCCCTGAAGATTCAGCACATGCCCTAAGGGAAAGATGGTCGTGTGTTTGAAGCCCCTGAAGTCTCCAATGTCACTCTGGTCTAGAAAGACCACAGACAGCTCTGCTGGTGTCTCTTTTCTTCCAGCAGTGGTTCTCGGCCTGGGAAAAGTCCAGTCCTCAGCCTCTTGCTAGTGATGAGAATCATCGATCTCCCCCTGGCTGCAGAAGTCAGCTCTTACCTCTGAGATTTTGTGCTCTTCGGAATCTTACTCATTTCAGTCCTGATTGCTTTAGCTGCTCGTTGATGCCTTTAAACAGATTATTTTTTGTTTCTCTGCCCTTTTTCATTGATTTTAGCAAGGTGTAATTTTGCTATAAGCTACTCTACCTGGAAACATAAGGCCCATATCCTCTAATCTTAAAAATCTAAGTAATTCAAAATTAATCACAATTTTGTTGAGGGGAAGAAAGTGAGTGACTGTACAGAATTGGGAGATGTTTCCATGTTCTTACATCTCGTAGTATTAGTTATACTGACTTTTCTAGTGTTAGGCTGGTTTTGCGTTATTCATATGACGCCACTTATTTTATATTCTGAATATTAAACTAACTGCAATCCTTTATTTAAACCTTGGATTCCTCACCCTTATGTTTACTAGCTCAACACTTCCTAACCAGTGACCTATGTCATAGAGGGTTTAGGAAGAAAGAAAAACACTGTTTGATTTACTCTAGAAATGAATAACGTGGCTTGAGTTTGAGCGTCTCTACAATACCACAGACATTCAAACCTTGTTTGAAATCTTTCCATTTGATTTGAAGCTGTCTTCAGATGATCCTTTGCATGTTTAGAAGGTGTCTCTTTTTGTTATCATTTGTTAATTCTTCGCTTGAATAGTCAAAAGTCTTTTACTTTGTAGTCCTCTGGTCAAATGCACCTGGATCAGCAATGAACTTAAACCACTGGTTGACTGTACATTATGTTAATGGTATCAGTTTCTAAGCTGCACACGTTTCGGAATGGTGTTATTTTTTTTGCTCTGTAGAAAAAAAATGCTAGAAGGCCAGCAAAATGGGTAGAGACATTTACTGGTGTCATGACTTTAATCTTAACATAATTGTAAACAGAAGATGGATTTTCCATGAGGTCACGTAGTTCCTTTTGGTTAATCCTCTATTAGTCCTCTATTAGTTTTCTAGTGCTGTCTATAGCAAAGTACCACAAAATAGGTAGCTTGAAACATTAGGAACTCATTGTCTCACAGTTCTGGAGTTTAGAAGTCTGAAATCAAGGTGTCAGCAGGATTGGCTCCTTCTGGAGGCTCTGAAGGAGAATCTGTTCCATGCCTCTGTCTTTCCTTCTGGTGGCTGCCAGTTCTTGGTGTTTCCTGACTTGTAGCTGCATCACGCCAACTTCTGCCTCCATCTTTACACAGCCGCCTTCTTTGTCTCTCCGTCTCAGATCTCCCTCTTTTCTTTTGAAAGGATATTTGTCATGGCCCAACCTAAACCAAGATGGTTTCCCCTAGAGATTTTTGACTTAATTACATCTGCAAAGACCGTGTTTCTAAGCAAAGTCACATTCACAGGCTCTGGATGGACATATCTTGGGGGCCACAGTTTAACATGATAACATCCTCCATCCCTGGATTTGTTTGTTTTTGCTACTTTTACTAATTCAAATAAGTACAAGTCTTCTTAGGGCAAAAGGGAGGCACAGAAACTAAATGGATTCTAGTTTGGCCTTACCCTTGAGAGAGTGCTGATCCAAGTCCACAGTTAGAGACGTTACTTTTTATAGGAGGAGGTCCATTCGTTTTGGTGAGGCTACTAGGGAAGAGTAATAGAATCAGTAAGTGTAGTATAGAGAGATTTTCAGAGACCAGGCACAACTTATAGTACCAGCAGGTTAAATAAATGGAGGGTATCACCTCGCAGCTATGAATCTCAGCAGTATCATTTTCAACATTACTCTTTGGTCTTGGTTCTTTGAGTGAAATGTCTGCCACAGATTGGAAGGTAAGCAGGTATGGAAGATGAAAAGCAGCGCTTGAGATTTCAGAAGGAGAGGAGTAGTGAATTTTCTTAACATTTTGGGAGAAAGAATGTTAGAGCTCATGAATGGTATGTTAACCAGCAGCAACAAGACCAAGAAAGAGGATATTTAATGTTTATTTGTAGCATGTGTCAGCTTTCGGGTTAAACTTTAGTGAAAGTGAAATTCAGCCATTTCTTGCAGTCATCAGATCATTCTTTTCTTGCAGATCGAGGAGACTGGCAGAGGGAAAGAAAGTTCAACTATGGTAGTGGCAACAATCCGCCTTGGGGCGACAGGCACCATCAGTATGAGCAGCACTGGTATAAGGATCACCATTATGGGGACCGGCGACACATGGATGCCCATCGTTCTGGAAGCTATCGGCCCAACAACCTATCCAGAAAGAGACCTTATGACCAGTACAGCAGTGACCGAGACCACCGGGGACACAGAGATTACTATGACAGGTGTGCAAAAGGCTGTCAGACACCAGGAGCTGAGTGTTAAAAAGAAAAGACAGTGATGCATGCACGAATGTATTTGTTTGTCAGATGCTAAATATCTCCTTGTGTGTCAGCCATGGTCCCGAGTCTTGAATGTCAGGTGATAGCTTTTACATTTTGTTCTTTGGGTCATAGGGAGCACATTTCACCTATGCAGAGAGTTTTCTGCCATCCTTTGAGGAAATCTGGTGAAATTGTAGATTATAAAATATTAGAGTCGACAGCCAAAACAAGCTCTGTGCTAGGCTCTCAGCCATGCTATGTGGCCAGGATCCTGAGATGCATACCAGCCCATGGTCCTTGCCTGCCAGGGTCCCATAATTTGAGTCAAAGCCTCTTGAAGTTGCACCCTCTTTACAACTATACAATACCACCAGTGATATGATGAGCCAAGGTTTTCGATTGTGAGAGTTAGCAGGAAGGGCTAAAGAGGTTTTATCTATACTTTCTAATTTCAGGACTTGGCCATATTTTAGTCTCATAGCAGCTTTGGTTAATGACATGCCAAAGTTAGCTTTGGCTACTGACATGCTTTGTTGACACTGCACCTTGAATTTAAAGTGGGAAAATTTCATATATATATCTCAATGTCCTGCTTTCTTTTTGGAAGATCTGGTAAACAGCAGGCGGTGATAGCAGAGCCAGCTGTAGCTGAGTAGCAGCCATGGCCTCAGAAGTAGACTGTGTCCCTCACCCTCACCCTTCTTCTATATGGCCTCATCTGGATGCAGTTGGCACTTGTCCTGCCTTTCTTTTGTAAATCTGTATTTCTTCTATGTGGTAACATTTTTCTTCTGCCTGAAGGACTTTTGTTTTATTGTGGGTCTGCTGGTGATAAAAGTTTTTCAATATTTGTATGTGTGTCCAAAAAAGTCTGTATTTTGCCTTCATTTTTGAAAGATATTTTTGCTGGGTATAAATTTCTAGATTGACAGTTTTTTTCAATACTTTAAGAGGTACCTCTGCTGTCTACTTGCATTGTTTCTGATGAATAATTTGTCATCCTTACCTTTGTTCTTCTTTGCATATTGCTGCTGCTTCTTTTTTTTTAGTCACTGATTATGATGTGCCTGGGCATATTTTTCCCTTGTGTTTTCTTGTGCTCTGGAATTGTTGAGCTCCTTGGATCTGTGAGTTTATCATTTCCATAAAATTTGGAAATTTGTATAATATTCTTCAAATATTTTTTCTGTCCTCCTACTCTCTCTTATCCTTTGGAGATTCCAATTACTCCCATATTAGCTTGCTTGAAGTTGTCTCACAGCTCAGTCGTGTTCATTTTAAAAAATTATGTTTTCTCTCTTTTATTTTGGGTGGTTTCTATTGCTATGTCTTTAAATATTTTCCTTTTTAATGTCTTATCTGCCACGAGACCCATGTAGTATACTTTTCATTTTATATGTTGTAGTTTTATCTCTAAAAGCTGTATTTAAGTCTTTTTTTTAAAAAAAATCTATCTCACCTTTCAAAATCTGGGATATAGTTATAAAAATGGTTTTAATGTCCTTGCCTGCTAATTTTGTCATTTGGTCAGTTTTAATTAATTGATGCATTTCCTTATTGTGGGTCTTGTTTCTCTGGTGCTTTTCATGCCTAATAATTTTTTTATTAGATTCCAGATGATACAAAATGTACCTTGTTGGGTGCTGGATATTTTGTGGTCCTATAAATATTTTGGAGCTTTGTTATGACACACGGGTTATTTGGAAACAGTTTATACCTCTTTCAGGTCTGGCTGTTAAGATTTATTAGGCAGAACTAGAGCAGTGCTCAGTCTGGGGCTAATTATTCCCAAGGTAAGGGCCTCACTGCACTTTACCCAGTGACCCTGCATTTGAACGGCTTTTGGTCTGGTTGGTGAGAACAGGAACTTTTCTGGTTCTCTGAGTACAGAGCACTGTTACCTGTAATTCTTTGGGTGGTTCTTTCCCTGGTCCTGAGTAGTTTCCTCGTATGTACATCCTGAGCAGTGTCCAGCTGTGTACTTAAGGGGAACCCCCTGTAGATCTTCAAACTTCTTTCTCTGTGCAGAACTTTTTTCTCTTGTACTATATCCTGTGAACTGGATCCTGCCTTGCTCCCACCAGACTCTCAACTCAGGGAAGCCTGCTGGCCTCTTTCTGGGTTTTCTCCTCCCTGTGTCACAGCCTGGAAACTGTCTCATGGTAGTGAGCAGGGACAACGGGAAGGCTCCTCTTATTAGCTTCCACCCCCAGTGGGGTCACTGTTCTTTGTTGCTTGATACTTGGTGCTTTGAAAACCACTGTTCTGTACGTTTTGCCCATTACTGATTGTTTTAGGCAAGAGGGTAAATCTGGTCCCTGTTAATCCATTTTGACTGGAACTGAAGTTGCCCAGTTCTTCCTCTTCTCTTTTTTTATTGAGGTGAAATTCACGTTATATAAAGGAACTATTTTAAAGTGAACAATTCGGTGACATGAGTATTATACACTCACAATGTTGGGCAGCTACCACTTCTATCTCGTTCCAAAACACTTTCTTCACCCAAAGAAAGCTCTGCAATCATTAAGCAGTTATTCCCCATTCTTCCCTCTCTCCAACCCCTCGCAACCACCGGTCTGCTTTCTGTCTCTATGGATTTACCTATTCTGGACATTTCTTATAGAGGGAATCATACAACATGTGACCTTTTGTGTCTGGCTTCTTTCCCTTAGCACAGTGTTTTCAAGGTTCATGCATATATCAGTCAGTACTCCGTTCCATTTTGTGGCTGAGTAATATTTCATTGTATTAATATAGCACATTTTGTTTATGCATTCATCTGTTGATCGATGTTTGTTTCTATCTTTTGGCTATTGTGAAGAATGCTGCTGCAGTGAATATTGGTGTACAGATACTTGTTTGCATACCTGTTTTCAGTTCTTTGGGGTGTATACTTAAGAGTGGATTTGTTAAGTCACATGGTAATTCTTTAATTTTAGGAACCACTAAACTTTCCACCATGGCTGAACCATTTTACATTCCTACCAGCAGTATATGACTTGCAATTTTTTCACACATCTTCTAAGTATTCTTTGCCAACACTTACTTTCTGTTTTTTCTTTTTTGAGACAAGGTCTTACTTTGTTTCCTAGGCTAGAGTGCAGCTGGGCTCAAGTGATCCTTCCATCTCAGCCTGCTGAGTAGCTGGGACCTCAGACAAGTGCCACCATACTGGATTAATTTTTATCTCTAAAATTTTTATGTTTAGTTATTATGAGTACATAATAGTTGTATATATCTTTAGGGCATACAATGTGAATTACTCAAATCCAGGTAATTGGAATATCCATCATCTCAGGCACTTACATTTCTTTTGTGTTAGGAACATTCTAGTTCTACTCTTTTAGTTATTTTTTAAAGTATACCCTAACTTATTATTGATTATAGTCACTTTGTTGTGCTATCAAATATTGGTCATTCTAACTATCTGACTGTATATACCAATTCTCTTTTAATAGCATAATGAGCAGTTTGCCATGGTCCAAGCTAAACATTTTAATGTTCTTCACATTTAGTCAATTTTTAAGGTAATTTTATTAACCCTTCACTTCTTGTTGAATATGTAGTTTGATGGTGCCTTTAACTGTTACTAATAACTTACTAAATAATTTCTGTGGCTCTTTTTCTTCTGGCTGGATTAGCAAATTTTATAGGTCTTGTCAGTTTTTTCCTGAAGGCAGTATGAGCGTACAGAGCCATCCGTGATTCTTCAAGTGTACACTTGTGTTCACTGCAAACTCGAGGTGTCTGTTTCATAGGATGTGTTTTGCCAATAGGTGTAAAATGACCCTTTATTACTTTAGTTTTGTTTTCTGACTCTTAGAGTATAATGTTTGTCCCAGACTCCTTTGGAAATGTCCTTGAACATGAGTGTATGAGGAAAAGCCAATGAATGATGAAGAAGTGGATGGGAATCTAGCCTTGATCTTGCAGCTCATCCTTGCATCTCTGTTTCAGGCACCATCATGATTCCAAGCGGAGGAGATCTGATGAATTTAGGCCTCAGAATTACCACCAGCAGGATTTCCGAAGAATGTCTGATCACCGCCCCCCTATGGGCTACCATGGGCAGGGACCCTCAGACCATTACCGTTCTTTCCACACAGACAAATTGGGGGAATATAAGCAGCCCCTGCCCCCATTGCACCCCGCAGTCTCAGATCCTCGCTCACCCCCTTCTCAGAAATCTCCTCACGATTCCAAGTCACCCCTGGATCATAGGTCTCCTTTGGAGAGATCACTAGAACAGAAAAACAACCCAGATTATAACTGGAATGTTCGGAAAACATAAGGACAGCTCAGAAAGGGGAGAGCAAGCGTCATCAAACACGTGGATATTTTCGGTCTGATCCAACAGTAGCCAGTTACCTAGACCAGTAAGTGGAGCTTCTGGACATGCCGCTGCTGTCAACTCGCTGGCTGAAGGAGCACTTCAAGGAGCGGAAGGCCTCTTATTGGGTCCAGCCTTGATTTGGGTCACCACTCCTGCACTTTGTCGCCCCATCCTATTCCAGCCTAGTTCTGGCCTCCCACTTTGATGAGCCACTAGGAGGAAAGATGACTTTTTGTGCACCAGCTTCACTGGGCTGTCTCCCCAGTGAAGGAATAGGGACTCTTTAGAGTCACGGATGTTTTATTGCCAGGGCCAGTGTTCCTTGGACCTGGGTGCGGTGGTCAGGGGAAGGCATTGGTGCCTGAAGGCTGCCGGGACCTGGGGGTAGAGTGTGTAACCTGGTTCACTCTGACATGGCGGATGCTGCTGGCGGGGATTGGGGGCGAGTGGGTGGGGTCTCGCACCAGAGGACTTGAAGGGGAGCAGGTACGCCCCTTAAATGTGTTTTTGGGAGAAATTATACACTCAGCCTCATTATGTGAAACCTACAGGCGGGGGTAAGAGGGAAACAATTTTCACAGTGGCTTCTTCCTTCCTGACACTAATTTTCCCACACTGTCTGTACATTTCAAAGGTTTGGTCCCCGGAGTGGGCCCCCTTTTCCCCCCTGTGCCAGGGAAAGTAGGGTCCCTCCGGCTGACTTTGGAGTACTGTGAGTTAGGCAGCGTTGATGCCGGCATGGGTCTTACTTGATTTGGGGGGGGGCTGAGTGAGGGACAGGTGGGGATCGGGTGGGGATGGGGGGGGGTAGTGTGCCAGGGAACTGGAATCCCTGGTGGATTTCTGGTTCCTTTGGAGAGGGAAACAAGAGGTCCTGGGGAGGCGAGGCAGAGGCAGGCCTGCTGAGCGGCTCGTTGCTGGCACGCACAAAGATGGGGGTGCCCGCGCAGGTGTGAGCAGGTGTTCCAGTGTGGGCTTTGGTAGTGCCAGCAAGTGGGGGAAGCTTTCAGTATTGGAGTAGGTCAACACGTCCTGCTGCATTTTAGTTCCCTTGGCACAGCTTGGAGAAGTAGGTTATACAGAAACACACACCTCCTGACGTTCATGTGGTAGGCAGAGGAGAGTAAGTTACCTGTGGTGCACAAGTTTCTGCTGCTAGTTGGAGATCAGTAGAATTGGACTCGGTTTCCTTTTAGAATAAAACCAAGTATAAACCTAAGTTAAATTTTTTCCAGAATAGGAAGTATTCAAGGACACAGTGACTGAGCTATAGACAGTAAGAGCCATACTAGCGTTGAATTGAGTCAGGACTAGGAAGCAAGTTGGTTGCATCAGTTAAGCAGGCTTTTTTCAATTTACTGATGCAGAGGCCTACAGTTTTATCCATTTCCAGTATAGCTTGCCAGTATTGTTAGAGTATCCAGAGGCCTTTCAGGATGGAGACGTTGACTGACTTAAACAGACAGTGTGTTTGTTAGTGTCCAAGCTCAGCGCTGGTGAGAACCCTTGTATTGGCATGCGCAGGGTTCAACTCCCCGAACTAACTTGTGAGGACTTCATAACACCATTATCACGACTGGCTGGTGTCCTGGGCAGTGCTGTAATGCCTTTACCAGGACATGCTGAGCCGTGTCCCCCTAGTGAAGCGGATGTGGCTGTGGCGGGCCATTGCCTTTGCCACACAGCATTGTGCGGCCAGTCTGTGCTGAGCCAGATGAGAGTCTAGGTCCGCGCAGCCTGTGTTGGGAGCTCAGTGGACCCACTGCTTTCTTATTTAACTCCCTGTGGTACTGGGGGTTGTACACCCTGGACTTGTACCACGCATGCCCGGAGCAAAGCCCCAGTGACTGTGTGGGGCCACCTGGCCACAGTCCTCCCATGGAGGGCCAGCTGCTGCTCAGTGGAGAAGGCAGGGAATCGTGTCTCCACTTTGCCACATGTTGATGAGGAACCCACAGATGGAGCTTCTTGCTGATGATATTGACACTATCCTGTGTTGCCCAAGCCAGAGAGGAATGCAGGGTTGGCCTGCCAAGCCCTTGAGGGATGGGAGGTGGGAGTGGGGGTGGGAGGGGATGAGGCCCTGCAGGCAATTGGATTGTGTCCTCCAGGAGTGAGGGGGGCAGAGGAGTCACTCGAAGCCCTGCATTTCCATACTCATCGGGCTTCTCCCAGGTTGTTGATAGGACATGTGAATTACTCCCAAAGATGTCTCATCATGAGGAAAAAGGAACTTCCTTTTGTTCACATTCAGGACTTCTAGTGCCATATGCAGTAGCAAAAGGCAATATTAGCCAGATCAGTGTTACATTGATTCTAAAATTACAGTATCCCCAGTGTCTATTTTAGGTGTGAAATAGGTTTGAAGAGTACCTTGGGAAAAAGAAGGTATTGCCTGATTTAAATCAGTATGAATATTGTATGCTTAAATCAAAAACAAATTTGCACAGGTAGAAATTCTCTCGCTTGTGAATGGGAGAAGCTGCCCCAGGAGTCTGAGGATGGTATTCCATGGAGCCTGGCTTTGAAAGGTTTCATTGTTGGTAGATATAACAGGGGTTGGAGAAGAAGGGAATTAGCATCACCTAAAACGTGCACGTGAACAAGGATTGACAGGATACTCTGGCCCTAGGAAAGGACAAGGTGAAACCCCAGGCTCGTCACTGCAGCCTGTCGGAGCCAGGCTAGCGTGGACAGACGGGTGCCCAGCGGAGCCCTCGCTGGCTCCCCTTCAGTCATTCCTTGCGCCCCTCGAAGGGAAACCCGAGCACTTCTCGCACCATGCTGCAGACATCCCGGCCTGACGTGTCTGCAGGCTGCGTCAGGCCTCCCAGTGCAAACGCAATTCATTTGTGAATTCACACGATGACACTGAAACCCTACAGACCAAAATCCACTTGTCAGCAGGAGCGGTGGCCCAGGCTCAGTGCCAGCAGTCTTCGGGCTCCTCTGAGGGCTGCCACGCTGGGCGAGGGGGGCCATGCCAAGGGTCCAGGCTGCTTTAGTCCATCTGTGCCCTGCTCGTTTGGGGACAGATGGTTTTTCTTTATTGTAAAATTGTGGACTTTTAAAACCTGTTGACTAAACAGTAATTAATTTATATTTGTGAAAAATGCCACTGTCCTAGTGATTTCTGATGTAAATAATGTTGTTTATATAGTATGTATTAAATTTTCCTACATTGTAAAACTGCTGTACTTTTGATTCTTGTATATTAAAAAGTGTTACTGAGGATTTTTAGAATTGGGCTGACATGTTGCATTGCATTTTGGTGTGAGCTGCGTGACTGCAGATACCTCTTGCTTTCCTCCCTTGTCCCTAGATGCTGGGTCACATCTAGATTTTTTGACAGCGTGTGAAGTGGAGCCTTTTAAAGTTGCATATTCCTCCTACTCAACACCATTTGTGTTGTTGGGCCCAGGGCATTGATTCACAGATTCCTATGATTGTATATTCCTGGGCCATTGCTGAGGCTAACAGTTTGCTGTCTGAGTAGCCCTGGGTCATACATAGCCCACAGCCCTGCACTGGAGTTGCTGAACCCGGTAGTTGAGCAGGACTACTCTTAATCTCCCAGTGTTAGTCCTGCCAGGGAGGATCCTGGGAGACCTGGAAGGGCACCCCTCTGTCCTGAAGAAACACAAACACCGCATGTGCCAGCCTGTACCTTTGAGGGTAATTTAATAGTTGGGTTACAAGGTGGAGGCGGGGTGCGTTTAATAATGGAAACACTGACATGAATGTTAACTCTAGCAATCTGGCACTGGGGCAGGCCCAGCTCTGGCACAGCCCAGACAGGAAGGGTGGCCCAGCCCACGGGTGGGGATCTCCATCTGAATGGGAGTTAGAGAAGCTGCCCAGACCCAAGGGTTTTTACTAATACTTTGAGACCAAACCCACATCTTGGTGAAGTTCTTAATTGTTGAAACCAAGTAAGCCCATGTGTCCACTCAGAGCGGAGGTTCAGCTCGTGTGACTGTCTGTCCCGGGAACGTGGAGGCAGGGCCCTTGCCAGCCCTGGCCTGTGCAGGGCAGGATTCTGGGACTTTCAGTGCACGTAGTTCCTGAGCAAAAGACTGGGAAGAGCCGAGGGCTCCTCATGCCCGTAAAGAAGCTCGACTCACAGTCGTGTTGTAACTGACGACTCAGCTGGAACAACTTGGGGAAACTTTAAGAACAAGTGCTGCAATAATCAGCTTATGATTTACAATAGCAACAAGGCCTCAAAACTGCCTGCTGCCAAAACACCCGCCTTTTACTGGAAGCAGCAGGCCCAGGGCCCCTGCCTCCTCCCTCCTCCTCCTCCCTCCTCCCTGGCAGGGCCTCACAGGCCTGGCATCACAGCAAGCCCTCCTCAATTAGCGCCAACAGAAAGGTCACTTATTGAAACCCAGGTCTCTGCAGTTTGCCAGACCAGAGTCTGGGCTCCAGATTCCAACCTGCGGCTCTTAAAGGAGCAGGACCAGCCTTGACATATGGCTTTGTCTTAACTGAAGCCCTGCACCAGCGCTTCCACCATGTCTTGAGGTTGGACTCCCACTGGGGCCATCACCACTCAGCCAGCCTCTTATTTGCTCTGTTTTGTGTGAAATGGGGGCGAGATGCAGCTGGGCTGAACTAAAACTCTCCTGCAGAAACCCCACTGCTAATTGAGGAGGCTGCCCCTGCTGCTGCTGCTGGGACCCTCCACGAGGCTCAGTGTCTTGGGGATTTCCTGGTCGTTTCTGTAGCTGTGCAGTGTGGTGGAGGACAAGTGGGGTCAGGCCACGTGGTTTGCCCTGACCACTCCTCTAATCTGGCTTTGTGTGGGAACATGGACAGGTCCGTGGCCTAAAGCCTTCTCACCTTGAAGATGGGCAGCATAATATCCACTCCTCATGGAGGGTTCACACGTGTTATCTTTATCTTAATTTCCTTTGTGACCCAGGGGGGGCTGCTGTTACTAAAGCGTAAGTCCTGGCAACCACAGGCACCGCAGTGGCCTTCAGGGCCTGGGTGGCAAGAAGGGGCTGGCAGGAGTCAATGCGTTGCCCTGCGTGCAGCTGGGCAGGTGGCCTTTGCATCTTCGTCTGCAAATGAAGGAGGCAGCTTCTTGGGTTAGTGTGCTCTCTAAGTGAAAGTGTGCACTGTGGACAAGGAAAAGGTTTGTAACCCCACCGGCTACCCAGAAGGAGGCTGTTCAGTCCTTGGCTGGGGAGGGGGTGAGGGTTGAGGGGACGGAACCAGAGGCCACTGGAGAGGTTGGGGGGACCAAGGACAGAGCTTGCCTGGCTGGAGGGCGGGCCCAGCCCAGCATCATCAGGCAGCCCTCGCCCCCAGGGCCTGCGACAGGAGCAGCCCTGTGGATCCCAGCTGGCCAGGGCGCCTGCAAAACTGCAGCTTGCCCTGGGGGAGCCTAACTCCCAGCAGGGACGGGAACCACCTGGGGGAGCTCACTGTCTCGGTGGGGAGACAGTGCCGGGAGCAGTTACGGGAGAGGAGGTTTTCCTTGACCAAGATCTCGAGCCCCTACTGCGGGCAGGCTCTGCCCTGGGAGCTGGGGACCCATGCGGAGAACCAGAGGGCGAGGCCCTGCCCTCCTGGAGCGGTATTCTAATTGCGGTGGGGAGGCCGACCCTAGACAGGCCAACAGTAAGAGGACAAAGTGTCATATAAGCGCCAGGGAGAAGAGAGCCAGATGTAAGGGACAGCACGCTGTAGCCGAGCCCTGGTGGTGACGGGGCTGAGGGCCAGGTGAGGTGTGTGGCCCAGTGTGAAGGTGCGCCAGC